GTGTCTTCATGTCCAGCAGTTGTGCGTTGTTCACATGGGTTAAGGTATGGTGAGTTGTGTCATCGTCCGCGAACAGTGGCTTAGGTAGCTTACAGTGGCTTACAGTAGCGCCAATTGCCACAGTTTGATCGACCAGCCGGATTGGGCATGACCGAAAGAAATACCAGCCAATCAGAGAGCGGAGCGCTTGGAACGGTAGTTGTGCTGGGAATGCTACTTGCGGTGGGAATGCTAGTTGACATATCAACGGCAGATTGTATCCCTGGAATGCGAAGTATCATACCCGCCTGGTGCATTTTCCCTTTACGGTATGGACGGACATTCACACACTGCCAGACACCAACCCATTACGCAGAAACACTTCTCGGGTGCGAAAATTTAAGAACAAACGCCGCTCGCTACTCTACCCAGGGTCCGGCGCAATTACACGAAAATACACGTTGAAGTTGATCCGTACAATTCAATTACACAGACGACCGCCGAAAATCCATCCAATTTCAACATGACCTCTGCAACGTGGATCCATTATTGCAATAGTGGGCCCTTTTTAGCAGATGATAGTGATTAAGAGTATGGTGTATAGGTATACACTAACTTGGCAATATCCTCCTGACAACGAAGCGGTGAGATGGTCGGCAGAACTCCCACCGCCCTACTGGCTGGTGAGGTTGGTGTTCTGGCCTACCCGCCACCATAATGACTTTTCTGAACCAAGGGGAGAGTACATGGGGTTTCTGTTCTTCCTCCAAACGAGTACTGTCAGCCCTCGGCGAAACGCACTCTAACACACCTAAAACGACATACACAAAACGTGGAACTATTACACTCTCAATAGGCCTTCCAGAGTCGGGATCACTCGGTGTCTGGCCACTGCGGTCTGCCACGCTTCCTCTGCCACCCCTGCTGAGAGTATCACTAGGTTTTTACCAGCATTCCATTCCCCGTGGTCCAGGACTTTATGCAAGTCCGGCTCCCAGACCCCACTCTTGCGGTACATGCTTTCCCGCTTCACCCACTTCCACACCCGAATTTCACCCTCGCCAGAGACTGCTGAAGGAGATGGGTCGTTGCTGAATACAGTAAACGAGAAGAAGCGTATAAAGGCCCCTTTCGCCGGCACCGAGACCTCCCCAGCGGCGATCAGGTCCGCAAGGACTTGCGGCGTCAGTGATTCCGGACTCTCGCCTCGCTCCGTAAGGAGCCTCGTAAAGATCTCGGACACGTCGATGTCGTCGCCCACGAAGAATGTGCCCAGGGAGACACACTCCTTCATCATGGAAAAGAGACGCGGAGCAACAGTAACTCTGGTAATGGTCCGGACGGTGGGCGGCAACCAGTGGTAGAGCGTCATGGGGACGGGGAAGTCGTCCTTGGGTGCTTCGACCCCGATGGCGAGGATGTCGAGCCGGTGCAAGCATGTTTCCAGGTCGGGGTCGTCTCGACTCAGAAGTGCGTTTAATCTGTCTTGGGCAGACTGATCATGCAAAAAAAGCCCATTAGATGACGGGTTGTGATTAGCTATGTCTGAGCTCTGAATCATGCCGGAATGCCTAACAGCGTGATTTGCGGGATAGCACGCATACCTGAACATGGTCGAGGTCAGCCAAGGCCACGAGGTGTTCGCGGAGTTTATGGCGGTTGCACTTGAGAAATGCGCTGAGAAATGCGCTTCGAACAGCGTTGCCACGGGTTGGAGAAGCGAGAGAGGCGGCGTGAGAAAGAAAGGCGTATTAGAACGGTGCGTTGACTCAGGCCGGAATGCACGTCACTTAATTGCTATCGTATCACAGGCAACGCGTAGGTCTGGTGCCTGGTAAGAGCAGACTCAAGGCGGTGCTGATCTGCGCCGCCCTACCTAGTTACTTTAGGCCCGGGGACTGCAGGCAAAGTGGCAAGCGTGGAACATGTGCGGGGCAAGCCACAGGCATGCAGAGAGGAATAACAGCTGGCACACAAAGGCCGCGATGTCATTTGATTGCATATTTTGATAGCTGGTACTACCTTCCGTTTTATCCCGTGACTTCCATGTCATTCCCGCTTGCGTCCCTTGCTACGAAGCGAGGTAAAGTAACCCAAACTAGCAAACCCTGCGCACTACCTATTCAACCGCAGGCCCAGATTAACGAACAACAAGAGCCGTCATTGCAGCAAGCTGCCGAATCGCGACAGCCAGACTCTACCGCCTGTCCAAAACATCACCACCCAGTTCTGGCAGATTCAAAACATTACCAGACCGCTCTCGGAGGTGCCCCACGTCATCGACCTCAACAGAGTGTCAAAGACTTCCGAACCAGCGCGAAGCCTCGCGCGCAGAGAACAAACACCAAGCTGCTCCCTCGAGACGGCGTTGCGTGTCTTGACACCCCGTACGGCGACGCACCCAGCATCGGTGAATGCCAAAGACTCTGTGAACACTTTCTGGGCCAACACACGCACGTCGTGACCCTCAATCCGGTGCATATGATCACCTATTGGACCGGCAATGCCATGTTCGGACTGGCCAATCTCGACCCTTGCAACGCGCGCAGTGTCCAGCACGGGGTCTTGAGACTCTGGTGCTCCGATATGCTTGAGCGGTGCATCGCCAATGAAATGGACGGCTACTACGATGCAGAGAGCTACCATATGGCTGCTGCACTCACCGGGGACGAGGCGATGCCGCCCTATTATTTCGACGATCACTGCTGAACTCTACCTGTACCTTACACACCATGCTGGCCTTCTGTCGCTGTTCTTTCGTCTTGCATTTTTTTCTTCGTTGATAAGACAAAAACTGAGAAGGGAAAAAAAAGAATCGAGGACGAAGAAGGAAACGTCAGGCTTTGCTGTTCTATTCTCCCACTTCCTTTTCCTCAGCTCTTTGCTCCGTTTACGAGGGTTGGGGGCAATATTATGATTATGTCGCGGTGGCACAGAGAGGAACAACAAGTGCCAAGCGAAGATGGTGATGAATTGTTGTTGTCTGTCTGTGGCAGCGATAATCGGGTGGAAAAGGCTCTGGGCGGCAGGAAGCGGGCGGTCTGGAGCAGTGGGGCAGCAGCACCCACAACATCCCCCCACAGACCGGCCTGCACCGCCGGATGAAGCCATCACCAACTGCCTATCTCTTTATACATACAAATATCATGGTGTTTAGGTTCACTATATCAGTCAACCCGAATCCTACACCCAAGACACCGTCCTTGCGGTCATGCGCAACTGCAGCACGAATCTTGCGTGCTTTTCTCTCTGTAGTGGTTTCGTGCAGCGCTCCCAACAATCCAATCAATCCAATCCAAGCCTCATAATTGGATTGAATTGAGGCCTTTCTGAATAATTGATTGATTGAAGCCCCAGAATTGAATTGAATTGAAGAATTGCAATTAACGTCACATGATCCCGGGTGAGGTTATTCCGAGCCGACCGAGTCACTCGGCCCTCTCCAGACATCCAGGTTCCTGATTACAACCCTGCTAAGAAGGACCTTGATTTCGCAGCCAATTCTTTGGGCACTGGAGCTTGGATATTGTATCCTCCTGTGTAGAGTGCCTCTGCATTCCCACGGCCAGTTTCGCAAGGCTGAACGTCCTCTCGCACTCCGTTGACATGGGTGGAAGAGAGCAAGTCGAGCGCCATCAGCCTAGGAAATCGCTCCTGGTTACTCAACCACCACTGCAACGGATCTTCCACCGGCCTAACAGGCTCGCCAAGGTAGGCTGCTACCTCATCCAGGCCGTGGAGAGCCTCGGGCGGATCGTAGAAGTCATCTCCATAGAGGTAGTGTTGTAACGGGCTGAACCCGAGATGGGCCTCGATGACCCTCGGCCAGCTCTCGTATAAGCACGGTCCACCAAACCCCCTGGATGAAGCTATTCCCACTCGACCCACAGTGTTGAACCTTCTAGCAGCGCACACCTGTGAGGATAAATTGGCTCCCCAGCTACCAGAGTCTCACATCTCTTCTTTCCTTCTCCAAGTTCAGTGTACTCGTAGAGTCGTCATCAGCTAGTTGCAATATACTACCTGAGACCGTTACAGGCAATGCTGCGGGCCCGGCGAAGGCGGGAGAATGCGCTGTTTCCGGCGGTAGAAGCAGTCGATAGGAGGGTCGGAGCATCGCTGGCAATAGAAGCCGTGGCTGAGCAATCGGGGAGGTCAGACATAGCGGTACTTCGGAGGCAGCTATGGCCTAGTAGAACAGTCGGGCTCGACCCGGGGACGCAACACCAAGGGGAACCATCACGATACAACGCTCCTCGAACTAGGGGGGCACCCACGACGCGTCCGGTCCGGCTGTTTTTCCGGCTAGATGGGCAGTATTTCCCCCCCCCAGGGTTTTCCAGGGCGTCCAAAACAGGGAAAAATCAGGCCTAATAATTGACAATTCGTCAATCAATCACAGTGTCCGAATTGGATTGAATTGAGCCCAAAAAATCCATGATTGAATTGGATTGGATTGATTGGATTGATTGGATTGATTGGATTGGAAGATTGCCAATAAAAATTGAATTGTTGGGAGCGCTGCCTATGTATGTATGCTGTCCTCCGAGAACCCCTGCAGTGCACAGCCTCGTCGAGCATGTCAATTCCAGTGCTACCATCACGCGGGAACCCTACACGTGTACATGTGCGGCTGATGTGAAGCTCGGGTTGCATCGCAGTTGTCGGGCCGATGTAGTGACAGGGCGTGGAGTGTGGCTAGGGCATTGGCTGGGCTGACTCAGGGGTGTATTAATGTGAGACGCGCTCGGTGTGCTGGCTGTAGTAGCTGCGCCCTTCTCTTGCAGGACGTGATATAGGGCTGATGTGACCCCTGTCTCATGTCAGCACTGCTGTCGAGGCTCAGCGAGGCTGACCAAGGCAAGGCGTGATAATCACATGTAACCATAAGGCGTTGATAACTGACGCCGAGTTCTGTTCTTGGGTGCTTCCGCACCCAAGATTTCCACCCGCCTACCTACATGTTCGACACCGCATCGCCGACACCGCATCGCCTAGAATGGCCCTGTTACACGTCAAGACAACATGGACGGCTTGGGCTTGGGGGTGGGAGTGCTTGGTACTGTTGGGCGGCATTGGGTCCTTTGCGGCCTTGGTGGCCGTCCTAGCCGCCTTCAACGGCAGAGAAATCATAAGCCCTTGGTTGAACGTCGTCACGTTGAACGCCATCGTGTCGGTCCTTTCGCTCTCCATGAAGGCGAGCCTCGCCTACCTTTTCGCCGAGTGCATTGCCCAGTGGAAATGGATCTTGTTCGCCCGCGAGGCGCGGCCACTCATCGACTTTGAGCGTATCGACGCCGCCACCCGTGGTCCCATCGGCAGTTCCAGGGTCCTCACAAGAACCAGTGGCTCGTAAGTCTGATTACCTTCCCTTTGCAGGCACAACACAGCATCCCAAAGTACCTTATCCCCTAACAACTAACAGACTCTCTCTCAAATTGGGCGCCGTCCTAAGCCTGCTCATCATCGGACTCGACCCCTTCTCGCAACAATTGCTACAGTTCCGGCCGGACCTTGTCAAGGACCGTTTGCAGTCTGCCGTCATACCCTTGAGCCTATGGTACAACATGGGAGAGGCGAAGCAAACCAAAGCGTCTAGCACTGAGACGGACTACACAAAGGGCAATGAGACAATTCATACCGAAACAGTGTCCGTCAGGACGGAGCTACCACTGTCGATGCAATCTGCGATTCTGGCCGGGCTGAGCGGACTCGAGCAGAGGGTGGCGGTGCAATGCCCGACGGGCAACTGCACCTGGCCCACCTTCACCACCCTCGGTGTTTGTCACCGGTGCCACGACGTCACCGCGGACCTGAGGCGCGTTGCTGGCCGTGATCTGGATTCTGTTGTCAACGTCTTGGTTGGCCGCACGTCGACCCTTGTCCCCCTTTACCGTGCAGGGAACAAGTCAGACATAGCGAATGTTTCATACGGCCTGAACAAGTCGACCACAGCATACACTCTACCCAACGGCCACTTCATCGCCAACCGTGACAGATTCGATGGTCCCATGTACAACGCCACGTCGTTCGGCACGGGCAACCCGAACGAGACGAACACGATGAAGGACATCGACACGCTGATCTGGGCCATGAGCCTCATCTACCCGGCCCCCGACGCAGCCATCGATTACTGGTCCGGGTGGCCGGACGCGACGCTGCGAGCGATGGAGTGCGCCATCTACTACTGTCTGAAGAACGTGACTTCGTCCATGCAGGACAGCCAGCTCACCGAGAACATCACCGAGGTGCCCAGCATCAGGGAACCGGACTCCTGGCAGCCACTTCCCATGCGGTACGGGAACGGGACGAAGGTGGACTTCGATCCGCCGCCAAGCTACTTCAGCCTGGAGTTCAACTCCATCTACTCGTGTCCCACCTACACGAACCTCGAATTGCGCGACCCAACCACCAAGCGTGTGTATCGCGTGGGCGAGGGCTCGGTCAAGTCCATCAGCTCGTATCTGCAGAGCCTGTTCTTGTGGAACCGGACGCTCGACGGGCCCGTGCCCGAGCCAGTGCCCGGGGTGCGGGAGCATTTGGAGAAGTACCACCTGAATGGCGCTGGGCGAATCAACGGCGCTTCGTGGGGTCTGTCGCTCAATGATGATGGGAGCATCAGGAGGGACTTGACCACCACCGTCCCTCCGACGCTGAAGAGCTTCTTGGGGCGGGACCTGAATGCCACCTTCCACAGCCTGTCCACGAGCATGACGAACGAGCTACGGAGAGGCGAGGGAGGGGCCCAGGTTGACTATGTCGAGGGGCGCACGCTGAAGCCGATCGTGGTGTACGACACGAAGTGGGCTTGGATGGCGCTCCACGGGACAACGCTGCTGCTGGCGGTTGTCTTCTTCGGTATCACGCTGTGGAATTCGGCCGGCGCTGGCGCCGGGGCGGAGCAGGTGCCGCTGTGGAAGAGCAGCACGCTGGCGACGATGCGTCGCGGCTACGAGGTTGGCCACGTGCTGGAAGGCGCCGGGTCGGTGCCGGAAATGGAGCGCCTGGCGAGGAAGACATACATCGGTAAGCTGCCGAGCGGCGATCTCGCGGAATCGGCTGCATGTATCGGTACCGCCAGGGAGGGCCAGCCGTCCATCAAGGGTGAGCCTGACACCGACTGTGTTTCTGCCACGACGGGCGGGTCAGCAAATAGTTAGGGTAACCAAGACTTGAGTCATTACATGTATATCAGAATAGATATGAATGGAATTTCGCCAGGAGCCATGAAGTTTAAGGACACTTACCTCCCGCTGCTCTCTCTGATGTCGTTTGGTGGAAAGAGGATTCGATCCACGAACCTGGAAGCGGGCGTCTTCAAGAAGCCGCCAAGTTCAGACAGGCCCACTGTCCCCTGCCGAGCCTCTCTGGCCGAACCCGCAGTTAGCCGACGTCACCCAAACTGCGGGGCATTTTCTCCCCACTGACATTTCAGCAGCCCACCACAAAAAGTTCTGGGCATCCACCACCGAACACTGGTGGGCGACGACCACTCCCACAACCATGGCCGCCGAACTCTCCGCCGCGCCCGTCCTTTCAACGCCCGCCGAGCACGTATTTGAACACGCGATACTCCCTTCGAATATGGAACCCCAGAGCTCGCACAAAATGAGCTTGTGAAAGTTCTCGCAAACGCGGAGTTGCGGCAGAGATCTCTGGTTGAGATCTGCTGAGTCATCATTTGCAGTTATGCACCAGTTGAGATTTTGCAACGACTGCCTCAATAAAACTTGCCTGAGCTGCCAGCGCGTCCCGGGTCGCGAAGGCGCCAATTCAGCAGGCGATGAGTGTTATTATCACGATACTGATAATTTTGAGGACATGATCGGACAATTGAACGCTCTGGCGTCAACAGCCGTGCTGCCCGCAAGAAACATGCCCGCTATCCGGGCGATGACGAGTTGGGATGGCAGCCACGGTTGGCTCGACAGAAGACCGGTCCCAAGGGGAAGAAGTGCAAGAAAAAAAAAAGACAAGCAGGAAAAAGGGCACGGAATCGAGGAAGGGGAGAAAAGCGAAAAAGGATCTTGTCAGAGTCGAGCAAATCCGGAACCCTGCCGGCGACTTTCTCAAGGCAGGTGACAAGGAGCCCTGGAACATCATTCCGCATGGCGCAAAGTCCCGCGCGGCCCTCGACTTGGTAAGAAGTGGTAAGTACTACTCTTTTGGGCACAGTATTGAGGGGTTATGTGGCTAACATACTTGTAGGCAAGAAATGGCACCTGACACAGATCATCGGTAGGGCGCCGTTTTCCCAGCTCCCCCTTTCAACAGATGCTGACCATGCTACCAGTTTTCGTTTAGTGGATCCCGGTTCTCTCCATTCTCGGGTGCATGCTTTTCAGAGCGGGTTCAAGTTCGTCTAACTCTGCGGGGATAGGACGCAGGAGCACGAAGACATGTGCATCAAGGCCTCCCAGAAGAGTTCCGATATCAAGATCATGGTTCGTCCTCCAATCCTCCACCGAGTGGCTCTTTGCTGACGCTCGCCCAGCTGATATCGGTCACATGTGGCTCCCATGGATTGAATCTGACCGCCGCGAACCGGGCCATTGTCTATGACCACTCGTGGCACGAGGGCTTGGAGCCCCAGGCTTCTGGACGCGTCCGCCGCATTGGCCAGACTAAGCAGGTACACACGGTGGAGCCCATTGTCACGAAGTTCATGGACGAAGCCATCCTGACGATGCAGGACACAAAGGGGGAGACCATCGCAGCGGCCATTGGAGATGGAGCTGCACAGCCCAAGGTTCACGAGATTGGCGAGCTGCTTTCCAAGAATGGTGATATTGATCGCCAGGTTCTCGAGTTGACCAGAATGAAGGATATCAGCGATGAAGAGGGGAGCGCCAGTGGTGACGACGACTGTGACGATGGTAGCGACAGCGACTCAAGCGATGAGGACAGCGACTCAAGCGATGAGGACAGCGACTCAAGCGATGAGGACAGCGATGACGATGACTTCCTGCTGCATACGTCGATCTGATGCTGATGAACGAGATGCGGCAGATTTGCATGGTTTGTGGAGTTTGATATGGGATAGTTGATCATGATTTATGACGTGGTCTTCGATGACATGCGAGGGGTAGATTCTTACAGACTCACTAGACACATGGCTCTCACCAGCATAGTAATCGATAGCTATGAATAATTATGGAACATGGAAAATGATATCAGGCACCCAAGATTGTCGATGGAGCCAAAATGAAGATAGAAGCCCAAAAACATACAACACCGGGGATTCGCTGGTCGTCACCGACCCAACTACTGATCCGGCCCTTGGTAGCTTATCTAGGGGAGAGCGGACGGGATCCCGAGCTTTCTACCAGGTATGGTCGTATGTGACAGCTGTCAATGTAAACGGTCATTATGTAGTTGCACAAACAACAGGCGGATCAAAAGATCGAACCATGGAGATGGCCAGTTGTCCAGTTCACCACGACCCCACAAGACCAGACACCTCACTGCTGTGACCGAAGCACCGTCATCATCGCTTGATTATGCCGCGTTGAAATCAGCCATGGACTCTCATTAACTCCCTGAGTCCTTTCTGATGACGGCTCTGTGCCTATCCTTGAACAATATGGAGAATGCGGAATCTTTAGTAATTGGCCTTCCACGCTTCATGTCCCCTTTTTCCGTCTTAAAAATGCCTAGTGCAGCAGCAGCACCATCTACGGTGGCTCTCCAATATCCGTGCTGTTGATATTTGATGCCGCTAATATCCAGAAGGAAAGTATTCAACGGGAAATTATCCATGATTTAAAAGGAGATAACAAACGTTAGTTAACTATCCATAGAAAAAAAAATTTATGCGCGGTCATCAGTCCGGATACTGATCGGCAAAGTCCGTCTTCCCCTCCATCAAAGCATCGGCATTCAGCCGCACACTCCACCGGACCATGTCGGTCATGGCCGTGTCTTGGACCTCACCGTTACTTCCATGGTCGCCGATGTCGCTCGTAGCGCTCTTAGGCCCGGCCATGCGGTGATGGCGAAAGAGACTGGGCTGCGTGGTCAGGCACTGGCGGTCGGGCGCGCGCCCATGCTCGCATTCGCAGTAGAATCGCAGCAGAATGCGAGGGCTGCGCTGACGTCCTTGAGGGCGACTTCGTGCAGGAGCGTCTGCGCGCCTCGTTGGCTGAGCGCGTAACCGAGCGTACAGACGCCCTCCTGAACGTGGTGGCACGCGCGTGTGTGCTCTGGGTAGTTTTCTTTTTTAGCGTGAAGGTGATGTTGAAGGTCCACAGGTTCTTCTTGGGAGCGACCGTCTCGTCGTTGAGGCGGATGACGCGTCCTTTGGGGACGTTGCCGTGTTGGAAAGCGGAATGCATCCCACAGTGGCCGGCCCAAAGAAGGTCCCAGTAGTCTCCGTACGGAGAGGTAGACGGAAGCACGGTGGCGGGGAGTTTGTGGAAGTCCATCTCTTGCACCGAGCCGCCGTCTACGTCTCCGTGAGGCCTGGGATACGTTGGGTCAGCATATACGTCGGGATGGCCGCGTAGAGGCTGCGTGAGTGCGTGGGCCGTCAGTGCAAAGTCATAGAGCTGGTCTCGTATCCTTATGTTCCAGTCGGCGTCATCTTCGAGAATAAGAGCCGAGGTTAAATTGCGGTGTCGATCCTGGAGTTTTCAAGGCAGGATAAGTACGGGGGAGAAGCAGAAGATTGGCCCGAAGAAGGTCAATGGCTGCTTACTCTCGAACAGCGTTCATGTGTGCGCGCCAGCAACTTATGACCCCGTCGGAAAGGCGTTGGGAGTCTGGCGACGTTTTGGAGATGGCCTTGTCAGGGACGTCTTTGCCCAAAACGCCATCGATGAACTCAATCTCAAGACCGCTAGGCGCAGCCTGTAGGGCTAAGCCGTCGCGACGGTCCGACCGGGATGGCAGGCCGCTAACGAATATTTTTTTGAACTGCAGAGACATTCAGTTATCATCATACATCTCAGGTTGTCACCACGCATTCAAGCGCTGTACAGCCGCGCGAAAAACTCACGCCAAGCGTGCTGTTACGGATGTCGCCCAGGGGAACGCTCGTTGAAGCCCATCGCTGCTTCCCAAACGCCGAGCTGTGGGGAAGATGCCCGTGGAAAGGAATCGACAGAAAAGCGACGACAACAAACGCAGTACCGACGGCGTAGATAATTCTTCTCGGTGGCAATCGGATATCCATCGCGGTTTGATGCTTTGACTTGTATTTTCCCCTTGATCACTCTGGTTCCTCAATCCGCCTTCGGAAAGACAGCAGTTTCGGGTTGGAGAGGTCCAGAAGATCCGATACCACACGATACTCCCGAATCATACGATCGCAATATGGCAGCAGGCCATGGCCGGCGGTTCTGCCGACCTGGGGCCAGTCGTCGTCCGTGAGTCGCGGCAGCTCAAGCTTCATCTCCAATCCACAGGATCACATCAACTGAGGGCTCTCCTCTCTCTCCCTTCACCTCTCCCTTTCCCTCTCCCTCTCAATCTCCATCTTCCTCTCCCTGTCCCTCTTCACCGGAGCACAGACTTGCTCATCTTCTTTTGCCAATATGGTGCTCCTCGCCGCCTCGCTCCCCTTGCTTCTTCCCTTTCTTCTGCCCTCTCTCCCTACCACGGCAGCCGACGAGTGCCAGGCGGTAACATGGTCCAAGGTCAGGAATAAGGCCCTTGATGTTGCCACGGGAACGGCGTCATTGTCTCCTGCGGCCACGGATCTCGCCGCCGCCGCCGATTTCCAGGTCCCAGTTCCTGCCCGCGACCCCTTTGTAGTGCGACGCAATGCCCCTGGCGATCAAGCCTGGCGATTTCATCTGTCGCCTATGGATCGAAACGGGCGAGATGTAAACTATTGGACTTCCTCCGACATGGCTGCCAGGTTTCAACTCACAAGGGACGAGTTCTTCGACATGAACCCAGGTCTACTCCTTGACTGCTCCAACATTGAGCCAGAGACCGAGTACTGTGTGAAAGGGTGTAGGTCCAATACCCCCTGTTTGTCTCCTGTTTCTCCGGTGGAGATCACAAGCCACACTAGAGAGTTCTTCATACCATATATGGTCTGACTGCCCCGGCGTGCCGCATAATAGTCATCGAGCCGCTCCGGTCCACCGACGGCTTCTGTGGGCCGTCTCACAATGGTGCCACCTGCAGCGGCACCGCAGCCCAGTGTTGCAACTCCAAGACATGGACCTGCGGCAACTCAGAGTATGTGTGACCCTTGGTATAGAGAGAGAGAGGGAGGGGGAGAGAGAGAGACTAATGATAAAACAGGGAAGACTGTGCCCCCGGCATCTGCTACGAGGGAGCATGCCTAGGACACCGGATTTGGACGACCGACGGCACTTGCGGTCACCACCGGGCCCGGCGCTTACCTGGGCCTGTGCGAGTACAGCTGCACTTTCGGCTTCTGCCCGCCTCCCTGCACTTGCACATCGCCAGGGACCCCCGTTCCGTCCCCGGCGCTGACGGGCGACACCGGATACGCCGTGCTGGGTCTGCCGGCCGACTTTGGCCCGTTGTGCAACTTCACCGTCTCGCATGGCTACATCGCCACGGGCGTCTGCACCAACATCCCCTATACCACGTCGCCTGGCGGCACGGGCACCGCCTATGTCACGGGCAAGGGCACGGGCGAGTACGAGGGTCTCTGTGATTTCTGCTGCTATTTCGGATACTGCCCTTACGAGATCTGCACCTGCACTTTGTACGGCCAGCCCAACACGCCGCCGCCCGTCCTGAATACACCGGGCATCCCGACCCCGGGTCACGGCGAGAGCTTCTCGGGTCTGCGCAGCTTCGCTTGCAACCACGGCCATTGCCCCCCGGCAAAGTGTACTTACCCTTAGTCTATTGATATCTCTCTTAAAGACATTAGCTTAGTTAGCTCCCTCGCTCCTCTTTGCAGTCTTCTGTCCTTTGTTGCCAGCTGCCTTTTTTGGGAAACGAATTGACCAAAAGAGGAGGGTCCCCTAATCGGCGTGAAAAGTTGAACTCCGAGCGTCGTCGCATTGTGTTCACCTTTGCACTTGTGGGGCCCCAAAAGAACATGGGTCTTGCCGCGGCCAAGGCACCTGAATCTGCTCACCAGTAACATGGGTACTGGTACTATAATAATACCGTAGAGTATTCAAGTGCCTCTCTTGGCTGTTCTGATTCTCCCCACAATTTACCCTGTTCCAAGCTTCAACCCATCCAGCAGGCATAATGTCCCCTCCTGCGGATAGGCCAACCGGTCCTGATGGTATTCCTTCTTTCGAAGCCAGTTTTGCCGCCGGCATCTTCCCGGGATTGAGGTAATGCGGGCTTTCCCTCCTTCGTAATAATGAAGAACGTACAAGTCTTGTCTGATATCCGCCTACAGCGCTTCTGCCAAGCGTCTCCGATGGACCCTTGACGGCCCCCTTGAGGCCGCCATCTCCGTCGCAGCGGGTTATTGGATCGACCCCACCATCCCCGACGAGCCCTACCACCGCGCAGACGCTGTTGATCAGCGGCATCCCATCTCGCGAGACCCCTACACCGAGCCAAAAGTCTCTTCCGTGACAATCAGCGCCGACCTCCTCAGTGACTGGGAGAATAACTGGTTCGAGGTACACCGAGACCATGTCCTCCCGGGTGGCGAGGAGGAGAATGGGAAGACCCGAATCGGCTCGCTGCCTGACTTCGACCCCGAGGATGAAGATGACGCATGGCCCGAGGTGGATGGAGAAGGTAGCGGGCACCTCCTAGTGTGCTGCGGGTCAGAGCGGCCGAGGAAGACGGAAACCAAGTTTCAACTGCTGGTCACAGCCAAGGGGGCGGGGCCCGATGGGTTCCTGACAGTGCACGATTTCCTCGAGCAGGTGCATCCGTGGTTGATGGGTCTGAAGGGGGAGATCCTCGAAGCGAGGGCGGTCGCGTTTGCACTTCTTGAGGGGGAGGATGACGTCCCCTCGAGGGAGGAACTGCTAGCGAGGGACGGGCATATGAAGTTTTTTGTGTTTGGGGCAAAGGATCTGGTCATTTGGGACGAAGAGGAGTGGACGGAGCGAATGACTAAGCGGCCCTACATACGGATAACTAGAGTCTATGTGAGGTAAGGTGGTTCGTGCGCCTAATTACCTTCTTGCGCGACAGACGCGCATCCTGTATCTTCTTCTTCCTTTCCTCAGTTTTCGATTAGCAGAATTGAGTAGTATTTGCAGCGCCCTTGTGCCTCGCTATATATTATTATTATTCCTACGCCGCTGTGCCCTTCGCTATATATTGCTCATCTCTCACATGTATATGTGTCTGTATGTTCGTTAACGCCCGGCGGGTAAACCGAAAGGGCAACTACTACAATCTAACTAGTTATACATTTCCCAAGATATAACGATGTTGAGTGAGAGAGGGTGTATTACGCTAAAGAGTGGTGCACTCGCTGGTATTGACGGTCCGGCTGACCGCGCGCTGACCGCTGACTGGCGCCGCACGGGGCCCAGTCGTCCGACATAAGCGGGCATATCTACGGGGAGACCTTGCTAGCGCCGTGGATATCCCGTTATATCTACTCCCCTGAATGATCCTGCAGCTGGCTCGCCCGCTTCAGTGGCCACCGCAGCGCCCTCTAACGGGTTCACCCCTACCGTACAGGGGCGAGAACCGTTAAACGGCGCCCTAAAGGCCCTATAGGTCCCAAGCTCTTTTCCACGCGCCCGGTTTGTTCTTCGGCAGCGGTGGAGAGTTCTTCCTGAAGGCGTAGGCAAATTCTCAAAGGTCATGGACGCGGCACTACCAGGCAAGCACACCCGCGATCTCTATGACAAGCTGAAGCGAAGAGAAGCCTGCGTATTGGCACTACTTCGAACTGAAATGGCGAGGTTAAATGGCTTTCTGAGCAGGATTGGAGCGGTCGAGTCAGAGCTTTGTCCCTGCGGCCGAGCGAGGGAGACAGTGGAACATTTCCTGTTGCGATGCGTGAGATGAGAAGCTCTGAGGGAAGACATGCTGCAATGCACACTGGCAAGGCGAGGGAGCCTCTCATTCTACCCGGGAGGGAAAGCACCATCGGATCTAAAGATGTGGTCGCCAGACATAAAAGCAGTTTGGGTAACGATCAAGTACGCAATGGCGACAGGGTGATTGGATCTCGACGAGGAACGACGAAGATTACGACAATCACAGTAGCGGAGCTCCACTAACACTACACAGCCTCAACCAGCAGATCCCGCTTTAGCTGCTGAAGAAGATAGCACGCTGAACACTTGGAGAACGCAGCCTCCAAGTCGATCTACTAAACTAAGTCAAGAGGCAACAGGCGGCGTGAGAGAAGGGGAGAAAGTAGAGGGCTTGTACGAGTTTGATGATTGAACGTCAACGAATTGGATGTACTGTAGTTAGCGTGCCAAGGCCCTTTAGGCTTCACGCCTCCGGGCGAAATAAATTCCATCCATCCATCCGTCACAAGCGTGGCCTTCAGTTGTATCCCATTTTCCGGGCTGTTGTACCCCAGTTTTCGGTGCCCTGAGCTTCCATGTTCGGCATGCCTTGCACGAACGATAAAGAGTTATAGGAGAACTCGGGATCCCGTCCGCTCTCCCCTAGATAAGCTACCGAGGGCTGGATCAGTAGTTTGGGTCGCTGACGACTAGCGAATCCCTGGTGTTGTGTGTTTCTTCCATTGCCAGTCCCTTGCTTTAGGACACAGCTGCTAGACAAAAGAAGAGCATGTAACTTCTGCCCTCAGTTACTCAACTGCATTTTTGCTTCGCTGCAATTGATCCTCAGGGGGCGTCTTCATTCAACGCGGTCCTACCTCGCCTTGCATAACACAGTGTTTTCGGGGATGCCTCCGAATCATGCGCCTCCCGCTAACCCGGAGGAGGATGAGCTGGCTCCTTTCCGCCCAATCCTCGCCGTGGTTCAATTGAATAAGGTTCTTGAAAGGGCCAGCGAGCTCTGGCCCAGCAAGTATCCCAAAGACCCTCCGTCTCGCCCACCGGTTGTCGGGGCGCCAATCCACGGGTCGTACAATATCCCATTCACGATTGACTTCGAAGATCGAGGGATGCTATGGCTTCTCAAATACCCATCAATGGAACACCCGGATATTGGAACACGCTTTGCGCCGACGAACTGGGGTCAGAAGCCCGGACGATGCAGCTCATTCGGGAGCGCACTTCCGTCGCTATCCTGACGTTTTTGGATTTAGCAAAACTGTCGACAACGATCTCGGCTGTCCGCACATCTGGCTCTCTTTCATACTTCGTAGATGGCATCTCTGGGGACGACTTCTGGTTTGCCAAGCCCCAGGGTATGTCGGAAGAGAATCGCCACCGTCGTCGGACTCGCGTTCTCAAGAGCGTGGCGTCGGCTATGGTTCAGCTCAGCAAATTTCGATCCAAACAGGGCGGACGATTGGTGTTGGGAGCGATGACCAATTGAATGGTGTTACCCGCCGCCGTGAGATGGACATGATGGAGTGCGAGAAGCGCCTGAAGCATAACGATACATGCCTGCCTACTTCTTGAGCGGCCCTTACAAGACAGCCAAAGAGTTCTAACTATACCAGTGCGCTACACAGGCAGAAGCCCAACTCGGAATTCCTACTTGGTTAAAGACGACTTCTTAAGTTCTTCATTGGCTGCATGGGCGACACTTTTGCGGCTGATCGTGAGTCCTTTGTCCTCACACCCGGACTTTGACATCCAGAATTTCCTTGTCTCGCCACAGGGTGATCTCGTCGGCATCATCGACTGGGATGGCGTCGGCGCCTGGCCCAACTCACTCGGCAACCTCAGATAGCCAGGCTGGTTGACTCGAGATTGGGATCCAGGTATGTACGGGTACGAATCTGACGGAGTGCTTCATGACCCCCAAATGCGAGAGGACTCGCCACAAACGCTGGCCGTTGTCGTAAGGTTTACCGCGACGCCATCAGGGAGGCCATGGTCGAGGACGAAATCGGGTGTCACAGCCGGACGTATCACACAAGCGCTACGCTTATCACCGAGAACCTTCACATCGCGGCCACAAACCCAATGGGCAGGGGAAACATTCTGAGGAAGATTGTCCAGGAGATAGCCAAGCTTGTCAAGGTGCCTTGCACCGATGAGGAGTGCCTTTACAAGGAGCTCTGCGACTTTTTCGGCCAAGGCGAAGGCAAACCGCCTGAGGGAGTACTGGAGGCTCTGAGAACGGAATTGATCAAGCTAATGCAGAATGAGGCACTATAGCTGGACAACTCTAAATCCATCAACCTCATGCACCTTCATCGTTTGCTCCTTCCATCTATCAACCCGGAGCTCCCGTCTAGACAGGGGGTTCTAGCCGAGTTCTGCGGCAGACTTGGGGTCAATATAGCCCGGGTTCAACCTAGGGGTCCCGGCGGTCAACTCGGAAGGTGCCAGCCCATGCGACGCCTCCAACTCGGAGGTGCCCCAGCCGTGCTCGGTATACTGTTTTATAGTATCTTGTGTCGGTATTGTCGTGACCCCCACCACCAGTGCCAGCCGGCTCGACCGTATTCGCAGCTCGCTGTCTCCTCCTTTTGACCCAGACCCATGCCACCACGGCGGCAGACAGGATGCCTCCAAGTGCTGCGCCCACCGCGAGGCCAAGTGCCGCTGCAGTGGACAGCGCTGGCTGGATGATCCAGGAGCTGACGCCGCTGGGGCTGACGCTGACGACGAGTCGGTTGCTGCATCCGAGTTAATGCTCAGTGCCGATGTGCTGCCAGTGGTGGCACGCGACGATGTTGATGTTGACGGCGAGAGCGCTGCCAGATCAGACGACCGGTAGTTCAGTTGAAACATGGGCGCATACAGCGTTACTGGGAGTGTCTCGGTCTGCACGGGTGCTGGCGCGCCTGTCGCAGATGGCGTGATGATGATGACGTTGGGCACCGTAAGCTCGCCGACGCTGAAGTTCGGACCCAGAGCACACGCCCGTGATCGCTGTGATGGAGGTCCCGGTTGAGACAGTAGCAATGCACGTGTTGCCGACAAGTTTGTACACCGAAAGCCCCTGACCTAGTTTAGCCGACGGTTACACCAGCGACGTTTCTGAGTATGTCCAGGTACTTACTGTGGACAGCATCCTATCGCAGTTTCACCAAGGACCAGATTGAATTCAATGTCCCAGTCGGCCCGCCCGCCGTGCTGAGCCGTACAGGCCGCCGTGTAGCCTGCTGGACAGGCTAGTCCAGGCGAGTAGAAACCCCAACCTGCGAACGGATGCTGTGGCGTTCCCGCGCGTGCCGTTGCCGGCGGTCAGCGGCCCAAGTAATCATGTGGTTGCCCACCTCCGCTGTCGTCGACGCATCGTTGGCCTCTGTAGCCTTTGGTGCAGGTCGCGCAATTCAGGACATGCACGGTGCAGCTCGCTGGCATGGACCATGCTGTTGTGATGGGGCCGAGCAAAGTCCCCGCGAGGCCGGTAAAATCTCCCATGGTTTGCAGGCAGGACAACAGAGGGACGAAAATAAGAGATGTGTTAGATTCATCACGCGTCTGGGGTCTGTTGGATAAGTACCTGTAGCTTTGCCTGGGAAATTTAGTGTTTTTGTTGCGCTGTGATACCCTAGAACCAATTGGCAACAGCAAGAACCCCTGTGTTCCCATTGGGCGTGAAACCGCTCGCTTCTCTCGCTGCAGTTCAGAGCTTTCTGCTGGTGATGGGCCAATCTGGCGCAGACATAGCCGCTTGCCTACAGGAGACAACCAACAGCGGAGCTTACACCCCTGCATTATCAATGATAGCTTCGAGTCTCCGCGCTTGAATTTTCAATGTCGGTGGGTTTTCTGTGTGTTCATGTTCCCATTGCTTCGATGACAGTGAGGGACATCAGTACCCCCTGTAAGGGCGAACACGGCAGCTGAGCACCAGGTAACCTGAAATCTGATCTTCACATCACACATTTTCTCAGGGCCTGACACTCTAAACGTCTACCACTATTGGATCTCCTCCTTAAAGAGGCCTCGACACATTAAGATTCCCCCAAGCATAGCCAGCCTCGGCGCGCTCACCACCGCCTTCACCCCTCCCGCGTCATGCGCGTCCAGCACAGGCATCCACATCGTCGGCTGCGGCGCCGAGTGCGTGTGGTGGGCCGAAGGTCCCCTCAACAGTCCCGCCGCCAGCGCGTGCTACCCCTCAAGCTACAACCCTTCTCTAGGCCACTACTACAGCCCGGGAGTCTGCCTGTCGGGGTACACGGCAGCGTGCACGCCGCGACGGACCAGTGGAGACGTCATTGAGACGATACAAACATGCTGCCCAACCGCGCTGGGGTACAGCTACCACTGTGACCAGCCGACCTTCCCGTGGCAGAGCAGTTTGGGCTGTAACGTGTACATGAGGGATCCGAGTTCGACCCTCAACTTTCCTACCGTCACATCCATCCGGGACGGGCAGACGGTCATCACCAGCACGGCGAGGACCGAGGTTGGGATTGGGGCGTATGGGGTGGAGACACGGTTTCAGGCAAGGGACTTCGCGTCGAGCACTGAGGGATTACCATCACAGCGTCGAGCGATTTTGAGAGCCAGAGAATGATACCAGGTACTGATGAGTACAACGTGAACGAACTACAACCGGCTCCTCGGACACATCAATCTCCCCGTCCGTCACCGACAAATCAGCGCCGGCAACCGGGTCAACACCCTCGCGAACACCAGAAACAGACGACAACTCTGGCAGCGACAGCATCAGCAGCACAGCCAGCAACACCGCCAACGCCAACGCCAATGATAGCAACACTCCCAGCAGCAGTGGCCTCAGCGCAGCCGCATCAGCCGGGATTGGCGTGGGCGCGGCCATCGGCACACTCTTGGTCTTGGGCCTGGGGATCTTCTTTGGCCGGAGGAGCGTGCAGCAGCGGCGAAAACAGGAGGGTGAGACACGGCCGCATGCTGCAGAGTTGCAGTCAACGTCCGAGTACAAGTCTGCTAGTAATGGGGGGTACCTCGCTCGGTTCGAGTATCCCACGGCGCAACAGCAGGCCCCTGGCGAGCTTCCGGCAACAATAGCACCGGCTGAGTTGCAGGGGCACGCTGAGGTGCATGAGTTGGGGAGTTCGGAACTTGGGTTGGGATGGGTCAGAGGCGTTGATCCGCTGCGTGCCCTCGAGCACTGGGCCCAGCCCTCCTTTCTTGAGTTTCTTCATGGAAATGTCTTGGCAGGGGTTTAGTGGACAATAAAGTTGAGGCCTGGTTCTCGATACAGCATGTTTGTGATTCAACAACGGAGAACACGGCTTGGGGGCTGGAGTGTTCAAAAGGAGCCAAACTAATAAGGGATGCAGGAGCTAATCACAAAGGCTCACTTCATTGCTCCTCGGTGTCTGACACCAGGCACTTCGACAATGCCCAGCATCGGTGTTTTGCAAACTCGGCTCTTTGTGGAGGCAGCATCGATGCGAGACAAAGGAAACCGAGACTCAAAGTTTGCTCGAGTCCCGCTTGGCTTCTTCGTGAGAGGGGAGCCTGAATTCCAGTCATCCTACCGACTCAGCTACATTGGGAAGCTTCCCATGTTCACGAAATAGCCAGTCATCACACCTGAAAACCCACATTTTTCAACTGTTTCTGACCACTTTCCAGCCAACGAGGGCATACCAGCGGAAGGAGCCAGAACACCCACGATGAGAGCAACGACGGGACCAGATGAACCCGAGGTCCGGGCAAACGACCCATGTTGAAAGGCTACCGGTTCGTTCCCAAAGGCAACGTCTACATCACCAGACACTGCCGCAAAAGGACCCACGAGGCAGACAAGACACTGTACGTGGTCGTCGACAAGAAAGACAAGAAAGACAACAAGCCGCTGGGCCTGCGCTGTCCGGCACACATCTACCACGCTGCCATGCGTGAGCACGCCACGACGGCCGCCCAGCGAGCCGACGCCGTCCAAAAGCGGGACGCAGCCATCTCGGAGAACTTTGAGTCGGCCATCCTCAAACTGTTCCCCAAGATCCCCATGACAGAAGTCCCACAAATCCTCAAGCACTCGCGCAAGAAACACAGCTGGCGCGTGGGCGGGACGGGAACGGTGGCCCTGCACGGCAGAGTAAAACTTGCGGTGCGCGCCCACATCCGGCATCTTCACACCAACTACGACCAGCTGCTCAAGGTCTGGACAGGCCGGCGGCGAGGGATAAGGTCTGGGCCAGGCTCAACGAGGTTCTAGGTTATGGGGCGGAGGGCCGCTCAAGACAGTCCCGGCGGGAGCTGCTGTTACGGAGAGGCAGCCCACGAAGCGGAAGCTTACACGGACTTCAACGCCGTCTTCACCAAGGATGAAGACGAAGACACGAGCGACTTTGACAGCGGCTAGGACATCGAGTCTCGATGAGGACGAGGGATGTAAGAGAAACTGCTTCGCCTGGCAATTTCCCTTTTTAGTTCTGTTGCAGCTGTTCTTTGGTGACTTTCACTTTCACGATGAACGGTGAAGCCCATAGTACTGCATCAATATGACGGGAATGAATACTCGGAGAACTCCACGACTCGAGACTAGGCGCGGATCCGACATACGCCGCGCGGTGCCGGGCGGAGCGGACTTTAAACATGGAGGACAGGTGGCGGCTGATGCCGTCCGTTCGAATTCGCGGGTTGATATACTCTTAACGGGGTTATTCCTTGTTGGTTTGCGGGAGTCCGATGCGTAGGCGCGCAGGAGGGTACTGGGTGATGGTCAGAAGGCGGCGACGAAGCGTCGTGAGGCTGCTCAAAAACCCCGACAGCGTACTTTTGCGCTAAGGCATTTCTGCAACGTCAGTGGAGGCTGCTGCATTTAAGTGATTACCTGAGATGAAATCGAGCTTTGTGTGGGCTCGGTAGCGATGGCACGGGCAGCGCTTGCCCAGGTGCTGGATTCCGCACATCCCCAACCAACCTCCGAACCCAGGAAAACCGCAGGAGGAGCCGAACCGTAATCCTCTTCCAAGGGAAGGTATCGTTCCCGTGAATGTTCAATAAATAAAGCACTCGGTCTCCCGTTCGTCATCTGAATTCGTCTCAGACATCTACGTCAAACCCAAGCAACAAAAACCAAACTCCAGCAATCGTCCAGCATATCGAGCAACATGGCCGGCGAGAAAAAGCAACAAATCACCTTCGAAGGTAAGCGAGAGACCAGATACACAGAGAATGACGGAGAAAATGGCTGACCGAATGTCAGAGTACCTCGGGGTCACGGAGGCAGCATTTGAATGGGCCGACAGCTACGACTCCAAGGACTGGGATCGCCTGAGGAAGTGCATCGCTCCCACCCTCCGGGTACGTGTCCGCCAAGCTGGGAATGCTCCCATTGCATACTGACCTGCGCACCCCCCACCCCCCCTTATAGATTGACTACCGCTCGTTCCTCAACAAGCTGTGGGAGGCGATGCCGGCCGAGGAGTTCATCGCCATGATCTCGGACAAGTCGGTGCTGGGCAACCCGCTGCTGCGGACGCAGCACTTCATCGGCGGGGCGAGCAAGTGGGAGAAGGTGTCGGACACGGAAATTACCGGATACCACCAGCTGCGGGTGCCGCACCAGGTCTACACGGACGCGAGCCTGGAGAAGGTGGCCGTCAAGGGCCACGCCCACAGCCACAACACGCACTATTACCGAAAGATCGACGGCGTGTGGAAGTTTGCCGGGCTCAACCCTAACATCCGCTGGTTCGAGTACGACTTTGACAAGGTCTTTGCAAGCGGCCGCGACAGCTTTGGCGAGTCCAAGTAGACTGCCGAGTAGCTCGAGGTGAGCAGGTGACGGTGTGGATGACGAGGTGGATGCAAAGTTAGCAATTACGGTTGCACGGCGGGGTGGAGGCAACTAGAGCCGGTGGCGTCAGAAAACGGTGGAAAAGTGTTCTGCAAGCAATATACCTTGTCGGATGATTGTGCCCTAGGTTGTTTTGTTCATGTGCTCTCGTGTTGGTGTCCGATGAATTGATGTGGGAGGTGGAAGATCGGACCTGGACTCCGCATCACCCAACTTGATGCCAATGCTTGGCTGAGCTCGCCAAGAGTGGATCCCACAATGCTTGAATGGACGTCCCAATTGTAAGGGCTGTCATTGACAGCTGCTGCGACTTGAGCACGACTCGGACTGTCAACAGGCATAGCCAAACCACGCCAAAACTTTCCGTTTGAAGTTGAATCTGCAGGTTTCCCAATGTTTTACCAGAGGTAATATTAAGCGCCATCCCTGCCGGCAAGCAGGTCACGGACAAGATGCGCGAGTTCATGCACCACATCACTAATGCCTTCTACGGCGCAACCGGGTGGAACGACGACAACACGTACAAGGAGCTGAATGCCACTGCGAGAGGTCGGTCGTCTCTCAGAAATATATTGTTGCCCTTTGTTTTCGTTAACTGCTGACCACGGTATTCTGGCGAGAACAGAGCTCATTGACTTCCCCGTCCCTCGAGGCCTTCGCTTGACTCTCTCGTCGCTCGCAACACCCCACTTCGCGACCAGCTACCAGCTTGGCAGTGTCGGCATCGTCGATGGCTCGATCTCATACCTCCACAGCACCGTTCCCCTGACGGATATTGCTGCCCAATCGGACCGGATACCCCTGCCGGCCCTGCTGCGATCATACCGCCGACTCCATGACCTTGGCTCTCGTGAAAGCAGCCAGCGACAACCGGGAAAAGATGGAACCACGACCGAACCTCCGAGTCATGGCAGCGTCAGTGCCGCCTGTTGGAGCTTGGGAAAGAACGGGAGCTCGCTCTTGTACGGTCGCTTGTACCTGCCACAGTCTCTCCTCGAAGGCCTGGTCGTTCGGCGATTCACCCCGGCCCTGCAGGTCCAGCTCTCGGCCGTCAGCGAACGCTCCCTGCGAAACGGCGGCACCTTGCTGGGCCTTGTGCAGTATGACAAAGGGAAATACGGCGTTGAAGGTCTTGCGTCGACGGACGGGGGTCTCCTCGGCATCCGCGGCCTGTACAATTTCGGCGGAGACTGTTCGTCCGCCGCGATGCCGCCGGCCAGCATAACCAATTCCGCCCAGAACAACGGCAATGTGCAGTTGGGTGGCGAGAGGGAGCGCATCTACGGGCGCTTCAGCGCCGGCGGCGAGGTCTACTATGGAACGCTCAACAAGTCCGGTGGCATGTCTCTGGGCGCCCGCTTCGCGACGCTGCCGGCGCACAGGGGCACGCCGCTGACGGCAACGCTCACCATCAACCCGCTCATGGGGAACATCAATGCCACGTATGCCGTGCTGGCCAAGGATTATTGCTCGCTGGCCACGAGGATGGAGTTCAACGTCTACAGCTACGAGAGCGAGTGGGCCGTAGGGATGGAGCTGTGGAGCAACCGGAGACCAGCTGGTTTCTTGCTCGGCGCCCTTCCCAGCAACCAACCCGAGCGCGATCCTGAGCCGCCCAGAAGGAACGAGAGGAGTTTCCAGGCCAAGATGGAATGGCGACTGGACGATCCCAAGCCTGAGCCGAAAGCTCCGAAGACGGAGGCCACGCTTGCCGCCACCGAGAACATGGAAGAATATAGGGGCGTTCTAAAGGCGCGACTGGATCAGAATCTCCGCGTTGGCCTGCTGTGGGAGGGCCGGGTCAAGTCGCTCATCTTCAGTCTTGGGACCGGTGTCGACTTGCGAAAGCTGGGCGAACCCTTCCGAAGCCTTGGTCTCGAGGTTCAGTACTCCTCTTAGACACGCTATTTTGCGCCCTATGTGGCATTTTGGAGGACCCCTGTTTGCTCGGTCGAGTGCGAAGTGATGGTTTTCTGAAACGGGACTTTCCACCTTGTTGGATATGCGAACGAATGTGCGCTTTCAAACGAGACGAAATAAATGGCTCTTCGCAGCACAACAAGGGGCTCTGGGCTGGCAGTTGTGGGGCTCTGTCTGAGAACCTTGATAGCCAGGTGCCGTGGGGCGTCGATGGGGCGCCCTAGTCAGTTCGAACGACAATGTCGAGGCAATATGGAAAACTGTCCGGCCCAACTCGAACATGGACCTTGGATTCTGTTAGCTCCATTGTCTGGCAGCGCAGTCGAGGCAATGGGGTACGGATAAGGCCAACCAACAACTTCAGGCACCGGAAACCGGCTCTTTCCAGCTGCATCGGAGGAAGACCGCGGCGGCCATCAAGGTTCTCGCCCGTGTCGCTTAGCCCTTAGTTCGTTTCTCCCACGTTATTCCCCGGACGAATCGCAGTCTCGGTGGGCCTGTTTGGAAAAGTCCGTTCCAACAGTGCAAATTGAACCTCAGGTTGTTCCAGCATCTCAGCCCCTCGTCCAAGAGCTTCTTCCACAGTTCACAACATACAACGGTGCATCCCAAGACGAGGAGCAGTTGGGTCCTCGGCTTGTACAACGAATTCCTCCTCGAGTATCTCTCTTCATACTTGCAGCACATGCTTGCTATGACTGCTTCGTTGCAGCATGCTGAAAACCCCTCAGGCTCTGGCCATCAAGGTTCTCAAAGGCGCCCTTCCCATTACCTACCACCCACCTCCAGAACTACAGGCCCTTCGCCTCCATCTTCTCAACACCAGCCCACATGCTCGTCCTCTTCGATTCCCGTCTTGGCTGCCTATAACTAACCCTACCCGTCTGCGCCAAGTTTCTTGGAGATCGCCAAGTCCCTCTTGACTATCTTGGCTCTCTTTCTCGAAGACGCATCGGCCATTGATCTGCGGTCTCCTCTGCATTCACCCCCGCGCTCAACTTGCCCTCCGACAGCCGCGCCGAACCGTCCCACATAACGTTGGATTCACCCCTTTCATCCTCTCAGGAGAGGACCATCAAGGAAACGCCTGCGCCGGCACGAGGACGCTTTCCGAGATGCACCAGGCATTTCACCACCACATTTTGGCCAGCCGAGACGAGAGCAATGAGGCGTCGGCCGTTTCGGCGTGCGAAATTTCGCCCGCGAGTACCAACTACTGGGGCCTACGTATCGGCTCCATCTTCGTCATCTTCGCCGGTTCTGCGATTGGTGCTCTCTTACCGGTCTTTCTGGCAAGGACCTCCAGATTGCGCATACCGAAGCTTTGCTTCTTCATCGCCAAGTACTTTGGCACCGGCGTAATTCTGGCAACGGCCTGGATGCATCTTCTCTCGCCGGCGTCGGATAACCTTCGCGACCCGTGCCTCGCAGACATCTTGCCTGACTATGACTGGGCTATGGCCATTGGTCTGATGACAGTCATGGTCATGTTCCTCCTGGAGATCATCGTCTCGCAATTCGACTTTGGTTTTGGCTCCGCCCACAACCACGGTCAGGGGACCGGCAACCGTTCGGCCCAGAATGCAGAAGCTGGTGGCTCAGACAAATCCTTCGAAACCTCCACAGCCGCTAAAGGCAACACGGAGGCGACTGGGCCCGGTTTCTTCGACAAGAGCAAGCTGCCCGTATCAGGAAACGACGTCAGCTACCCGCCCGGTGGAGGGGACCACCTGGGTCACCAGCGGGACCACATCGAGGGCGACGCGCACGCCAACTACGCGGCGCAGATGACAGCCATCTTCGTCCTCGAGTTCGGCGTCATCTTCCACTCCGTATTTATCGGTCTGACACTCGCCGTTACCGATAACTTCATCATCCTCTTCGTCGTGCTGGTCTTCCACCAGACCTTTGAAGGCCTCGGTCTCGGCGCCCGTCTCGGCACGGCCACCTGGCCCCCCGGCTCCCGTCGGTGGACGCCGTATCTGCTGGGATTGTTGTACGCCGTCAGCACGCCCCTTGCCATTGGGATGGGGCTTGTCGCGAGCCAGTCCTTGGCGCTGGAGGCGGCCACGAGCAGGGTTGTGAACGGCGTGTTTGATGCCATTAGCGGTGGCATTCTCATGTATACTGCGCTTGTCGAGCTGGTGGCGCATGAGTTCATGTTCAATCCGGAGATGCGGAAGGCGGGCTTGGGAATGCAGCTGTCCGCGTATGGCTGTGTTGCGCTCGGGGTGGGGTTGATGGCGATGCTGGCGAATTGGGCCTAAGAGGACGATTTACGGAGTAACGGGGTGTTTGTATGGTTAAACTGTTTGTGTACATACCACATGTATTGTATTGTACCCCTGGGCTGTTGCCGGCATGGGCGGTCACTCTTTCAAGGTGATGTAACCATGATATGCTCAAACTGGCAATGACCGGAGGAATGGGAATGAGGTGGCTATGTGCTCGGAACACTGGAGAACGCATGTTCTGGAATATAATAGAGAGGCAGTGTTCCTGTGATGGCTACCTGATATCTAGAGCAGGCATTTTTATCTCACACATTTGGCGGTCGCGTCAAGCATTTTCTTGTTTTGAAGTCAAGATCAAAAACATGTCTGCATTCATCTGCAATAACTGTCTTATGATGGCAAGAAACCATAAGTTGATACCCTCCATGACCCGGTACTGGCATTGCCCCAATGGCAGATCCATCCCTTCCTTCAGTTAACCTCCAGGGGTGCCACCGAGCCAGTTTGGTGGACCAAAAAGACCCGCGCAGTAACCCAATCACCCTCCTTACTTGGCTGCTTAGTAACGCCAACGATTCTCTTTGGGGCGTGAAACTAAAAGAATGGCCTGGTAATGGCCCAGTGGCTCCCTTTTGAAAGCAGTTGTGATGCGAAAGCAAAGTAGCAAACAGCTTGGTGTGACGAGCTTATCCCGTCCCACGGTGAATTTCTGGGGGGAGTCCGGAGGGGCCGTAATGTAAACAGCGGAAACAAATGCTTCCGGCTTTGCCCATTGTGCCATTTGATCCTCTGAATCAGGAGACAGCGTTCTTGCCCGGGCTGGTAGGGAGCATCATGGACCATGCGCCGCTTCTTCGAGGACAAAGTTACCATGACGAATGGGGTCGGTCGTCTCATTCCCCTGTGAGGACCCGAGAATCAGGGGCGACAACAGCAGCTGTTGCCCCTCACGGATTTGCAAGCCGTTGGCCTCGGAGGCGCTTGAACTCCCGGGCAAAGACGCTTCTGGCTGCGAGCTTCTCAACTCTATTCAACCGGGCAAGAGTTGTGCTCGTGCTGGAGGCCTTCGCCACCCTATTGTTGAAGGTGACTCTGCTGTTCCCACGCCCGTGGTCGGTGGTCTTCTTCTGGGGGATGACGGCAGGCGAGCCACGCCCGCTGTACGCAAAACGCCTCAAGTTGAGATTTATGATCGCCTGCTGAATCTTCTTACCCGGTTTCTTGGCCTTTCTCTTTTGTACCCTGGCCGAGGATGAGTTAGGCGCCATCTCGCGCTGACCGGCGGCTGAATGAGGCCTGCAGACGTCGGAGACAGAAACCTGGTCGTCCTCGGCTCGAATTTCTCGGGGAATGGAGCAGAGGTGTAACTCAACCGATGGACGCGAAGCTGGTGAAGATTCGAAGAAGCCCGAACGGCCTGCAATGGTGGAGACCGGCTCGCAGACCTCCAAGGCGGCCCTGTGAGGTGAGCCTGGGCTTGAGATCAAGGCCGGTTGGAGTTCAACAGCCGGGACGCTCCTCCTTTCGTCGTCCTCCTCTTCACCTTGAATGTGATTTGATGTTTGGGTCGGCCGCGACTGCGATGTTACGCTGTCGTGGGAAGGCCAGGAGAATTCAAAACTTGAGCTCGGGGTCTGCGAATTCACGGGCACCTGCGCCCGCTTGAGCGGCTTTCCATAGAGGCGGCCAGTTGATGGCGATATAAACCTTCTCCAATCCTCCCCACAGGTGAGTACGGCGAGATAACATCGACAAAATCCGAGATTACTGGGGGTGGGCTGGACGCGGTTGCTGGCTGCATACCGGGCCTTGTCTTGTTCTTCTCCCAGGTATGTCGCGTCTGAGCATCGCAATCGTCATCGTCTTGCAACAAAACGGGTTCGCCGTTGTGAGCCTCTGTGGTTTCTGGTTTTGTATCCGTTCCCGCCTCCTGGTCATCACGCTCCTCATTGGGTTCCTTGCGCTGTTGTTCACCAAATACCCGAGTGCAACGTTTGCATGGGCACTTCTTGCACCCAGCAGGGCCCTGACGCTGTCCCTTGACAAAGAAGGGCCGCCGTTCGACGTGTATTGCGATTCCGGTTACCTCGTTGATCCGGCCCAGGAAGTCCCAACACTGGAGTCCAAGTCTGTTAGTTACATTGCCTGGAAGACATGGGCGGGACTCACATTGTCGCATGGTTTGTGATCCAACAGAATCCACGCGCGTTTCCATTGTTCCGGGACAGCGGCATTTCGTAGGTCGCCCATCCGTGTGTAGTCCGTGGTGCCAAGAACCGCCTTCAACGCGGCGATGATCCAGAAGACACCTAATTTTTTTTCCTGTTCCATGTTCAACATTACGGGAGAATAGAGATGTATCGTTCCGTTCCACTAACCGCATGGCAAGCGACAAAACGCCCTATATCCTCGGGAAGGGCCTGCCCGTTTTTGTCTCGATAGGAGGAGATGAGCGTAAACTCCAGCAGGCGGCCAAACTTGTGGACAAGGTGGATGTATTTCCCGTTGTCGAGGACATTCGGGTCCCTCTTCGGGTTGGCCATCCACCCGCTGGTAGCGCCAATTCTCACCTTTGGGTTTGTCGCGGAAGCGATGAAGCCAAAGGTGGTCTCCGCCTTGTTCCGGTCACGAACTGCATGTCCGGTTTCAGCACTTTTGACTTTTTGACCATATTTGAGAAGTGTGGTATGGCCGAACTCATGTGCCCCTCCTCGGCGACTGAACAATGAGTGTGACGTCAGCAACTCGGTGCTCCCTGAAGAATGGAAGAAAAAGAAGAAAAAAAAAAAAAAGGAAACGGGAACGCAAACCAAGACTCCAGAGCAACAGGGTGCCGGAGTATCTTGCCAATCCGCGCCCGGCGGTGGTGTTGGCAGCGGTGTTGCCTACTCAACGAGGATAAGAGCCCAAGACTCTTATACCGGTCTAGCTTCTTAATGAATTGACTCGCCCTGCAGTAATCGAGTGCTGAGCGCCCTCGACGATCCTTCGCCTGAGGCGAAGCGCCGCTCTGAAGTAGCAGTCGGAAAATGGCCAGCCGTCCAGTGAGCACAGCTGCCATGAGCGGCGTGCTTCCATCGACGTCGCAAGCCTCAAGAAGAGTCGCATCTTTTCTCTCGGCTAGAAGGCTTTGGACTCGCCGGATATTGCCCGAGACAACCGGTAACTCGCTTAGCCCGATGGCCGCAAGAGTCTCGTCGCGAGACCGGTTCATTTGGGCTGGTATATGGAAAGGAGGGAGGACCGATATTGTTGTCATGGAACGTGACTATCAACCTCCTCAGAAAGGAGGTTACAGCTCTTGGAGCTATCAACAAGCACTGAGACAAGGCCTCCTTCCTGTTCATGACGGCACAAGGCATTTTCAGCAGGACAATGCTCGGGTACACACTTCAGCGTCTTCGACAGAGTGGCTCCTCAACCATGTAATCGAGGTCCTTGAAGACTGGCCAGCTCACAGCCCAGATCTCAATCCAATTGAGCATATTTGGGCCCTGTTGAAACGGAAGATGAAAAAACTATATCCTGACATATGGGAGCTCAAGAAAAATCAACTGGATATTGCTGTATTCGTTAGGTGTCTGAAGGAGTGTTGGTGGGCCATCGACCAGGCTCAGATCGACCGGCTTATTAACTCGATGCCCCGGCGGCTGGCCGCAGTCAAGAAGCCAGGGGTTGTTGTACAAAATATCGTAGGCCGGAACCAAAGCTTCAAACTATATGTATCTGCATTGCCAGCAATTGTGCCTGTGGCCTGTTATTTCGACATAGATGTCTTAGTCATAATGCTAAAAATTTTGTGGCTGGGAGTAGTTAGTGTGAGGTGGGCCAGACTTTTGGACCCCCACTGTATCAAAGCAGAAAGCAGGAGTCGTGTGGTGTTCAGTGATCGTACCGAGTCGGCAAACTTCAAAAACCAAAGGAATGGCATCAAGATCCAGAAATCGTTTCTCTGAAACGGTAACCAAAGAAGGATTTCACGCCCGGTAAAGACTCTGTGTTCCCACTCGAGTCGGGATGCGCTAGTGATTGCACGTCAGGAAAGGAAGCAGTTTCCGGCTACGGGTAGAAGTGGTGATTCTCAAGGAAGGGACGGGAAGAAAGATAAGGGAAGTGTATGCGCGAGAGAGGAAATTGTGTGTGTGTAGAGAGAGAGAGTGAAAGATAAGAGGGAGCGTGAGAGAAAAGTGACGGTACGAGAGGGAGAGAGGAAAAGGTCGCAGGATGACTGAGAGTTGGAGGTGAGAGTTGGAGGTGAGAGTTTGAGGTGAGAGTTGGAGGAGGCGAGAGTTGGAGGTGAGAGTGAGAGGACGCGACAGTGAAGGGAATGTTGGAAAAGAGAGCGCGAGGAGGAAATTTCCATGATGTGGAAGAAACGAACCGCAATAGCCGTCAAGTTGAGTTGAGGAAGCAGTTGACGCGTTGCGCGATTGGGCGAATGCGAGAAATTAGCAGCAGCCAGAACCGCCAGTTTTGCGAGCGAGACCCAGCATAGAGTTTAGGCAATGACTGTCAGGTAACCAGGCCAGGCTCATGTGATCAAGCAAGCCAGCAATCCCATTATTGACGCCGAAACCAGATGCTACCGGGAATCATGACCAGACCCAACCCACGCAGTAGAATCAACTGCGATGTCCGCCCGGCGCGCCCCGACCTCATTCAAGAACCGGGGAATGCAGAACACTCAACCAGAGTGTTTCGTTTACTCCTCATCCTCCTCCTCCTCCTCATCAGCCTCGGCAACAGTTTGGGCGATCCCTGTGTATCCCTGTCAGAACCGAGTTCCACCATTACCGATCCGAAAGAACTTACGGTCCAAATCACGCTGACCCTGCTGGGTGATGCGGCGGCCACCCTTCTCTTCATCCTGCTCCAGGACCTGGATCTTCTCGAGGGACTGCATGATCTTGCGGTCGACGCTGCCGCTGGCATCAACGTGCTTGGAGGGCCGAGTGCCGCGGTTCTTGGCACTGCCATGGACCTTGCGGAGACGGCCAACACCGACGGTCTTCCTCAGGTAGACGTGGCGGGCGACGGAGGCAGCGCGAACGTAGTACCAGTCGATATCCTGAGGAGGCATCTCCTTGGCGGCACCGGTCTTGACGGTATCGACCCAACCTGCAATGAAGTTCGTGTCAGATGCGGTTTGCTTGATCGAGGTATGTCGGGCGGTCGGTATTGGAGGGTGGGACTAACCGGGCACAGGGAGCTTGCCCTGGCGCTTCAAGAAAGCCGCGTAAGCCGCTATGAGGCGTTAGCTTTGCACAAGAGAAGTCAGGCGCCCGAGACACAACCTACCGACAAACTTGTGAGCCTTTAGGATGGCAGCAACATGATTAGCAAAATTCCGTCTTCAGAGATCTTTCGACCCCCTCACGCCTGCTCCCTTGATCTTCCAGGTTGCTGCTGTGATGGCCAGCAGCCCATCACCGTCGGCCAGTGCGACCCTCGCGGGAGGACTTGTGGCGTCCCGAACAGCGAAAGATAGGTTGGCTCTGGGTCGCAGAGGCCATTCTATGGCGGAGAACTGCAGTGACTTACATCGACATCGCGAACGGTGACACCTCCAGGCATTTTGGCGATTGTTGAATGGGATCTGGGCGGAGATGGTGGGATTGTTCGTTCGTGATGGTGCGAGTTATCGTCGATGTGGGATAAGCCGAGCCGAATTGGAGGACGTCCGCAAAATTTCGAGTGGGGAGCTAGGCCGGGTCTTGGCACGTCCTGGCGGCTTAGGGCTCCAAGCCCTGCGTAGCAGAAAGCGAAGGAACCCTATCCCTTCAGCTCTTGCAACTTGTTCGTCACTGGCCAGTGCACTTTCAGCGGTTCAGACTTTGGTGATGGAGGCGATTCAACGAATTGGAGTCAAGCGGATACATGCACCATCCACAGGTTGTGAGCACGGCTGGCTCGAAGCCTGGCTTCCTTTCATCAAAGTTGACTTCAGGTTCGAAGGGAGACCGTAGCCTGTTCCAGAATTACTACTGGACCGGTAAGCTGACCCATCTCCTCAGCTTCTCAAAGCATAGAGATCAGCAAGACCGGCTGCAACAAGGGCCTAGCGTTCCGGGTTGCTGGAAGTCTGTTTGTTTCTACCTTACGGAGAAACATTAAGCCTCACTTTGCAAAGAAACATCCAATGCAATCCAGGTCTCCTACCAGGGAACAGCATTGAAGAGCCATGCAGCCGAACAAAGATGGATTGAAACTGAGATTGCGCTTAGCACCAGAGCCGAGGATGAACACGACATTATTCAAGGAGTAATCGTACTGAGGAGCTGGGCCCATCCGCTGGACAGCCCTGGACCAACGGCAGCAGACCATTGCGGTCCCTAGATGCCCTGCTCGGTGTTGTCGGTACACAGAGTACGGACAGCACACGCCGTGGAAACACGACAAGGGGTTCATCGATGCAGAAAAATGCATGCCCCTTGTTCCGAGATGCCAAACATGAGACAACCGCTGTGCCTGTCGTCTGTTCTGCGCGTCCCAAAACGAGTGGTGCGGCCTGGTCCCCCGGCCTTGGCGCCGCCTGTGACAGGTACCGTTTCACCATCCCAGTCTCCTCTCTGCAACCGCTGCTAAAGCCCAATAAAGTTAAATAATAAGCAGCATGTTTGGCGCTGGATAGGATTCCGCGATGTGCCACAGGGATGCTGCCCCCCTTGCTGCTCCAACAGAGTGGTTTCTTCGTCGTCAATCAACCGCCCTCCACACTGCCGCTGACCCCGTGGCCATGCCGAGTGGAAAGGTAATTAGATACCTCCAGCAATCACCAAGGGACTTCTCTCCGAGCTCTACCATGCGGACCAGTGTTGCTCGACCTAGTGTACAATACTCCAGTTGCAATACTCCTTACACTGCCCGCACGACTTTGGGCCTGCACGTCAACGGCGCCATGAAACCCCACTGCGAAGACTAAGGATTCTCGCTGACCCTTGGGCGAGAGATGCCATGATCCGTTGGGCCTTTCAGTGAGCAAGCTGACTCCTGAGCCAGCGCTTAATCTGCTCGCAGGATGAAGCTATCGTGGGGATAAGTAGTCCCATCGGCCCGCTCCCTTGTTTTGCCTTTTCCACACCAGTCTTTCTTTGAGTTGCTCTGCTGGCGTGCTATCTGTGAATAGCGTCGTTCCTTACCTTTCTACTTTCCTTTCGTTTCTTGACCAGCCTGCTGTGCGGGACTCTATTCCCTTCTTGGCCTCTGGAGCACCCCTTGACCACACGTTCTCTCCCTTGCGACATGGTCTCTACCCTCTCTTCACTGCTCGCCTTGGCCGCCTTGGCTGGTGCCACTCCCCTCCGTTCTCGAGCCGTGGATTCATTGAATGAAGAAGCCACTGCAGAAGCCCATCAGCGAGATGGCACGGCCACTCGGGCATTCTCTAACGTCCAGATCAAGGTAAGTATTTCAACATGAAGCTGTAGCCGACCTTGGCTGACAATGGGCATAGACGTCGGACGGCAAATGCCTTTTTGTTGACAAGCTCTCGGGCGACTTTCGCGCCAACTTGACTCCAATTCAGGTCGCTGACTGCGGGTCGACCGATGGACAAGGCTGGGACATCGTCACCGCAGGCAAGCACATTGAAGGCGACAATGTAATGCTTATTGTCAGCACCTTGACCCAGGCCTGTTTCAACTTTGATCCGCGTCGCCGGGGAGGGAACCAGGTTTTGCTCTTTTCTTGCGGCGGCCGAGCAGACGGAGGTAAGGGATTTCCTAACGCACTTTGTAGACTTCTTTTGGCTGACAGTTTCTCAAGGCGGGGAGATAACCAACTCCCAGCTCTTCGCCTTCGACGGTGGTGCTGGCCCACTCTCTTTCCAGCCCAAGAACCAGGCGGGATCTTGTCTTGTTGTCAAAGGCAATGTCATTGACGTCGCCAACTGCAACGACGGTGATGCCAATCAATCCTTCAGTTTCGGGGACGCCGCAGCAGGGGGTGGTAACAACAACAACGGCGGCAACAACAACAACAATGGCGGCAACAACAACAACTGTGCCGGCAACAACGGTGGCAATATTATCAATGCAAGGAGGTCAGCCTCGAGCTGCACCCCCTCTACACGTACGATAACCGTTGCGCCCACCCAAAGTGAGGGCAGCACAGCAAAACAGACATCGACTGCCGCTGCGGCGCAAACGACAGGCATCACCCCCGCAGACGGGAATGGAGGTGCCGAAGGCGGAGCTGGGACGGGCGGTATCCCAACAGTGAACCCCACCGATCCGGTACCCGTGTCTCGGGCCGGCGGCACGCTGCAGCCCACGGCAGCGGCCGAGTCGCACGAGCGAGACGAGACAGCCACGCGAGCCTTCAGCGGCGTCTCCATCCGCGCACCGAACGGCCAATGCCTCTTCGTTGACCCGACAGCAGGTGACTTCCGCCAGAATCTGATCCCGATCTCCCTGGTGGACTGCTCTGGCTCCCCCAACGAGAAATGGGATGTCATCACCGAGGGCAAGCACAACAAGCCGAATCCGAATCGCCCCGCGGCCTTGGTTGTTAGCGCATTGGTACGTGTGCCGGCATGAAGGCGCTTTCTTGGGAGACAGTGCCGGGCTAACCTGTTCCGCTCACAGACCCAGGGCTGCATCAGCTTCGATGGGAGACGTCAAGCGGGCGATACCGTCACCTTGTTCTCTTGTGGCGGGCGTGCTGATGGCGGTAAGCGCCTCTACCCTTAGCTTTATTTCTTCGACTGCTAACGAGTCGGAAGATGGTGAGACGGATGGCAATCAGTTGTTCCCCTTCATCGGACAGACAAGCTTCGCGTTTGCGCCAGGAAACGAGAACAATCGGACCTGCATCCTGCCTGGGAATGGCAGGCTCGAATCAGGTTCGTGCCCTGACGATGGCTCTCAGCTGTTTTCCATCTTCGAGTGAAGTGGAAGTTGGCGGTATCCATGCTCCTGGACTTGCAAATTAGGGGGCTCAGGGGGTGGCATCAAAGACAGACCTGGAGACGCTCCAGGCCTATGTTTTTATTCGATTCTGTTTCAAGTGTATTGTACCCATCCGTTTGACTTCTGTATGAAATAGATGGCATAGTCGATTCTGTTCCATCAACGCCCAAATACTTCCAAGCTGTACTTCGCTTATGGACGTGATGGGCTGTCTCTCTAAAGTAAAGGCGGTATAGCTGATTGACAGGAATACAGCCAGGTGCGTCTGATGGCGAGACTCTACGGATAAGATGCCTGGTAACCATCTGTAAGGTATGGTTCGAATGCGGCCCCACTTTAGCCTGCCCGCCGCTTGCAGTAAGTTACCAGGGCCTTGGAACTGACATCATGCCGAAATTTTACGCTTACCGCAAAAACCGCTCGATATCCAATTGAGGTCCCGGATCCGCCATCCCGACTGACAAATACGGGTTTCGCTGTACACATCGCACAACCCGGTCACTGCACCACACATGTCGCGACTACGCTGTTCCAACGCGCCTACCACGGCCGGCCTCTTCGTGCAGCTCAGCATGCGCCGACAGCTCCATCCAACCGGGCTTCCCATCTTGGATATCCTCCTGCCTTTCCGTCGTTTGGCAGCTGGCGCGCCCGCCGTCCGCGCCTACGGTGTTGTGTCGACCACAAGACCCGCCGAGGCACGCCATCCGGCCCCATCCCCAACGACATTCTTGAACAACAAACAATGGGCAAGCGCGACACCACACATCCACCATCCGACGAAGACAAAGGCCCGTTCGATACCTGTCTGCCGTCCCATCCGGCTATTCAGCACCTCTAGGCCCTGGCGAGCGACACACGCCATCTTCAACCCACAAAAAGACGACGGCGGCAAGGAGATGATGCTAGAGATCACCCCTCGCGCAGCAAAGGTATTCATTTTCTAGCCCCCATGCACCACCGTTGTCTCACCACAACAAAAACTAACCCCCATACCTTCCCAGCGCCTCACCGAAATCATGACCAGAGATTCCAACCCGCACCTCGCTCTTCGCATCCAAGTTGAATCTGGCGGCTGCCACGGCTTCCAATACTTGATGAAGCTCGTAACCCTGCCCGCAGCTCTGCCCACCAAGAAGGACTCACCGGCGACCCCCGCGGCAGCAGAGGATGATGACAACGCCTCGGCCACGATCCACGAGGACGACACCGTATTCACGTACACTGCTGAGGAGGACAGCTCCTCACCACCAGCGGACTTGACAGGAGCGCCCAAGATCATTCTGGACCAGCCATCGCTGGAATTATTGAAGGGAAGCAAGGTCGATTTCACCGTGGAACTCATTGGGTCGCAGTTCAAGATCGTGGACAATCCCTTGGCAACAAGTAGTTGTGGATGTGGCACGAGCTTTGACATCAAGATATGATGTTGGGCATTGATTGGGACGGGTTGACAGCGGTCTGCATTTTAGATAGACTGTTGTACACTACTGGAGACATAGACACGAGAAGACATGACAGGCAACAGCATAGTCGGGCTAAAACATGCGCAACTCTGTAGCATTGGGCCCTACCCTGGCCAACAGGGAACAGGCTAGGTCACATGTCCTAGGGCTGAATCAGTTGTGACGCGCAAGAACAAGATCGTCTTTAATTCATTCCCTGTGAGCCACCCTGGCTTTCACGTCAAACGCCGAGTACCCATGCCAGTTCCTATGACCGAGAGACAAACCTCGCAAACCCAAAGCAAGCTTTTTTAGTTCATCTGCCGGATCAGGGCGTTGATGTGCTCCTCCCGGTTGCCAAGGTCACCACCCTCAATGAAGTGCTTGAACTTGCGGGGGCGGAAGCCGCCGTTGGGGTTGCTGAGCTTGAAGGGCCACAGGAAGTTGGAGGCCTGCTTGAAGTTGGGGCCGACGGTGTAAATCTCGTGGATGAGATCCTCCATGCAGATGATGCCGTACTTGCCAAGGTTCTCCTCGATGATGGCGTTGTCGGTGAGGGCGATGCGCTGGCCGTTCACCTTACCATAACCGCGCTTGTAGATGAGCTCCTTGACGCTCTTCAGGTTGGGGTAGCCATAGGCAACCCAGGGCTCGACGACCTTGATCATCTCGGCTGTGGCCTTGGTGACGCGGACGAAGACACCGTTGTTGATCTGAAGAAGGCGGAGAAGCTGGAGGATCTTGCGCGGCTTGGGGGGGATCTTGTTGATACTGACAAATTGTCAGTCATTGAAACCCGGCGAGAAGAGATAATCAGCCTACCCCTTGATGCGGATGACGAAGATCAGCTTGGCCTCAGCAGGGATGTAGAAGGAGCCGTCCTGCTTGGCAACGCGGGCAAGGCGGATCTTCTCCCGCTCGGCATCGCGGTACTCCTTAACGTACTTCTCAGCACGCTTGAAGATGACGCCGCGCTTCTCCTTGTTGGCCTGCCAGTATTGTCAGCACAAGCTCTGGCCATGTCCTGAGTGACCGCAAAGTGGTTCCCGCGAAGTTCGATCAGACCCGAAAGATGGTATAAGTTTAGCAACAGCATTGACCTGGGTCTAGTCGCTAGGTGTATTGTGCATCATGTCGTGCAGGAAGGCGGATAGACAAAGGAACACCGACCTTCTTCCGCTTCTCCTGCTCAGCGGCGCGCTCAGCGCGGGCCTTCTCCTGCGACTTGCGCTTCTTCAGGAGAGTCTCGGGAACGAGAACATCATTCTGGGTCGGGACGGACCTGCGCGTTCAGATTAGTACGTGATCCGACATACCGCGGTATGTGGTAGAGCGCCGGTGGAGAATTGCTGCTCAAGTGCGACATTCTCTCGTGGCTGACTCGATTGTCGAGCGTTGACAGATGGAATGCTCCCGAGACGAGCGCACCATTCCTGGCCACCTCATGGTCTCTAGAGCGTTACCATCCGTCAACACCTTGGACAGGTCCAAGAGATTATTGCTCGCGTTGGTGACCGAGGCCATCAGCTCAAGAGGTAGCCTCTTGACCAAGACCGGGAGAACCAAGCGGCACTGAATTCAAGGGAGAAGGAAGAACCTTCAGCCCCAACACCCCGCGACACATCTCTCAGTCTGCAAGCCCAATGGCCTGAAGGAAAGAGGGAGAATCGTGAGAGGGATCGAGCTGGAGCGATGCCCGGATCCAGTGCGGAAGCCGAGAAAAGCATCCAGTTGAGAGGATCACGCCAATCTGCAGAATCTCGTCAAGCGACACGCGACGGTACCGTTCAGGATTTGAAGGAAAGAATATGGGGTGAGGCATACGTGGTGGCAGCCATCTTGTCGGATTGTCGACCACTTCGGCGTCGCTGAGGTTGTCGTCTGCTTGGTTGAGGATCGGGGAAAAGAAAATCGGCTGGTGGGCACGAGAAAAGCTCGAGGGATTAAGTCAAGGTGGGTCCTCGGTACGAAGGCACTTAGGGCTTGAGCCTGGAATTTTCAATTTTCGCTGAGATCCCCGCTTTCTGCAGCCCCTCACCGCCAGCCTCAACAGGGCATTCATCACCGCACTCGTCAAAATTCCGCCGAAGTCACTGTCGACTGGTGTATCCGCAAGAACAACAACCGCCAACTCTCAAACCACCAGATCACAGTCAAGATGCCCCCCAAGAAGGCTCCTCGTGCTCCCCAGGAGAACATCTCCTTGGGCCCCCAGATCAGGGAGGGTGAGCTCGTCTTTGGCGGTAGGTGACCTTGCTTCCCTCTCTGGTCGTGGGGATTGTCGCTAACAGGCTGTTGAATCACAGTTGCCCGTATCTTCGCCAGCTTCGTAAGCATTTCCCTCGCCCGGGTCAGTTTGTGACAATAGCTAATTGCGTTAAGAACGACACCTTCGTCCACGTCACCGATCTCAGGTTCGTACACCGCTGAAGCACTCTCCCATACGGAGGGAAAGAGGAGCCATGGGCGACTCTGCAATCCCGCATAGGATCTCGACATCCATGGTTCTGAGGCTGACGTTCTGGGTGATTCCAGCGGCCGTGAAACCATCTGCCGTGTGACTGGTGGTATGAAGGTCAAGGCCGACCGTGACGAGTCGTCCCCCTATGCCGCCATGTTGGCTGCTCAGGACGTCGCGGCCCGCTGCAAGGAGCTCGGCATTACTGCCCTTCACATCAAGATTCGTGCCACCGGTGGTATGTTTTACACAAGGCTTGTCTTCTACTCGGCTGAGTGACCGATTGCTAACTTTACGGCTCCGACAGGCAACGGCACCAAGACCCCCGGCCCTGGCGCCCAGTCTGCTCTCCGCGCTCTTGCCCGTTCCGGCATGAAGATTGGCCGCATTGAGGACGTCACCCCCACGCCGTCCGACTCGACCCGCCGCAAGGGTGGTCGCCGTGGTCGTCGTCTCTAAACAGCTACCGAGGCGAGTGGTGGTTGGCTTTCTGGAAAGCATTCGATTCTGGTTTGGGGTTTTGCTGTGGCGTTGACAAATACGAGGGGAACGGCCTGATATTGCCTGGTCTCCATATGCTGGCGCTTGTCACATGTTGCTTATGGCACACCTGCAGCAGATACAATGAAGAATCAAGACGGGGCTACGAAGGTAGCCCGGAACAACGCTGCCTTGCGTCTAGGTCACTAGCGACTCCGAGTCATCGGTTCTTTTCCAGAAAGCAGACATTCACGCGGCCCGGTTCTCAGTCATGTGCCTCAATGTCCTCTCTGCATGTCGCAGGCTTCAGTATCCTGAACGATGGTTGGGCATAACCTGTCCTGGTTTTGTTGTAATTGTCACAGCCAGAGCAACGTGGAAGGTTTGCCATCAAGGTCACGACACTTGGACGAACGGGACCCCCTTTTCGCCAGGCAGAGTCTGGGTTATGTCTGAGCGTATTAGCTGGTCAAAGATTCACCTCACTTATCAGACAGGTCTTAAGAGGCACAGTTATCCAACTCCACGCGGACAAATAGGTAGCCTCTTCTTTGGTCAACCAAATCAGTACAGACAAAAATAGCTCGAGGAAACTAGACCCAAGAGGTCCACTCCAGGGCTTCATTTGGATTGGCCGTGGTGTTTCCCAGGCGATGCCACATAGTTTTCCGCACTTGTGAAACAGCCTTCACTTTCTCTACCGGCTCCTACTGCGGCACTCCCACGTTGTGGTGAGTTTTTCAACCTGCCAGTGTTTGAGCATCACCAGCTGGACAACCAACCGATTAGTGGACAACCGAAGTCACGCGTGGGGTTCACAAACAGTATGTAGTATCGCCTGCATTCCCTGGTCTACCGTGGCGCGAAGCACAAAACACACCGAGGACCAATTTTGATACGTAACATGCCCAACCCTGAAATGCGAAAGCAAACGAAAGTCATCCATGTATTCCCCCACCAGTATCATCCCAAGCCCTAACCACGCACCGCAGCGCCCAAAGCACCGCCCGTGAATTGCGTACCGCCAGCCTGCCGCTGGGGATTGCCGCCGGTGCGTGTACCGCCCCTGCCACCGCCCCGCTGACCGCCGCCCCTTTGGCCGCCTTGCCTGCCATCCTTCCTGCTGAACGCGTTCGCCGACCCTTGCGTCCTCACCTCGAGCGTGCGCTCATTGGTCTCGATCAGAGCGCTCGCCTTGTCCGAGAGAGCCAGAGCCAAGCTCTGGAGACGGCTGAGCTCCACACCCTTGCGGAAGATGACTGTCTTGGTAACCTGATCAAGAGCAGCAGCGAGTTCCTCGTGGCTGATCATCTTGCTGACCACGGCAGAAACCTTGATTGGGTCGAGCTCGAACATTGTGCTGAGCGTCTCAATCGCCAGCGTGTCATAGAAAGGCGCATACGTGAAGAGATATGTCCGCAGCCCCTCCTCTTGTATCTGCTTGGCAAGCATCGCCTTGATGTCCTCGGCGCTGGGCATCAAATCCCAGATCTTGATGCTGTGGATGAATTGGGTTGCCTTCTTCCATTCACCAGCCGCCAAAGCCTTGGACGCCTGCATGACGTGGTCTCGAGTGTTCTCGGGCGGGCCCGTGAAGATTTGCCTCTCGTGATACTCAAGCATGCGACGGTACGTCTTGCTGATGACGCGCTTCTTGATATCTGGCGAGGAGCCGATCTGTGCCAGGAGCGGAATCTCGAGGAGCATGCTGCATGTCAGGTAAACACACTCGAGAAGCTCTAGGTTGATGTGCATGTGGAAGGGAAGCTGCCGTTGCTTCTCAAGCCGCTCCTGCTCTGGGCTGACTTGACTGAACCGCTGCATCATCATACCCTGAGCAAGAAGCTCCTTTTGGCGTCCGCTGCCACAGATGTCCTGTAGAGTGTTCTGAGCATCGTACACCAAACCTCTCCGGAAAGCGCAGAGGCCGACTTGGACCAGGGTGCGGTTGTAGAGAATTTGGGTCGCAACGTCGAAGTTGGCGATGTTCTCTTGCAAATGCGAGGTGAGCATCATATCGCGGGCCCTGTAGTACTCGTTATGCAACGCTAAGAAGTAGATCTGGCAGAGCATGGCACGAGCACGGATGATGCCCTCGCTGTTGTTGAACAGATAGTTGCACAGCGTATGAATCAGTTGGCTGGCGTCGCCCGAAAGACCGCGAGGAGTAATCGCAGAATCGATGCCGCTAGAAACCTGCTTCCAAGAGTTCTCTTCCAGAATTCTAACAACTTGGGCCGGCTGAGACAAGTTAGCGGAATAGATCGAGCGAAGGACAAATTGCTGTGCATAACATACCTTGAAGTAAACGTGATCAAGGCGCCGCTGGATGATGCGGTTCAAGCTCTCCTGCGGAATCTCCAGGGACGCGTCCTTCTGGATGGTCTCGTAATAAAGAAGACCCCGCAAGATGATGGTGTACAGGGACGCCTCGTCGGTCAACCTTTCAATGTACTCCGAGGTGTGAGGGTCGATGTTCTGGAGCGAGCGAACAAGTTCGTCATCCAAGCGCTCGATGTAGGAAACCACGCTGCCGGGTACTTTGATGTACTTGTCATCAGGTCCCAGGACAGGAGTCTTGTCATCGTCATCCCACTCCTCCGCGTTCTCGATCACTACATGGTCCTTGTGTGTTTCGAGAAGCGAAAGCAAAGCGGACAATTCCCTCTCGGCAGCCTTCCAGTGCTCCAAGGGCATCGAGGTCGCCGTGCCAACACCAAGATCGAACCGAGTCGAAACCAATGTCTGCAGGACTCGGATCTTGAGATAAGGTGTCTCAGCAACCTTGTTGAGTTCTTCCATAATCCTGATCTGTTCATTGCGATCGGTGTTCTTCCTGCCTCTTGACTCGATGATGGTGCGGAGGTGCTTCTGGATGCTCTCGGGCGAGAATGGAATAGCCTTGCCACGCTTGTCGACTCTAGCAAAGCCCTTGTCCTCATCCTCGGCCGCTTCGTCTGCAGCCGGCGCCTCTTGGAACCTGACTTTGGTAGGCTTCGGTAGCGGGGCGACCTCCTCGTCCGACTCCATGAAGGCATCCCTGTCGTTCCTGAACGCATCAATCTGGGACTGGTATTCCTTGTTGTTCTTCTTGATGCGCTGTTTGACGGCATTGAGACCGCGGGCAGCGGTGGCGTTCATTTTCTTGGGTGTGACCTTCTGCTTCGCTAAGGTCTCATTCAAGAAGTCCTCCAACTCGGAGATGCACTTGATGTACGACTTAGGAGCCTTGCCGCCATCTTGAAGCTTGACGACCTGACGGTTGAGCTTGTCGAATTCTAACCCCAGTTAGTCTTCATCCACCCCGCCACTCTGATCAAGGGCGAGCATACCATTCGCGATAGAGCCCCAATCGTTGATCTTTTGGCCGTTCTGGATGGCGGTGATTGTTGCCTCGAGCTCGTCAAACCGCTTGTCTTTGGCACTCTTGACCTTGGTTGCGCCCTCCTCTTCGCTCTCCTCGCTCTCGGATTCTGCTTGGTCGACTAAGAAGCGGGATAAGCCTTTCTTTGCCGGCCCAGCTTCATTATCGCTGGACTCTTCCTCCTCATCCTCCTCCTCAGAGGACTCCTGCTCCTCCTGCTCCTCCTCCTCTTCCTCCTCAGAGGTGGAGTACAGCTCCTCCTCGTCAGTGCTGCTCTCTGACGAGCTGTCGTCGCCGGCACGGAAGAACCGAGACATGGTGAAAATCGGTTCCTGTTTTATGCGCAAGGTCTGGTCGGGTGTTGTTGATGCGCTTCGCGATGTGTCGCGACGTCGTGGCTGGACAGGCGATTGCGAAAATACGAGAATAGTGGAGGGGTCGAGATTTATTTTTCAGTGGTGATTTGGTGGGGCCTCAATTTGGGGCTGGTTTGGCAAACCACTCCGCTATCGCCACAATGACACCGGTTTTGAATGTCAAAGCACTCGTACTGCGGAAGAAGAAAATTGATTGTGCCCCAGGACTCTGAGCATGAGAATCACAGATTTCTGACCGACAACCTAGCATCGTCCTTGTGATGCACTGTTTTCAATGGTGACTCCCCAGCCACAACAGTCAGGTGATACGGCACGTGTGGTCATCTTACGTTACCAGTCCCTCGCTTGTATTCCACAGTATGCGCCCCTAGGTACCGCATGCTCTTATCGGGGCCTACGAGATAACCGGGACTCGGCCGGTCTGCGCGCTAGTTAGCAACTTCGCGCCACTGTTGTCACGAGAGAGCTCCCAGTTTTTTTTGTACCGACATCAGCCAAGTTTTGGCTTCATCAAACCATCACTCCACAACCCGCGCAATCACCTTCTCTAACTGTTAAGTAATTCGCGCCGTCACTAACTGGTTCATGGAGAGTTTCTCCATTTTCACTCTCTATTGACACCGGCACCGCCGCGCAGAGCGCAGCCGCGACGAGCAATCCCAGCGCGAAGAGACATCACCTTAACGCTGCCTGGTGGTGTGTCGGTGACGCTTATCCGAATTGTTATCACCATTCGAGATGTCTTCGCTCCCGCCGCCGCCGCCGCCTCCGGGCTGGGGCCCTCCTCCTCCTCCGCCAACCCCTCCCCCGCCGGCGCCCCCGTCTTCTTCCCTTCCCCCGCCTCCGGCGATCCCAGCGCCGCCGCCGCCAGGCTACCGTCCCCCGACTGACGCCCATATCGCCAAGTTTGCGCAGAAGAAGAAGGAATGGCTCCGTATACAACGCAACCGCTTTGGCGAGAAGCGGAAGGGCGGCTTCGTAGAGACACAAAAGGCCGACATGCCTCCCGAACACTTGCGGAAGATCGTCAAAGATATCGGGGATGTCTCCCAGAAAAAGTACACCAGCGACAAGCGCAGTTATCTCGGCGCGTTGAAATTCATGCCACACGCCGTCTTGAAGCTGCTGGAGAACATGCCCATGCCGTGGGAGTCGGCCAGGGAAGTCAAAGTTTTATACCACGTCAACGGCTGCTTGACCCTCGTCAACGAGATCCCTCGCGTCATTGAACCCGTGTTCTTCGCACAATGGGCCACCATGTGGAATACCATGGCCAAGGAGAAGAGGGACCGGAGATTGTTCAAGCGCATGCGGTTCCCGCCGTTTGATGACGAAGAACCCCCGTTGTCTTGGTCCGAGAACATCGAAGACGTTGAGCCGTTGGAGCCTATTCAGATGGATCTTGACGAGGAGGAAGAGGCGGCTGTTTACGAATGGTTCTATGACCACCAGCCGCTGCTGGACACCCCCCATGTGAACGGGCCAAGCTACAAGAGGTGGAATCTGACGCTGCCACAGATGGCCGCTCTGTACCGTTTGAGTCGGACACTGGTGTCCGACGTGGTCGACCCAAACTACTTTTACCTCTTTGAGCTGAAGAGCTTCCTCACGGCCAAGGCGTTGAACGTGGCACTCCCCGGTGGCCCGCGCTTTGAGCCTCTCTACAAGGACATCGATCCCAACGACGAAGACTTTGGCGAGTTCAACGCCATGGACCGCATCATCTTCCGCAACCCCATACGCACCGAAGTCCGCGTGGCCTACCCTCACCTCTACAATGCGCTGCCGAGGAGCATCCACCTGTCCTGGCATTCTCACCCACAGGTCGTCTACTCCAGAGCCGAGGATCCCAGTCTCCCTGCCTTCTACTTCGATACCAGCATCAACCCGATTTCTTCCAGGGCTGTTGTTCCCAAGAATATTACAGTGAGCCATGAGGATGAGCTCTTTGGTCAAGGCAGCATCGAAGAGCCAGAGGAGGAGGCGTTCGAGCTCCCAGCCACAATTGAGCCTTTCTTTGCGGACGAGTCTCTAGCTACCGAGGACACCGCCGCTGCCATTGAGTTATGGTGGGCACCCTTCCCCTTTGACCGGCGGTCTGGCCGCATGGTGCGAGCCCAGGATGTCCCGCTCGTCAAGCACTTCTATCTGGAACACTGCCCGCCCAAGCAACCAGTCAAAGTCCGCGTCTCCTACCAGAAGCTCCTGAAGACCTACGTACTCAACGAGCTACACAAGAAGCGGCCCAAATCGCTACAGAAGCAGAACCTGCTCAAGACCCTGAAGCAGACAAAGTTCTTCCAGCAGACGACAATCGACTGGGTGGAAGCCGGCCTTCAGGTCTGCCGCCAAGGCTTCAACATGCTCAATCTCTTGATCCATCGCAAGAACCTCACATACCTCCATCTCGACTACAACTTCAACCTGAAGCCTGTCAAAACATTGACGACCAAGGAGCGGAAGAAGTCACGATTCGGAAACGCCTTCCATTTGATGCGCGAGATCCTGCGCCTGACCAAGCTCATTGTGGATGCCCAGGTGCAATACCGGCTCGGGAACATCGATGCGTTCCAGCTCGCCGATGGCATCCACTATGCATTCAACCACGTCGGGCAGCTGACCGGTATGTACCGGTACAAATACAAGCTCATGCACCAGGTCCGTACTTGCAAGGATTTGAAGCATTTGATCTACTACCGGTTCAACACTGGCGCCGTCGGCAAAGGGCCAGGCTGTGGCTTTTGGGCGCCTTCCTGGCGGGTCTGGCTGTTCTTCATGCGGGGCATCATCCCGCTGCTCGAGCGTTGGCTAGGGAATCTTCTCTCGCGTCAGTTCGAAGGCCGCCACAGCAAGGGTGTGGCCAAGACCGTGACGAAGCAGCGTGTCGAGTCGCACTTTGACTTGGAGCTGCGTGCTTCGGTCATGGCCGACCTGATGGACATGATGCCGGAAGGGATCAAGCAGAACAAGGTCAACACGGTTCTGCAGCATTTGTCCGAGGCCTGGCGGTGCTGGAAGAGCAATATTCCCTGGAAGGTCCCCGGTTTGCCCGCCGCCATTGAGAACATTATCCTGAGATATGTCAAGGCTAAGGCGGACTGGTGGATTTCGGTTGCCCACTACAATCGAGAGCGCATCCGCAGGGGTGCCACTGTCGACAAGACCGTGGCCAAAAAGAACGTGGGGCGTCTCACACGGTTGTGGCTCAAGGCGGAGCAGGAGAGACAGCACAACCACATGAAGGACGGTCCGTATGTCTCGTCCGAGGAAGCCGTGGCCATTTACACGACAACGGTCCATTGGCTCGAGTCGCGCAAGTTTTCGCCCATTCCCTTCCCGAGCGTCTCCTACAAACACGACACCAAGATCCTCATTCTGGCACTTGAGCGGCTGCGGGAGGCGTATTCCACCAAGGGCCGTTTGAACCAGAGCCAGCGTGAAGAGTTGGCTTTGATCGAGCAGGCCTACGACAGCCCTGGTACCACCCTGGAGCGGATCAAGCGCTTCCTGCTCACCCAACGTGCCTTCAAGGAGGTTGGCATTGATATGAACGACAACTACAGCACCATCAATCCTGTCTATGACATCGAGCCCATCGAGAAGATCAGCGATGCGTATCTCGACCAGTATCTCTGGTACCAAGCGGACCAGCGCCATCTCTTCCCTGCCTGGATCAAGCCTTCGGATTCTGAGGTCCCGCCGCTCCTCGTCTACAAGTGGGCGCAGGGCATCAACAACCTCGACAAGGTCTGGGAAACGACGAACGGCGAGTGCAATGTCATGATTGAGACGCAGTTGTCAAAGGTCTACGAGAAGATTGAGTTGACGCTGCTCAATTCACTCTTGCGACTTATCATGGACCACAATTTGGCCGACTACATCACGGCCAAGAACAACGTCACGCTCACTTACAAGGACATGAGCCATGTTAACAGCTACGGCTTGATTCGTGGTCTTCAGTTCTCTGCCTTCGTCTTCCAGTACTACGGCTTGATTCTCGATCTTCTCCTTCTCGGTCCCCAGCGAGCGAGTGAGATAGCGGGACCTCCCCAGAATCCCAACGACTTCCTCCAGTTCCAGGATCGTGAGACGGAAACAAGACATCCGATTCGGCTCTACACCAGATACATTGACAAGATTTGGGTATTTTTGCGGTTCACCGCCGATGAGTCCAGAGACCTCATTCAGCGATTCCTGACGGAGCAGCCTGACCCCAACTTCGAGAACGTCATTGGCTACAAAAGCAAGAAGTGCTGGCCCAGGGATTCTCGAATGCGGCTCATGAGACACGACGTGAATCTTGGCCGGGCCGTTTTCTGGGACCTTAAGAACCGGCTTCCGAGGTCGGTCACGACGATTGAGTGGGAAGACACGTTTGCCAGCGTCTACAGCAAGGACAACCCCAATCTCCTCTTCTCCATGTGTGGCTTTGAGGTTCGCATCTTGCCCAAGCTTCGCAACCAGAATGACGAGTTCCCCGTCAAGGACAGCGTTTGGTCGCTTGTGGACAACACAACCAAGGAACGGACTGCACATGCCTTCCTGCAGGTGACGGAGGAGGACATCCAGAAATTTAACAACCGTATCCGCCAGATCCTAATGTCATCCGGCTCTACCACCTTCACCAAGATTGCCAACAAATGGAACACCGCTCTGATCGCCCTGTTCACATACTACCGCGAGGCTGCCGTGTCGACAGTCAACCTTCTTGACACAATTGTCAAGTGCGAGACAAAGATCCAGACACGTGTCAAAATTGGCCTAAACTCGAAAATGCCCTCCCGTTTCCCGCCGGCCGTGTTCTACACGCCAAAGGAACTCGGCGGCCTTGGCATGCTTTCGGGCTCGCACATTTTGATTCCAGCAAGTGACAAACGCTGGTCCAAGCAAACCGATGTCGGTGTCACGCACTACCGTGCGGGCATGTCCCACGACGAAGAGACGTTGATACCGAATATCTTCCGCTACATCATCCCATGGGAGGCCGAGTTCATCGATTCGCAGCGCGTGTGGACCGAGTATTCGCAGAAGCGACTCGAGGCAAACCAGCAGAACCGGAGACTCACGCTTGAGGATCTAGAAGACAGCTGGGATCGCGGTTTACCCCGAATCAACACCTTGTTTCAAAAGGATCGCAGCACGCTGAGCTTTGACAAGGGGTTCCGTGCCCGGGCGGAGTTTAAAATCTACCAGCTCATGAAGAGCAACCCCTTCTGGTGGACCAGTCAGAGACATGACGGCAAGCTCTGGAATCTCAACGCATACCGCACCGATGTCATCCAGGCACTGGGCGGTGTTGAAACCATTTTGGAGCACACTCTCTTCAAGGCGACGGGCTTCCCGTCCTGGGAAGGCCTGTTTTGGGAAAGGGCTTCGGGCTTTGAGCAGGTTAGTTCCCTTCCTTTCCTTTGCCGTTCATCCTTCCCCTTTGGGGTTCTCACTCCAGTTCGCCGTTCCCTTTCCTCTACTCTTAGACTCCCTCGGTTCGGTAGAAATAAACTGACAAGGTTGCTAACGCGTCTGCTTCACAGTCCATGCAATTCAAAAAACTGACCAACGCCCAACGTTCCGGTTTGAACCAAATTCCGAACCGGCGCTTCACGCTTTGGTGGTCACCAACGATCAACAGAGCAAACGTGTACGTGGGTTTCCAGGTGCAGCTCGATCTTACTGGAATTTTCTTGCACGGCAAGATTCCGACCTTGAAGATCTCTCTCATCCAAATCTTCCGCGCCCACTTGTGGCAGAAGATCCATGAGTCTGTCGTGATGGATCTCTGCCAGGTCTTCGACCAAGAGTTGGAGGCTCTGAGCATCGAATCGGTGCAAAAGGAGACCATTCACCCTAGAAAGTCGTACAAGATGAACAGCTCCTGCGCGGATATCCAGCTGTTCGCAAGTCACAAGTGGAACGTCACCCGCCCATCACTGCTCTTCGACAACAAGGATGTGATCGAGGCAACCACGACAAGCAAGTTCTGGATTGATGTGCAACTCCGCTATGGCGATTACGACTCGCACGACATTGAGCGATATGTCAGGGCGAAGTATCTTGACTACACCACGGACAGCATGAGTCTGTACCCATCACCTACGGGTTTGATGATTGGCATTGACCTGGCGTATAACCTGTACTCGGCTTACGGTCAGTATTTTCCTGGCTTGAAAACGTTGATCCAGCAGGCCATGGCCAAGATCATGAAGGCGAATCCTGCGCTCTACGTCTTGCGCGAGCGGATCCGCAAGGGGCTGCAGCTCTACGCGTCCGAGAGCAACCAGGAGTTTTTGAACTCTCAGAATTATTCCGAATTGTTCAGCAACCAGACACAGCTCTTCATCGATGACACCAACGTCTACCGGGTCACGATCCACAAGACTTTTGAGGGCAACTTGACAACGAAGCCGATCAACGGAGCCATCTTCATCTTCAACCCGCGAACCGGCCAACTCTTCCTCAAGATCATCCACACGAGCGTCTGGGCTGGGCAGAAGCGTCTCGGCCAGCTTGCAAAGTGGAAGACGGCTGAAGAAGTCGCAGCCTTGATTCGATCGCTTCCAGTCGAAGAGCAGCCCAAGCAGCTCATCGTCACCCGCAAGGGCCTGCTTGATCCTCTCGAGGTCAACCTTCTGGATTTCCCCAACATCTCCATCCGTGCCTCGGAGTTACAGCTTCCTTTCCAGGCTGCCATGAAGGTTGAGAAACTGGGTGACATGATTTTGCGCGCCACCGAACCGCAGATGGTGCTCTTCAACCTCTATGACGAGTGGCTGAAGAGTATCTCGTCGTACACGGCATTCTCTCGCCTGATTCTCATTCTGAGGGCGTTGCATGTCAACCAGGATAAGACGAAACTCATCCTGCGACCCGACAAGACGGTGATCACGCAAGATCACCATATCTGGCCATCGCTCTCAGATGATGATTGGATCAAGGTCGAAATGCAGCTGAGAGATCTGATCCTTAACGACTACGGCAAGAAAAACAATGTGAACGTGTCCAGTCTGACGACCAGCGAAGTTCGGGATATTATCCTGGGTATGGAGATTTCGGCGCCGTCTTTGCAGAGGCAGCAGGCGGCCGAGATTGAGAAGCAACAGCAGGAGCAGCAGCAGCTGACGGCTGTCACAACCAAAACTCAGAACGTGCACGGGGAGGAGATTATCGTCACGACAACGTCGCAATTTGAGCAGCAGACGTTCGCGTCCAAGACGGAGTGGCGCACGCGGGCCATCGCCACGTCCAACCTGCGCACAAGGGCCAACAATATGTACGTGGCGCCGGTGGATAGCGACGTGGACGACATCACGTACGTGATGCCGAAGAACATCCTCAAGAAGTTCATTACGATCGCCGACCTCCGGGTTCAGGTGGCTGGATACCTGTACGGCGCCTCGCCCGCCGACAACGACCAGGTCATGGAGATCAAGTGCATCGTCTTGGTCCCGCAGATCGGCGGGTTACGCAACGTCCAGCTGCCGCAGAATCTCCCGCAGCACGAGCTGCTCAAGGGCATGGAGCCGCTCGGCGTCATCCACACAATGTCCGGCAACGAGCTCCCCTACATGTCTGCCATGGACGTCACGACCCACGCCAAACTTGTCGATGCCCACCCGACTTGGGATGAGCAAAAGACGCTCACGGTCACGGTGTCGTTCACGCCTGGTAGCGTGTCGCTCTCCGCGTGGGCTCTCACCCCGCAGGGCTTCAAGTGGGGCCTGGATAACAAGGACCTCGGCAGTGACCAGCCGCAGGGCTTCACGACAGCCATGGGCGAGAGGCGGCAGCTGCTGTTGAGTGACAAGTTCAAGGGGTTCTTTTTGGTACCTGACGGCGGCAAGTGGAATTACAGCTTCATGGGGAGTGCGTTCAGCGGGCTGGAGAAGAAGCCAATACATGTCAAGCTGGACACGCCCATGCCGTTTTATAGTGATCAGCACCGACCTATTCACTTCTCGAGCTTCAATGAGTTGGAGGATATTTGGGTTGATAGGCAGGACAACTTTGCTTAGCCAAGTTGCTGTCTGGTGACAGGAGAAACGGGAGCGGCTTGCGGACTGGCGGGCATCAAGCAGATGAGAGTGGCCTCGGGAGCGACATCAAGTTGTTTCATCAGCTCTCTTGGACTCCGATTGGCGTTTATTTGTTAATTGTATTATGTTGCTTCGGGGGTTGCGTCACGTATGTGGTTTGCGCGCGGTCTCTTATATCTCTGGAACGAAGGAATACTGTAACATGGTTTTATGTATGTACCTGTATATGGTAGTGAGGGATGGAAATAATGACCAAAATTCTATAAAGAGAAGGTTCTCATCTAGCAGAAGTGTGTTTGTTGACTGCGTTGAGGGAACTAGTCTGGCCCGGATTTGGAATCTGGGAGCCCTCCGGTCGGCTCAGTCATCCGCCTTGCGGGACGACGATAATCGCACACGGAAGCAACCAATGAGCCAGGAATCGAGGCCAGGGCGGACACAACTGTCGGAGCTGATTCAGCTGCCCTGCTGGTATGACCGCCAGAGATTGTGTTCAATGCGTTCATGCGCTTAGCTTCACGATGCTTGCCTTTTTGGGGAGAGCTAGCTGGTCAGGAAATGGAATGCAAATCGCGATGGGCACGTGCTGTGGACAAGGGCTCGGAGGCATCGATGTTTTGAACAGCCCGTGGGATTCTCACTACCCAGCTTGCCTCAGCTTTTCCAGACTTGCTGAAAGAAAGTTCGCGGCCGCTTCGATTTGGTTTTCATGCATTGACGCCGTTTGATGGGCGTGCCAAGACCCCCTGGCAGGAGAAATCTCCGATGAAGACATTTTTAGGAGGTACTCGAGTGGACATTCCCTGGGCTGCATGTCTTGATTAAAGTTTCTTCCACACCTTACGGACGAAGCAGATGCGGTTTGCCCTTGCAAGAGCTAGGGTAGGTACGTAGGAAACGTGGTGGAGAAAAGACGTTGGGCATGAAGTTGATGGCGCTTTGACTGGGTGTTCAGAGGCACACATGCAAGATCGCTGCGGATGGTCCGCTTCTGGTGCATGCGCTGCTGGCATGATGTGGAGGCAGCGTGTTCGTGTCGGGAAACCTCATCGCCTTGGCGCAGCGGCCAGTCCGGTCCGGGGCCAGGCTCCATTGCCGTCCAGCCGAGTGAAGCGCTGATCAGAAGTCTCGGGAGCTAAGCCGAAATCCGGAGGGTGCACCCTCACGTATGGAAGCAGTGGCTCAGGAAGAGAATGTTGGGGGTTGCAAGACGGAAATGACTGATCAGGCTGCCCGAGGCCGGTGGTCCCAGCTTGGGCTGACCAGCCAGGATAAGTCCCAGATGAGTTGTCAAGTCACTGTCAGCAGCTTGAAATTTCCGTCCGTCCTGATGAAGGATCATAGTTGTGCAGTGCAAAGAGGTCCTCGGCGACAAACGTTGGTGCCTGTCATGGATATTATCGGGAAATACTCCATCGTCTAGGTCGAGTCCACTATTTCCACTTGGCTCCCGACAAGGTTCCAGGGTTTGGAAGGTTAGCGTGGTACAGCTAAGCTACCAAAGTAGGGATTCAACCAGGTTAGCAATTAGGGATATCCCATAGAAAACAGGGCAGATTGAATGCAAATATCAGTATCTCATTATAGCTTCCTCTGCCTCTATATATATCTATAGCCTGTGAATTTAGAGGGAATCTCTCTTATATCTCACTTATCACTAGCTAAAATAGACGAAATTGATATCATTAGAAAGAGTTCGAGAAAACTCTATCAAGTGATGCTGGTTTTACTTGAGGTATAGCCTTTGCATGGCCGCGCAGGGCATCCTGAAAATGATGGCGTGAAAGATATCTATAACGTTAGTACTAAGAACTCTTTATATATGTATATGTAACTTGCACGAACTATACTCTAGCCTTGACCTAGCTTTTCTACTAGCTATAATGCCGAGAAGCTCATCTTAGTCAACGTATACTGTCACGGCCCCCACTATGAGCACTATACTTAGGCTATTGGCAGGCGAGATACTGTGATTTCATGGCGAAGCGACATGACTCGCAACAGAGGGAGAATATTTGGAGAGCGGAGACTCAGATTGGAACTCGGAACTTTCCTCTCTCAAGGACAGTCAGTTGGTCAAGTGGTGCACGCACAATATGGTCGTCTTGCCTGCTCCTCATTGCGGATTCGATGCATCTTCTTTGGTGAGCCTATGTGTGTCACCTAATATATCCTATACTTAAATAGCCTTTTCTATATTAATAGCTTAGAAAACTAGTTATTTTAATACTTAAATGGGCACTATTAAGCCTTTATCACTGATTACCTAGTTAAAATTAATCTGTTCTAAAAGAAGTAAGAAGCCTAAGCTCTTATTAAGAAGCTATAATAGGCCTTACAGCAAGTCCTGCGAAGTCTTCGTAAGCCAGATAACTTCCTATCATTAACCTTCAAGAAATATATTGCAAGAGAGGTAGAAGTAGCTATTATAAGATCTAAGGCTTTAGATAAAGAAGAAAGACTACAGTATCCTCTTAGAGCCTTCTATAGTTCCTTGTTACCCAACTAAAAAAAGGCAGTGCCAGCTAGACTCCTGTCACGAACCAACCATATGTACAGGCCCAGTGGGGCACAAGGCAGAACTGCAGGAACCGCACGAGGCCCACACGGTAGCCGTGGGGGCCGGGCGACCAAGGGTAGACTTGGGTAGCTGGCTACCCAAGGCGATCAAGGATAACTCTTGGTAGGCTGCGATCATGGGCGATCATGAAGGCTCTACCAAGTATATAGTCACTCGTTCTGGAGGACTCTGGGAGTTCTCCAGTGAGCAACTTAAGTGCAAGATTGTCAGTACCTTTGGACATTGCTTGTTGTGAACCCTTTGGCTTCACCGAACCTCACCCCGTTGTCAAAGCTATAACCTTCAGGAGTCCCTTTCAGAAGTAGGGGCTTTGAGATTCGTCACAGCTCCAAAGAGAAAATCTGATTTAGACTATTAGCTCTATTGCTAGCCAAAGAAGAAGAACTCTATACAAGGCAGTCGAAGTAGTTAAGTAAACTTTAGCTAAGAAGAAAGCTATATAGTCCATATTTTTAAGAGGTAATATATATGAATTCAATAGAAAAGAAAGATATACTGAATCTACAATGAGAAGTAGGTAAGATAACTGATTTATATATGCACTACTCTCCAAAAGAAATCCTTATACCTATAGGCCTAATAAAGGCTTGTGGAAAGACACTATTCCAGATCCTGGCAGTGCTCTACACCAGGTGTTCAGAACTATAGTGGTACTCTCTATGTTTCAAGAGGGCCAAAATAGTAGTTCTAATGAAGCCAGGGAAATTTCCGGCTACATACAGAACTGCCAAAGGCTATAGGCTTATAGCCTTCCTACCTAGAAATGGTGCTGGAGGCTATAATGGCTAGAAGAATAATAGAGACTGTAGAGTGGAATGGCCTACTACCTAATTACAAGGTGATACACACAGGCTCACTAAGGAAGATGCACTGAATCTGCAGCGAGAAACAGACAAGACGACTCTATTATGCGTGCACCACTTGACCAACTGACTGATCCTTGAGAGAGGGAAGTTCCAAGTTCTAATCTGAGTCTCCCTGTCACGGCGGGACAGGCGCACAATCCAATGACAATTGTATTCGGGCTAAACTACAGTCTAAGCTCTATTCCGTCAGGTACGGGCAGGCTTGATTGTCAAGACGTAGCTCGAGGAGCTACGAACAGATCTCGCGGCAGCGAGGTGCAGAATATTTAACCCACAGGGGCCCGTGCTTTCCACATGCCGGGTTCCACCCGTGGGTCCTAGCAGGCACGGCGCAATCGCCGTGACAGCACTCGCTAATATGGTGCATTCGCTGATAAAACACGTTAGTAGTTGATATAGATAATTGCATTAGTATTAAGAGTTAGCTTAAGCAACATCTTATAAAATATTACTATAGTGAGCCTAGAGAAGCCTAGCTATATATAGCTAGAGTCCCTAAAAATAGTGCAACGAGTAAGTGGAAAGTGGACTCGGTCCAGGTTCTGGCAGGAGTTGTTTCCTTCTTCAGCTTGAGTGGGACTGGGGGTGGGTCTCTCGGTTGGCGGAATTGATCAGAGAAATGTCTCGGAAGGAACCTTGCAGGTACCGAAGACGAGCCTGATGCTTCATTAGCTCGTTCTTTGCCTTCTTGTTGCGATCCCTCGTCGTCAATGCTCTATGAATCATCCCGAAACATGGCGTTTTGAGCCGTCAACAAACGCTCAGTGAGGTCGCCGTCTGGAGGTGACTCGACCCTCTCAATTTTTCCCTCTTTGTCCGACATGACGGCCGGCTGTCGCGGACCGAAAACCAAGAACAGGGTAGCTCCGTTGTCCTGTGGAGTGGAGGTGACTTTGTGGACATCCACATCAACGTTGAGGCTCGGCCCGGATCAGCAAGGCCTGTCAGCCCTAGCTGAATGCAAGACTCGATGATCTCGCAGCCTTCTAGAAGACCGAGATGACATCAATTTCTTCATTTGGCGGGAGCATAAACCACCATTTGATTGCAAGGTCCAGATGGAACCGTTTCCTTCATGCGCAACACCCGCCAATACACTTTCCGTCTCGCTTTTGCTGCAGATCCTGGTCGCCAAGCCCGATCTCTTCCCGTCATCCCCCAAAGCAGGGTGCAAGCAAACCGAACCCATCAACGCCGTCTGCGTTTGTGTGCAGGACTCCGCAGGTATCATATCTACGCTTCGAGAATGCTTCCGCTGCTGACTGGGACAAAGACCGGGAGTGTTCCCCACAGCATTGAGATGCAATCTTGGGGTTTCCGAGGTTAAGCCTCTTCGAGCCACGTTGCCACTTCACGCGTTGGCGGCGACACGGCCCAGCTCAAGCACGCGTCGGGTCGGGAGCGGCGCTGGTGTGCTCAGTTACACAGCGATGTGGTCGATCGCATTGGTATTGGGATCCTCTCTCTACGTCTTACGCTGTTGCTCGACATCGGTTGACTGGAATTCCAGGGGCACATTGGCAAAACTGGCTCTACGTGCCCGCGAGTGCTGACGACCCATGGCAAGGTCCCACCGACTCTCTGAAGTTGAGAGACGGTCAGAGCTATCCTGCAGCTCTGGCAGAGTGTCCCAGCACGACTTCAGGCACGAGGAACTTTCACCGTGTGCTCCCCTATCCCTTCAGGAACATACCATGGGCTCACCGATATGTTTCTCGGTGTTGCCACCACACACTTGCGGTTTCCAGTTGTTGCTCTTTGATGACTTGGAAGCCAGTCAGAGCACGCAACGACCAAGTTTCTTCGGCCAAGTCTTCCTCGACCTGGCGTGTGGGTTACACCCAGTCCTCAAAGCTTGTCAGTTGTCGAGATAACTGGCTTCCTCCGCACTGAGCGTTGGTGCCCCTGCCGTTTTCAGTTATTATCCCCTGCTCGGCAATCTGGCAGTTGATCACGCCAACCTTTTCATGCCGTTGACCAATTGGGGCCAGGGCATCGATCTCTTTTCGTATTTGATATAGCCCACCCCGGCTCTTATATACCTTCTTTTGGACACAACGGCCAACTCCCAGCCAGTCACTCGCCCGGCACCCACATCGTCCCGACACCGCAACAGGCTTGGGCCCTAGGTCCAGTGGTTCACTGTGGTAGCGGTGTTCTGGGGCAAATACCGGGCCAACCGTCTGCCTGGCCCCATTCGGGCCTTCCACACCATTTCGCGGCAACACTGGCGCCGCTGGGAAGGTCGTACGATTTTTCTCTTGCGACCATTGGGACCCTCATTGTTTTCGCTTCCTGGGGTGCTAGTCCGGCTTTTCCAGACCTACCTTTGACAGTCAAGTAACTGGGACACTACAGTATTCCCGTCCATGCGGCCGTTTTCTTCCAACGCCCAGAATGGCAATGACAAGGCTGGCAACTATCATTAAGTTACCAAGCCTAACCGTTAAGCAAGTGCCGCGGCCGCATTCGATGCTGAGTGCTGACAGCCACTCTCCAACTCGATTTGATATCATGCCCTCCTCCAGGCGCATGTCAAGTTCTGTTTCACATTTCTTTCTACATTTGGCTAATCATCCTGCGTCTTCCCTGCGGTTTTGAGCATTGCCTGTCCTTGAACCGTCTGGATTGCCTAGCTCCATCCTCTTTTCGGTTAATATCTCCGGGGTTTTCTGGGATTTTAACTTTAAAAAAGAAAGAATTTCTTCTGGCATCAACCCCCTGTTGGGCTGTCATGACCCCCTTTGGTCGTTGCATCATTGCTAGGGCTGTGGCCCCTCTTTCTATATCCGGCAGCCGGTCCATGGCATAAGATTCTCAAATTATGCTACCGTCATCGTTGGTCAAGGCAACCTGAGTCCCGCCACTGCTCAGGAACCATCGGCGGTCTCGCCCTTGGCAATCTCCTAATGCGCTTTTGCTGGAACGGGACGTGTGGAACGGGTATTAAACGTACTGACACCCCACCAACCCTCGGGAACCCGAAGCTGCTCGTCTTGCTCCATGGAAACAATATCAGACGGCATAATCCCACATATACCCGTTACTGGTTGCTTGAAACTTGGAATTCCTGCCGGCATCTCTGTTAAAACATGAGCAAGGGAGTGGAGTAACAGGAGCCTCGCCCACACGACCCGGCAGATCCTGCCTGTCGAGTCCAGAAACCAATACCAACAAGAACGAGGACCACACCCGCGCATGCTATCGCAGGAGTTAGGCAGCTAAGGAGGGCCCACCGAGGTTACCGTCACTATTCCGCGCATCCTCCCCGAGTCAGGGCGTTCATCCGCAGGAACGACGTCCCCTTCATCGCAGCCGGCACTACCCGCAATCGCCATACCTAATCAAATCGGACCTTCTCAGCACTACATGCACTCGCCCTCACTAATCACAGCCCTGTTACCCTGCACAGCTACCCGCAGCGCGTGCTCGACAAAAAAGCATTGGGAAAGGGCCACTGTACTTCTTAGGTGCAAGTCTCAAAACGCTGCTGGCCTCTGACAAACTTAGCCTTGCGGGGCTCACATCAGGCAAATTATTTCCATCCATAATCCGGCGACCAGCCAGAGCGGTACGCTCTGGCGGAACCCATGTGTCGGAGGCACGCTGGCGAGCAATTACCGTGTTGGGCCAGATTACAATGTCGACTACACGCCACAAGAGTCGCATTCGGGCGAGCAAGTCCAGGTTTCGAACCCCTATGACGCCCACCACCATCGGGCCTCGCTTCAGCATGCCGGGCCGTCCCCCCTCCACGAGCCGCCTCCTCATCAATCCCACCACGGCTTGCCGCAGCATTACACCGCCGCTCACCAACCTCATCCGATCCTCACCGACCCAACCCACTTGGCCGGACACCCGTCCGCCCGGCACATGGGGCACCCGGGACCGCCGCACTTCGGCGCCGGCCCCTCGTCCCATGCTGTCGTGGCGCCCCTCTATCCTTCTCTGACCCCAACGCATGGACACACGGCCGGAATGAAGCGGCCGCGGCCCGATGATCTCGATCTCTCCATGCCTAGCATGTCCGACCTTGAACACAGCGGCTTGGAATCAATGCAGCAGACGCCCATGGGCGCCCCCTATGGACAACCCCCCGCCGCCCCGCCAACGCACCATCACCATCGACTTCCCGACACAGGTCCGCCCAGCAAACTGATGCGGCGGGATGGGGAGAGCAGCGGCGGAGGAGCAGCACCAAGCATGGTTGGGCAGGCCGGGATGCCGCCGCCCGCTCCGCGACCGAAAGGGCCCAAGTTGAAGTTCACACCGGAAGACGACCAGCTCTTAGTCGAGCTCAAAGAAAACAAAAATCTGACTTGGAAACAAATTGCCGACTTCTTCCCGGGGAGGTCGAGCGGGACTCTCCAGGTGCGGTACTGCACGAAGCTCAAGGCGAAGACAACACAGTGGACAGACGAAACAGTTAGTCACTTTTCCCTCTTGATGACTGCATGTCGGTTCAGACTCTGGCAGCTCTCGGAAACTGACGACATCATCAACACTTGCAGGACCAAAAGCTCAAAACGGCACTCCAGGACTACGAGAACGAAAAGTGGCGCATCATTGCCAACAAGGTTGGAACGGGCTTTACGCCGGCGGCATGTCGTGAGAGGGCGGCACAGTTGCTAGGGGAGGACTTATAGCAATCACTGTCTCCGCCAGGAGCTTCGGCTCCTGAGGCAGGGGACACAACCGGCTATCCGTCACAACTGCATTGACGGACCATCGATATCCTATACCCTCGAAAGGGTTCAGAGCGACGCCTTCAAAGCATGCACACCAAGGCCTCTGCATCGCGCCTGTTTATCATCCTTATATGGGGCGGAAGTCTGCGACTCCCGACAACATAATCGGCCTGCAAAACACCAAACAACTACTTATACCGTCATTCAACTTCGAGAACTCTGAATCTTCTCCTCTTGATTTAATCTTCGCGCTTGTTACCTCTTACTACTCCTCACTCTCTTTTCCTGATTCTTGAATCCTTTGGAAACCTTTCAGGCAATCTTCCCTTTGTTCCTTTCTTCCTCTAGGCGCGTTCAGCTGTCGATTTATTCTTCTACAAGGCGGATTTCAATATTGGAGATACCCCTGAAATCGCCAGACATTACTTAGTTTCCTACTGTCTTCGTTTCATTAGTACTTGCACGGCATTTGGTTCCTCGGGGAAGCATAGATTGGGATCGGCGGGAAGAAACGAGGTATACGATGATGACGATCTAGATTGTTTATCTCTCCTGGGAAGCATGCTGGGCAGGAGCAAGGGCAGTGGGGTGGCTGGGTATACAATATTTGGCTGTGCTTGGGGTCAAGGGGGTAGAAAACTAGGTTGACTCGTGGTTGGGAAGAGGCTGGCTTGCTCGAGATAACCTCTTTCAGACGTTTTTAATGTCTATATCTACATGGGCAGGCCCGTATTACACACACCATTCTTCTTTTCCTCACCCCAAGCCCCGGAATGCTGACTCCTGTGGTGCAACCATGCAGTGGGTTTCGTTTATGAAAGTGAGGTGGGCCGCTGCATCGTCCCATGTCGGCTCTATGTGTCGATCTCCAGGCGGACCCGGCAACTGTTCATAGCGTAACGGTTTCGCAAAGACCCCTGCTGTGAACCCCAGTCTCACAGGCCGAAGAAAAGACGAAGAATCGACTCGCACTTCCTGCTGTCTTCGAGCTTGACTGCTGCTGGTGGACAAAAAATAATGAGCCGCTCCAACGGCCATCCTCTTGACACCCTTGTCTGCCTTCTGAAATGCTCAACTTGGCATGCCGAACTCGGTGATTTGCAGCCAAAAAAGTCCATGGAAGCGATGAACACCATTGAATCGAGCCGCGCCGTTGGCCCGTGGTAAGCTCGTCATTAGCGTCGCCAAGCCGGAACCCCAGCGGCCCACTGGACTGGGAAAGATTGGGCTGTGGCTTCAACTTGTCCCAGTTAGGAAGCTCCACGTCAAAAATGGAGGACTCGCATATTTTCACAAACAGCAGCAGTAAACTCCCCGGCCAGCATGAAACGGGCTGCTCCCGACGTTTGAAACACTTCAACCTCAGAGCGTTGTGTTGAAGACAGCCCCGGACATGTGCTCCCCGTGATACCTCCGGATCGGGAATTGGGTGCTTGGGACGACGGGAGGGTTCTGCTCTCGGAAAAGGCACGCGGTGCGGGCCTCAGGCATGTCGCTTTTCTTCCGCACTGAACGGCGGCCTCGCGCAACCTTGCTGGCAGAGATCTCCAAACTGTACAGGTGATCGGAGGTCTTGGAAAACGAAGGGTCAACTCGGGTGCTCCGCCCCTCGTCACTCCACGGCCGCGAAAATTGGAAGCACCTCGGGCTTGGAGTCCGAAGACATAATCGTACCCCTCGAGAACCGCGACTGGCTTTATTTTCCTTTCATCAACCCCTCGGGACTAACGGATCTCGAGGCAGCATTGGATGGCGCTGAGACTGGTTCTGGTCAAACCCGGGTCTGGCAGGAGCCGGAGGCAACCTCGAGTTACATTCGAAACAGTTTATGGCAACCTTTCGCTTCACGGCTACCGTTCAATCTCTTTTCGGCAAGTCGCTTGCGAGGCCTGACTTGAGCCGGTATATTTTGACCAGCCACGGCATCGGACAGCTCGGCAGGTCATTTTCGATGGCCTGCGTGGCGCCGGAAAAAAGAGAGCCACTCCGGCCTTCCGATCCGCCGTGACACTCGACGCTCTCTACCAGTCCCCCTTCTCAACAACCAGGAGCTATCGTCTCAATTGGCCACACGTGCCAGCACCCGCCCTATATGTATTAGGTCCACAACCATGCTCTTGAACGCCCCTTCCAACTAGCCAACGGCCTAGTTGGAAGGGACTTGGGGACCTAAAAATCACTATGGGACAAGGTGCCCTCCTGAGAGGGAGAGGTCACCAGTTCCACTCGCCGCCGCAACGCCGATTTCGAACACCAACCCCCCGCCCCTAGCCGCTGCCTCGAAGCAAAATCCGTGGTCCCAGGATTTTCGTAGCCATCCATCTCCTCCGGGAGCTGGATGGTGAGCTTTTGGATACATTTGCCCCTTTCTGTGTTTATTACACTGGGGCATCACCTTGATCTCGGTCCATGTGCCGTGACCTGAATGACACTCGGCTTAACTTGGCCAAGGTTTGTTTTTCTTATTTATCTGTTCTAACTTTCCCCTTTCTGGCACAACAGTTGTGTGCAAATAATGCGCTGTACCGGCCTAGCTGGAGCCGCATGAACGTCTTCATATTACCTAGACGCTTGATGTGGAACAAGAAGAAGATTCAGATGCGTCTGCCGAAAGCCATGCTCTCCAATCCAGCCCGGCGTCATCCAGGGCTACGACCGCGGCGCGACTGACATTATGGCATAACTGCATTAACCACACGGACCAGTCGGTGGTCTACCCAGCATTGCGACCTCAAGCGGGTAAAGACCCAACCGGGGATTAATGGGCACCAGCCTTGTTTGCATTCAGCGTACCAATGAGCTATTGGTACTTAGAAGCGACTTTCGCGCTAGAGATGCCGATTCGTTGCCAATGACGGTAGTAATGTATCAGGTTACGCGCGTCGGATCTGAGACTGCTCGACGGCAAAATGCTGGTTCATTCACTGGCATTGGGCCAAACTCCCTGATCAAGAAGGTGCTCTAGTCTCGTTTGTATATCGGAAACCTTCTGAATCGCCCACGTTGTCAACATCACCCCGTGGCCCCGAGACCCATTGGCTGACAAGAGCAACAACCCCAGGGTAATCCACACGCCCTCCGGATCTGCTGCTGACCGCATGTGTCTCGCACGGGACGCATACCTAGCTGGCGCAGGCCACCTTACCTCAGTCGTGACCAACACATTCTTCTGGTCTCCCAATTCCATCGACAGACTGGGTTCACTCCTCCAGTTCGACGCCGAAAGAGAAGCCTGGGATCAGGGCACAGTATTCATCACCGGCCCGGGCTACAGCGAACTCAACCAGGCTCCCTTACTATACGGGCGCTTCCGGGTTCTTCGCCCTACCACCAGGAAATACACACCATGTCCTTGCGGCGCTACCCCATGTTTCGCCCCAGGTGAGTTGGGAATGTATGTGCTTGATTGGGAGGAACAAGCCTCATGGAGACGAAACGCCGGGCTGTGGGCTGAGGCCCAAAAAGTGGAAAAGACGGCTCAACGACTCGCGCGCGGTACAGCAAGTGTGGATGGCTTATGCCTTGGTAGGGGCTATAGCACCGCCTATAAGATATATACCATTATCTGCTCTGCTAAGCCCTCGGGTAACTGGAACCGCTCAAGTTGTGTCTGGCCAAAGGGCGACTCAGGGGCGCCAAACCCCACGGATAGCAGCCCGGCCATCAGGGAAGTGGCTTGAAGACCTGAACCTGAACCTACCCTACTGTCTTGTACAGGCGCGGCGGGTGTCTTCCTAACCGGGTGGGCTCGGGCCTTTCAAGCCTCAAGGCAGAGAAACTGGAGAGTGTTTTGGGGGAGCCTTGAGAGGGTAGGGACTGATGAAGGGTGAAGATGCAAGGAAAACCGCGTCGGATCAGGAGGGGCGAGTGCCGCGCGTGTCCGGTCCCCATCGGATGCCGAAATCTCGTCCTGCATCTGCTTCAAACATCTTGAGTGTGGTAGGGAGGGCGTGGGGTGGGTAGGTTTGAAGCGGTGTGTGGCGGGAAGCTGGGAGGGCAAAAGCCCTGTTTCCCGGGCCGGATCTCTTCTCGGCCGGTTTAAGGCTGGGGCCTCGAGGGGACAGTTGAGTCCCTGACCCTGGGGCTATCGTGTGCCGTCTGACTTACTTGATCTCATGAGTACCGACACCCAGATCAATCGTCAGGGGCAGACCTGGCTAAGGTACTGGTGCAACGTTGCAGCTGATCCTAGAGGAGAAACAAATTCGGGAAGAACCGCCACAACCACTTGCGTCCAGGGCTTCTATTTGCTCCACATTCACGGATGAGCATGCATCAGATGGTCCATCTGCCGAGTCGTCAGGAAACTCAGCATGTCCCTTACGGACGACCACTTGATGGTGGTGTTGACATTTGCAAGTGGTGTCGTTTCTTCTGTGCTCTAGCTGTGTTACAGTTTCCCAATTCCCGCCCTGCGATGACCCCTTGAGCGCCGTGAAAGAGATTCACAACATGCTTGACCGGACTTTTGGTCCTGGAAAAAGATGTAGTCTCTCCGTTACATCGGGATACACTGCTGCCATTGTGAATAGGGGTATGGGCAACCGCTGGCGCCCTATCATTTCGAGGAGGAGGGTTTGAGTGAGAGGAACCACTACCCTACCCGGCCTTAGAAAGTGAAACGCATCATCAAGAGGGTGACCATCCTCGACGTATACCGAAGAGGAACAAGCTAAAGAGGGGAAGGCATGTATATTATTACAAATCACTCATGTCACATGTACTACAATTAACTGATCGGCCTTGAGCGACTAGAGAAGATAATGCCCAAGGGCATCTTGCAAATAATGCGAGCCTTGTTCCTGCGTGCTGCATCGTGCTCAAGTTCCAGAACACCCAGCGGCAGGCTGCTAGCTATAGTTCAAGGAGCCGTTAATGCCAGAAAGACAGATCATATCGTACGTTGTCAGTACCTGTACCTTTAACAGGCGCGGGTTTTGCCTCGATACACAGCTAGAAGACTCCAAAAAGGGGACGCTATGGCCCACAATGCTTCAATCCCAGCCCTCAACATACACCGTTGTCTTCTGTCACACAATGTCTCGATGGAACTGGCGGCGCTGCAGATTATGAGCGGGATCTGACACCTGCCTTGAAGCTGGAGCTGGGGAAGTTGTTCTGACAGCCAAGTCTAACTGAACGGAAAAGCGTAAAGAAGTTCCAGCATGAGGTCAGCTCTGTGAAGCAACAGCATACACAGCAGAGCAGCTCATTAATTCATGTCTTTCTATGTTCTCCTTTTTTAGATTTTCTTATTCCGTTGGGAACCTCCCTCCTAGTCGAAACATCACCAGCACAAGCCACTTGGTGTTTCAATTGCGCCAAGCAAGCAACTTCGGTGGGGCTCCCCCGCCGAATGCGTGCGTCATTCATTCAATCAAGGTCACATGACAGCGTGTGCCTGAAGCTGACGCCACCACGTTGAGTCGCGGCCCTACTCCATGATTTCCGAAACCTCACTCCCGCCAGACACGGCTGCCTGCCACTCTGAGCTTCATCACGATCGTCTTCATAGATTTTGGTTAGCTTTGCTATTCTTCTTCGCTTTGAGTCCAGTTTCCTCCTTCCGTCAAGGACTCGGCAACGGTGAAATTCGGTTCTTTGATAGACCTCTTCGATATCCACTCTTTCCCTTGCTGCCCGCCTCTCTAATACACCCCATTTACCTTCTTCCTCTGCACTTCACCTCCGCTTCATACGCTTTCACAATGGATCCCGAGTCGCAGCAAGTAGACGTCCCCGAGGGAATATCCGACACAGCAGCACATGACACCGATTCTCCTCTCCCCGGCAATGCCGCCATCATACCAGGTGCCGGTGAAGTTGTCACAGATGACGAGGCGTTGGCACTCAAGCTGCTCACAGAGAACGTGCGTGACCAGGACGACCTTGAACGCGATATCACCCTCCAGGCGAACCGCGCTCTCATTGAAGCAGAGGACAAGAGAGACCAGAAACGCATTGAGAAGGCCGAGCTGTTGAAGTCCAGGCTTGAGAACCAGATAAAACTCCAACAGCAAAAGCTCGGCTCCGCACATGCGAACCCCACAGCGAGGCTCCGCGCACAGCGAGAAATTGCGCGCATCCAGTCAGAGATCGAGATCTGCGACAAGGACATTGCCGACTTCCATGCCCGCATCGAGCAGCGAAACCAGCAGGACGCGGCTGATGCTGAGACGCCATTCACGGGTGGCAAATTTCCAGGCGAGACACAACGCGAGTATCTTATCCGGACCGGCAAGATTACTCCGTTCGCCTCGTTTGGCGGTCCCCGGCCCGACGGTGTTCAGGGAAAACTCGCCGATGCGATCATTGACGCCGAGGATGAAGCCATCGCCGAGGAGCTTGAGGAGCAGGCTGCCGAAGGGCCCCGCTCACACCAGAGCCTGAGACTGCCAGGGTTTGCCGAGGAAAACGAAGACCTTGCAGGTGCTGCTGTGGAGTCTGAGTTCTCGCTACGGCCGCGGAAGAAAAGGAAGGTACTCAAACCACTGCTTGTTGAGTCCGATGGGGAGTTTGCGCCGGATGAATCGTTGTCCGAAGCAGCAACCTCGGAAGCAGATGCCTCGGATGATTTCGACATGACCGACACGACCCCCAAGCGGAAGCGACGGACGGCCGTCAAGGAAGGCGAGGGCAAAGTTGATCTCAGCAATATAGACGATGGTAACGAGGCCGTATACCAGAGGAGGTTGAGGGACTGGGTCGAGCGAAGGAGTCGCGCCAGACGGCGCCGCCAGGAGAGATTGGGGCAGCCAGTTGATGACGGGCAAGACGGCGTCGAGGAGTGGTTCAAGCCATCTCCAGATCAGCCGGATCACCAGTTTGAGAACGGGCTGAAACTTCCCGGTGACATCTACCCTTCTCTCTTCGACTATCAGAAGACAGGTGTGCAATGGCTGGCAGAGCTGTATGCTCAGCAGGTTGGCGGCATCATTGGTGATGAGATGGGGCTGGGCAAAACAGGTGTGTTTCTTCGCTCACTCGCTCATTGCTTCACATACCAACTCACGTTCCCCAGTTCAACTGATATCTTTCGTTGCCGCTCTGCATTACAGCAAGATGCTCAACAAACCCGTCATTGTGGTCGCCCCGGCTACAGTCCTTCGGCAGTGGGTAAACGAGTTCCACCGCTGGTGGCCGCCACTCCGTGTCTCTATTCTTCACTCCTCCGGGAGCGGCATGTTCAATGTTCGCGAGGAGGGCGAGATCGAGGACCATGTGGATGACTGGGGAAAAGAACAGCCCAGCAAGTCCAGCACAGCAGCGCGGAGGATCGTTGATCGAGTGGTCAAGCACGGCCATGTGCTGGTCACCACATATGCCGGTCTGCAGACCTACGGCGATGTCTTGATTCCGGTGGAGTGGGGCTACGCAGTCCTGGACGAAGGCCACAAGATTCGGAACCCAAACACAGCCATTACGATCTACTGCAAGGAGCTCCGCACGCCCAACCGCGTTATCCTCTCCGGCACCCCAATGCAGAACAACTTGACCGAGCTGTGGTCCCTCTTTGACTTCATCTACCCCATGCGTCTCGGCACTCTGGTCGCATTTCGCAACCAGTTTGAGATACCCATCAGATTCGGAGGCTATGCCAATGCCACAAACCTGCAGATTATGACGGCGCAGAAATGCGCCGAAACTCTCAAGGATGCGATCAGCCCCTATCTCCTTCAGCGCTTGAAGGTAGATGTCGCTGCTGATCTCCCGAAGAAAAGCGAGCAGGTTCTCTTTTGCAAGCTGTCCAAGCCACAGCGGGAGGCCTACGAGCTGTTCTTGAAGTCTGACGACATGGCTGCCATACTCAATCGGACACGCCAGTCCCTGTACGGCATTGATATCCTCCGTAAGATTTGCAATCATCCCGATCTTCTGGATCCAAGGCTCAAGACCAAGCCCGGCTACACCTGGGGTGACGACAGCAAATCTGGGAAGATGGCGGTCGTCAAGTCGCTGCTCCCAATGTGGAAACGCTTGGGGCACAAGACGCTGCTATTCTGCCAGGGCGTCCAGATGCTGGACATTATTGAGAGATTCGTTCAGCGGCTGGACGACATTCGATATATCAGAATGGATGGCAAGACACCGGTCCAGCAGCGGCAGTCTCTCGTCGACCAATTCAACACAGATCCAGAGCTTGATGTGTTTCTGCTGACGACAAAAGTAGGCGGGCTGGGCGTCAACCTGACGGGAGCCAACCGCGTCATCATCTTCGACCCAGATTGGAATCCCTCGACCGATGTTCAAGCAAGAGAACGGGCCTGGAGATTGGGCCAGAAAAGAGAGGTCACGATATACCGACTGATGACGGCCGGGACGATAGAAGAGAAGATTTACCACCGTCAAATCTTCAAGCAGTTCCTCTCGAACAAGGTGTTGAAAGATCCCAAGCAGCAAACGACGTTCAATCTCAGTGACCTGCACGATCTTTTCAGTCTCAGTTCGTACGAGGACGGCGTGACCGAGACGAGCGAGCTGTTCAAGGGCCGCGACGTGAAGAATTTCAAGCGCGCCGGGCCGAAGGAGCTCATTTTGCCTGGACGCGACGCCGTTCCACTCCGGCCCCAGCATCGGCCGGCAGCCACCATCAAACCCGAGGCCGAGGCCAGCAGCAGCAACAACGAGAAAGACGGCGATCTTCGCAACATCGAGGGCGTCGCAGGCCTCGAGACATACCAACCCTCCGATCCCGCACCCCCCACGAACGAGGAAGACCGGCTCATGGAGGGCATTTTTGCAAAAGCTGGCATTCACAGCGCGCTGGAACATGACGAGATCATCAACGGGAAAAAGACTGTGAAAGCGGACCGCAAGATGCTCCAGCAGGAGGCCAACCGGATCGCGGCGCAAGCGGCCCTCAGCCTACGCCGCGCGGGCGAGCAGGCGCGCAACGTGCCCATCGGCACCGTGACATGGACCGGCGAGGTCGGAGAGGCGGGTCGTCCTACCAACGTCCGGCGGGGGCGCGGCGGGCCAGGGTCCGCGGGGATATTGGCTGGTGTTGCGAACCGTCAGGGGCTTGGTGGTACAGGTAGCCCGGGCAGCAGGTCGGGGTCGGGGACCCCCGGCAGGGCCGGCACGCCGGACCCAAACCAAGATATTCTCCGTCGGGCGAAGGACTTTGAGAAGATGATACCGGCTTTCATTAAGCGTCATAACGGGCAGGTGCCGTCAAAGCTGCTGGTGGATCACTTCAATCAGTATTGTACCAGCTCGCGGCAGGCGGACGAGTTCAAGTTGGCGCTGGGCAAGGTGGCCAAGATGGAGAAGCGGGGGTCGAGTATGCGCGCGATTTGGACGCTGAAGCCTGAGTATCAGTGAGTTCATCTGGTGGGCTGAGAGCGATGCCGCTCGTAGTGCCTTTGAGTGTTGCATTGGTAGGGGGGGTTAGAGGGTGGGTTGGTCCATGGATGGCGTTCTGGGGGTTCTACACCAGGTCACTGGCGAGCGATTGGTATGATGCTAACGAAGGGATGATAACGAAATACCAAGCATAGAAAGGCCTGAGCATCGGCTTCATTCTACAATTGACTGTCGTGGTGCTAACCAAGGCTTTTGCTCAACTTTTTGGAGGCTTCCAGAGTGCTTGTGATCCACACGGACGGAAAGGGTCACCGCGCGGTTAACCAAGTTTGCCACAGTTTGTAGTGGGCGCTGACGTGCGCACAGCAGCCAATTAGGGGGCGCGCGCTACTAACACAGAACGAGTGCAGGCCACCTTCCAAGATTGTCCCAGGCGATTGTGTAGGCGCTCTGTAGGTACTACCTATATTAAGGTAAGGTGCCTTTCTCTCTTCCTCCTCTCGACGTGAACCTGCATGTCTCTCTCTCCCCTCAAGTGATGACATTAAGCCGGGGCCTCGAAGGCATCAATTACACTTCTCTCTTCCACAACGCATTCATTGGCCACGGGAGACTTGGACCTTTGACGCTGTGATCCGACCCAGTCGTTGGACAGATTCCGAGGACATGGCCTCCGAAGCAGCAAATACCGAAGCGCCTGTGGACGGTGGCGATTCAGTCCGGAATACCGAGTTGGATGCCAAGCCCTCCGATCACAACTCCGGCTCCGGCTCCGGCTCCGACTCCGAGCCTGCCCCGCAAGCAGCGCCGAAAGCAAAGCCGGAGTCTGAATCTGCATCTGCCCTCGCGTCCTTGACGCCAGAGGAGTTTCGCATCTACAACCGTCTCGCCGACCAAATGGACTACTTCCACGACCACTTCCGCCAAATGTACACGACCCTCCACATGGCCTGCACCACGGGCCGCCGCCCTGTCAACCTCACGCTGAAGCAGTTCATTGACGAAGGGCTGCGCCTGGCGCGGTATCTCGAAGGGCACCACTCCATCGAGGAGACGCATCTGTATCCGCTGCTGGCGCGGAAGATGCCTGAGTTTCGGGCTTCTTCTACTAGTCATAAAAGTAGTAGTAGTAGTAGTAGTAGTGGTGGTGGTGGTGGTGGTGGTGGTAGTACTGCTAGGGGAAAGGGCAATAGTGGGAAGGGGAAGAAGGAGGAGTGCGAGCTAATCCGCCAGCATCGCATCATTCACGACGGCATGGAGGAGATGGTCGAGTATCTGCAGCGATGCAGGAACAGGGAGTGCGAGCTCGAGTTGGGTGTGTTGAAGGAGAAGATTGAACCGTGGGGGGCGGTGTTGCTGAGGCATCTTGATCAGGAGGTGAGGGATCTGGGCGCGGACAAGATGAGGAGACATTGGACGCTGCAGGAGATGAAGACGTTTCCTATCTGATGTTGTGGACGAGGGCGTGGATGGGGTATAGGGTTGGATGGGAAATTGAGGAGGTGGAGGTGGAGGAGGAGGAGAAGCGGCGAAAAGACTTCCATGTCAAGTGTATCATGCGTGAGGGGTGTAATGTGAAGTCGGTATCAGTGTTGATGTTATCTACTTTATACACTCTGGTTGATTTATTGACAGCAGGCATGACAATCCATGTGCTGACACTTCTATTCCCGGCTGGGTACCCACGGCCTAACGTCGTCGGGATTTCGCGTCCTCGTGGGAGGGACAGAGCGAGAGCGGCCCCGGCTACGACTCTCAGCAATCGCTTTTCGAACCTAGACAGAGTATAATGTTAGGGAGACAAACGTCTATCAGGGGCCGATATACATGTTCACAACGCAATGACAGGATAGCAAGTTCTACCGGCAAGTATGACAACAGCTGCTGCGCCAACATCTCATGGAAGATACTGTCTTCCTTGTTCTGTCGATCGGGATCAAACCTCCCCGGAACATAAAGTCAACGAACCGGGTCCCAATAACGTCATCGGCCACGATCTGGTCATATTTGTCAACAATATCATCTCCCTATAGCTTGCTTCCGTCGACATACAGTATCGCCCTTGACCTTCGCCTCGAGAATGAGAGGGTCCTTGTCCGTGACACTGTGATGGAGCCACCCGAAGGGTGACTCTCGACCGCACCACGAGCACCCTAGACGCTCTCGGTAGACGGCGGCCATTGCCCCGTGCTTGCACCACGACAACGGGCATGGATCCGGACGCCAGCGGGGTTCCACTCGTAGCGGGGGGGCCGTCGCCGCCGCCGTCTCAATGCTGGGAAGCGGTGGAGGCAGCCTGGAACAGCCAAGGGCTTCGGCGATACCTCGCAGACGAGCATTGCCCGAACTTGGTGCTGAGGGTGCTGATGGTGTTGTTGTGCCTGGGGTCGTTGCCATCTTCATCTGGATAGTCATATTGGTAGTGGCTCAGTGATTCCAGATGTGAAAGAAATGGCATCAGAAAGGCGATCTAATACAGACCTACGCTGGAAGGGTTTTGAGAACCGCGACGAAGAGGAGGAGGCCGACCATGCCCCTGAGCAAGGGTAAGTCCTGGCTTTTACATGTGGCATCCGACGCGCCAGTGCAATCCTCCGTGCGCACGAAAGGCTCCTTAAACGGCGGCAATTGCGCACAAACAGACGCAAAGGTGCCTTGACAAGTGGTTCAGGTGCTGTCAGCATACAGCTGCTCCTCGAGCGGTGCCTCAAGCATCAGCATGATTGAGGTCTGCGGTTTGACGTCCAGTCCATGTTGGTTTGACCGATCAGGCAGATGGCTCAGACTCACACAGGCACGGAGTTTTCTTCTTGCATCGCCAAGATGGCCGTCCTTAGCAGCTCGACAAATCTGCTCGTTGCAACATGCTGACGTAGCGTACTGTCTCGAGGAGAAACTGACCGTACATGCAGCTCTGAGTTCACCTCCGAACTAGCTATCAGGTAGACGGTCCGACAGTTTTCTCTCAGGCCATTGAAGCCGGGAACATGTCAGCGTCGACCGATGAATGGAACGAGTAGAAGTACATATCGGAGACAGGTAGGTCGGCACTCCTGAGCTGTCCACGAGGCAAGTAAATTCTGAAATCCTTGTACCAAACTTGTCAAATCCCAGCATCAATAACTGTGACTTGCGGCGGATCATAGAATCGAGTATATTGCCGACCAAGATAACATTGCCTGAAGTTGGCGTTGACAGATGAGTTGTCCAGTTGGGTTGCGACTCAAGCTCCGGTGCGACCGTGCAAAGTACAGCATGTAGCTCGAGGGTAGGTACACTCCAGCCCCGGCTTGTTGTTAGCGCGGCACAGAGACGAGTATGGAGAGAGAGTTTGGAAAAGAAGTAAAAGTCTAGTTAGAAAAATCGGTAAAAAGAAATGGTTTGAGGATGCAATGAAAGAGAGTTAGGAAAGGAAGGTTATCATGAAGAAAGACACGGTAACAAAGAAGAAGGAAAGAACACAAGAGAATGGGCAGTTGAAAAGTGAAAGTCCAATGCCCAGGTTCTGCGCTAACATAACTCCGTACAACAAAAACCAGGAGTTGCTTTTACCTTCCGACCGCACAACCAATCACTCTTGCGGACCATCTGATCACCCAACCCAGTCGACACCATCGACGGCATCGGAACAAATCACACACCGGACAAGCGCATGGGATCGTGGGAGCCAATGGAGGAGTTGGCAACTTGACATCACGATTGGAGCCTATGGCCGAGGTAAACTGCAAAAGACAACAGCAACCCAGTGCCGGGACAGTCCTTGTCCTGCATGACAAGGGTCTCGGTTCTGCTGCAGTGTTTTCTGCTGACTTTGTCTACAGAGGTATGCTGCTCAGCAGCTGAGGAATGCACAAACTGGACCCCCCTGTTTGTTCGCACTGAGACCAACCCCCTTTAGTACTGGCCCTCACCCACCAGCTATACCACCTTGCGGCAAACACCGCCAACTATCCCTTGCTCAGAGCCACAAGTCCCTCAACTACATGCAACAATTGTAGCAAATTGCTGCTCGCCCGATGTATCATGTCCTTCAAAATACCCTATAAGCGACTTCGTAAGCATGCAATTTTGCATGTATGCAAGTTGCTGTCGTTGATGTTATGGCATCGAGTGGGTGTTGGCTGGAAGAGCTTGGTGTGGCTGGTGGATGGGGCTTTATCCTTAAGGGGCTGGTCTCTGTGCGAACAAGACAGCGGGCTCTGTACGGATAGACAAGTCGGAAGTGGGAAACAAGCCGCGGTCCATTCACAGATGCAGCCAATTAGAGCGGCCTTCCATCCAGGTCCCACATGCAACCCATGCGTCTCACTGTGGCCAGTCGCGACGCCCAAGCGACCAGGGCCAGCTGAGCTCGCCCATCCAAAAACCAGCCTCCCCATTCACCTCGTTTTCACTTTGCGACGACAGCTCATCCCCAGCCAACCCGGATCAATCGATCACCTCTCCCCTCCTGCGTCCATTGTAAGTCAGTTTTTATTTGCCCCGTTCCATCGCTCATTCTGGCGCATCGGATCACCACCTCTACACGCCCATCGAGCTCTGAAAGATCGGGAGTCGCGGTAACCCGACCCGGCCGAATCCATTGCCCCGGCAATCAGCTGTTATCGTTGTAAACAAAGCCGTGTCCCAGCGGAGCCAAAGCCTCGAGGTCGCATAGAGCAAGGCAAACAAGCGCCAAACTGCACACGACACTAACGCAGAATTCCAATCAGGCCTCACATAATCTAGATGTCGGTTTGATATACCACACGGAGCCATGTCGTCGCTGAAGATCGAGCGGGACACGGTCACCGAGACCGTTAAGAACGCCGTCACCGACCATGCCGTGAACAAGGGCGGCTTCGTCGGCTCTGCCGCTGCCGCCGTCGCCGAGGCCGCTCATGGGCAGCTGCCCGGCACCAGCGGCAAGCATCCCATCTCGGCCGTCGTCGGCACCGCCCTCACCGGCGGCAGGAAGAACGCCGGCACCAAGGGCTATCTTGCTGTACGTTTGCGCCCGCCCTGATGACGATGACTTCGACTAACACTATTTCCTCTCCCTCTCTAGGCCTATCTGCAGCAACTAGAGGACCACCCCCTGCGCACCAAGATGCTCACGGCCGGCACCCTGGCCGGCAGCCAGGAATTGCTCGCCTCATGGCTGGCCAAGGACCGCAACAAGCACGGCAACTACTTCACATCCCGCGTGCCCAAGATGGCGGCCTACGGCGCCCTCGTCAGCGCTCCCCTGGGCCACTTTTTGATCTGGGTCTTGCAAAAGATCTTTAGCGGGCGCACCAGCCTGCGAGCCAAGATCCTGCAGATCCTCGTCAGCAACCTGATCGTACGTAGCGCCTACAATTATATCCCCTAGTTCCCCCTTCAACCGGACCCGTCAGCCCCTTACTAACTAACAATCCCCTTTACAGATCGCGCCCATCCAAAACACAGTCTACCTCGTCGCCATGGCGCTCATCGCGGGTGCAAAGACGTTCCACCAGGTCAAGGCGACGGTGCGCGTCGGCTTCTGGCGTGTGATGCGCGTGAGCTGGATCACCAGCCCCATCTGCTTAGCCTTCGCGCAAAAGTTCCTACCCGAGAACACCTGGGTGCCCTTCTTCAACCTCGTGTCCTTCATCATCGGCACCTACATCAACACCGTCACCAAGAAGAAGCGCCTCGCCGCCCTGCGCAAGAAGCACTTTGGCGACAGCCGTGACAGCCGCGCGCCCGGCGGCTCCTCTGTTGTTGGCGGGCCCCGTCCGGGTGGCGTCGGTCCGGAAGACTACCCGCCTCTGGGACCCAACCCTCCGTACTAAGTTCGGCAATGCCTAAAGGGGTTTTCGGTTTGGTGTGGGGAGACTTGAGAGGTGGGGAATGAAAATTTGACCACGGTGGCTCCCTGATGCGTCGCGTTCTCTTCTAAGAGGATGGCAGCGCAGACTACAGATATGGGGTCACGCGTGCCAAGTGCTGATGACGGCTTGTGAATGTTTTGACGGGCGCGGCTCCTTTGCGGGAGTTCAGGAGGGCGGGATACCTGTATAATGTTGGTTGTTATGTGATTTAACGTCAGATATGGTTGGAATATTTGGTGATGAGTAGATGAATACAAGAGCTTGGATACCTCGTAAGCACAGGTCCCTAAAATATGGCCTTGATCCTAAATCACATGCTTCTTGGTTTTTCGGGATGACGTTGGACTAGCCAACCCAAGCAGCCATCAGGTTCAGCCTATCCGTAGTCGTCAGCACATACGCCCTGAACGGCGGCCATTGTTCTGTCCATCAACCTGCCACTCCCCTGGCCCCCGCCACTCCCGCGGGCTAGTGAGATGAACATTGTTCGCCCTGTGTGTCCTATCGGGCGTCCTAGGGTCAAATACACCTCCTCCGTACACCAGACAGTAGATGCCAGGTTGAACGGCATCCGACCTTCGTTAAGTGCCGTGTCGCGCAGGAGGTTCCAGGTCACGGAGCTAGGTGTATGTTTCGGCCGGCGTCAGGCAGACCTTGTCCCTGTCCGGGCTGCCCTGTGTATTTGCCTCCCTTGGCCCACGGTCCCGGGCGTGTCTCCCAGCAAGATCAGCCAGTCCGCGTTGAATGACAACCAAGATCCATGCCGAAGTCAATATGAGTTCCGTACGTGCGAGACGCCGTTGGTTTTCAACCCGCCGTCCCCGTCGCGTCATAATTCTCGAGCATGAAGCTGGGGCTCCAGTACTCCCACTCGTCGCTCTGCTTGTCTACCCACAGCATGCCCTCGCCGACCAAGTCCTCGAGCGCCGTCTGCGCCCGCGCGCGCATCCAGCCCAGATTGGCCATCAACATCGACACGCTGACGTAGCCCAGCACCTGCGCGGCCTCGAGCACGGCGCTTTGGTCCGTGTTGAGCTCCTTGGGCACCGACCGGATGTACGGCTTGCTGCCGACCTTGATGATGGAGTAGGCCGACCCAAGGGGTTTGAGCGTGCCCACGGCGCGGAGTATGTCATCTCTGCGAAGCAGAATCAGTAAGATCAGCATAACTAAAATGAATGGAAGGGAGGCTAGGTAATGCTAAGGTAGCACTCACTCGGTAATCTCAGACGCCCCCTCCATGCGTCCCCTCATGATCCGTTCCCGAACCTTCCTCAGCTCAATCAGCCCGCCGTTCTCCCCCCTCGTCTCGCCGCACACCTCGACCACGCGCACGGCGAGCTCAAAGTAAAAGTCATTGACCGACCGGCCCAGCAGCTGCGCCCAGATGGAACCCCCCGCGTTACTACTAGACTGGCTGCTGCTGCTGGAAGCGAGCGGGTCGACGCCGATGGCGGCGCACATACGCGCGAACTGGGCGCGGAAGGTCGGGTTTGACCGAATGTCCTTCGCGTGCGTCTGGGCAAACTGTTGGAGTAACGACCGGAAGACGGCCAGCTGCGTCTCGAGGGCCGCAGCGTTGGAAGAGCGCAGGTTGGACCCGTGGGAAGCGTACTGGGCCGACGTGAGGCGCGAGCGGTCGAAGGCGGCAAGGCCGACCCCTTTGCGGGACATTATAATAGCTTGTTGCTGTTTTGTTCTGTCGGTCGTTGAGAGGGAGGATGGCTGTGAGTGCGGGTGCTTGTCGGATAGGCGGATGCTTGGTGAGAGATGAGATGACATTATCTGGGGATGGTGGGGCAGTGTACATTGATAAGATAAAAAGACGACCATATACTCTTTCTCTCTCATCGTTTCTCAAAGTCCTCTAGATTTCACCAAAATTAAAGTATGACACCTGAGTCATTGTCTCGTCGTTTTAACGAAAGTACGATCTCTTCAAACTATCTCTGTGCAGCTACGCAAGACTCAAGATTCAGGTGGCGAACCTTGTATTGCTGGAGCATGTGGCGCTATACTACATCCAGCCAACACATTGCGCTGTTGCAAATCGACAACAGGTAACCATCCAAAATGCCTTGATAGAGTCAAAAACATGGAACAGAACTAAGTACTCATGGTATGCACCCTTCACCTACTGAGCAGACGCCCAACTCAACACATCCGGCCATCCACTTGTCCACTCAACCCGGTCCCTCCTTGTTCTCCATTACCCAAATCAATGGTACGGCGATGAACTCATCTCTCCTGGCTAAAACAAGTCTATATCGAGACAGTGGCAGAATCACGACCATGGTGGTCTAGGTTGCCTTGGCCGCTATACCTCACTAAACGCTCGCCGCTGGATAGTCAATGAGAGAGATGGCCGCTTGAAGCATGGCTGACCCTGACAACTTCTTCAATTTCCGGCTCAATGATTTGAACGCCATCGAGACTACAGAATCCTGCCTGGAAGCGCATACAACAACCCATTTTGAAGAGAATCATGATCACGAGATAGCGACGAGGAGGAGGATCAAAGCAAGCACATCAAGCGAGGAGGTCGGAGTGTCGCGTAAAGCTTCCTCCTCCAATGCAGTTTTCGTCTTACTTTTCTCCGTTGCTCATTCTTGCCGTCGTCATCAAGGACAGGCACCGCATTTAAAAGTTGTTCACAGAGACGTTGAACTGCCGGCGGTGAGGGAAGGAACGTGTCTCGGAAAGCAACTCTAAGAATGGAAGGCCCAATCTTGTTTCCCGTCCTTTGCCAGTTCTTCCACTTTCCCCAAAATCCAGCCTGTCTGGAACTTCTCCCCGTGTTCTTTTCAGAGTACGGTGGAGTTGTGAACGGGCTCACAACCGGGCTCTGACTCCATGGTGCAGCGCATATGTCCAGTCTCGTCAGATACACCAAGCCGCAGGCCTCGCCTCGTAGATGTAGTTCCTGACCTTGGACCAGACCCTTCCCTTAGAGTGGTTGCTGCGTATGTCAGACTGAGGTCTCCAGCTCGGCGGTTAGCCGGTTTGGGAACAGGTTTTCACGACCTACCACGTCATGCGCTGGGCCAGATGCGACATTGACTGCCTGTGAAACTTCGTCCAAACCCTCGGGGGACGAAGAGATGCTGCATTGTAGAAGCTTTGGTACTAGTGGAACCTTCCCGTTCACTTTGTTAGTATCTCAAGTCTCTTGTAGGCCATCCATGGGCATTTCAGCCGGGTAGGTCCCCGTCCTCTCTGCCACGCATTTTCCCTTCCAGCGGGAGAAATAAAGAGAACCGCTTTTGACTATGTGAGTGGTGTCATGACTGTCGCCTTGTCGTGATCCTGGGTAAAGCCTCGACGGTTGGTTCCTCCACCAAGAAAGTGGATCGTGGGGTGTTCATGGTGGAAACCTGGGGGTCATGGAGGTCCGCTATCGACTGTGTTGACTGGATCATGGTTGGGAGGTGAGGTACCCGTTTACTTATCTTTGACGTTGAAATGGGCGACCGGTCTTGAGTTACTGCTCAAACAAACGCTCAACATTGTTTGGGGTGCGGAAATGGGTCACTTCCATTCCCCTCCTCACCGTAACAGGGCACCCGGATCTGATGCTGCTAGCGTTGGCCATCTCCCGCCCTCGGCCATGGCGGATCTGCCCCTGGCACTGTTAAGTCAATGAGTGGGTTGTATCCGTACGACTATGGAGTACGGAGTACCACAGTACCTGGCGGGCATCACTGAGATGGGAGGACGCCGCTACCAGCGACGTCCTCCCTTCAAGTTCTCTTGCAGACCATCAATGGCACCGGCTGACTCGACGGCATTTCTGACCCACGTCTCAGTTGTCCAGAAGCAATGTTAATTTCCTGAATACTGTACTGCAAATATGGTAGATGCCCGGCTTCCGCACGGAGAAGAGAGGTTTATGTGGCATGAGCATTCAGCGGAGGTAATGGCGGGCGCGTCCCCCTCTTTTTGGTCGGCAGTAAAACGTTCTTCGGGGAGGTTGTGTTATCCAGCAATGTTTCGCCCTCGTCTCCGCCACTCCTCTTCTCCTCTCCTCTCCCCTCCTTTGACCCGCCGGCATCATGAATAGCCCGATGATGGACCTCCAATCCTCTCCCATGAGCACTCGAGGCAGTCCAGGAGCTCCTCTTTGGCTATTTCGGCTCGAACCACTGCAGGGTGGATCTTCAACGCCCCATCTCTGTTACCCGGAATTGCCTCGAGACTAATAGTACAGTAGGCAGTCCGTGCTGCGGGGAGGACCCAGCCCCTCACACAGGGGACATTGATTCAGCCTCCTCACTATTGTGCTGATGAGTTCTGGTGGTGCTTTCGGTGGTGCCAGCGGATCGACCACACCGTGGTCTTGCTGGCAGCCTGAACAGCGGGGCATCTGGACGTTCTCACAACTCAGACAGAGCGCGACAGAGAGAGCGCCATTGTGCGTGCGTTGGGACAGTTGAACAAAGGCAGATCCGGTGAGCTGATGCCATGGGCTGTACAGTGCTTGTATTGGACTAGCAAGTGCTGTATCTAATGGGATTAGAGCAGCGCGGTGTGCCGGCCCAGCAGCCCGGGAATTCGTGAAGCGTATGCGTTCTACGCTAGAAGGGAAAGCTCTTCGGAACCTGTCCTCTGCGACCCATCCCCTCGATGAACCCGATCAGTCGACTCTTCAGCAAATACTCCTTCCCACATACGATGGGACGAGATTCGACTGCGCTAGCTTTGTCTGAAGCAAGCGGGATTCTGTACCAAACCGGATGTCAGAGAAGGAAGGGTTCAAGGCTCTCATCCAGGACGGGACAAGAAGTCCAGTGCTGCGCGCCGTGGTGTCTCATACCACCCGGTCTCAGCCAGTAGACAGGGCTGATCATGACTTCGACCGCCCACGACTGGCCCAACAAGTGATGTCCTTTCAAATGTTCGCAATCTCGGCCGGGTCCGGGACTCTTTCTGTGGATAGGCAGGGGTTCGTGGTGTGGGTGAGCGATCAGATGTCCCAAAATCGTCTAAGCAAGCGAGGGGGAGTGGATCCGATGTGGCCCGTGATGCTTCCCTTCTCTCATCTTGTCGAATCAGGTGTCGTGCCGCAACTCTGCAAGTCGAAAGCCCAAGGATGCCCGTCGGAGCTGGACCTTGCTGATTTTCCCGCCCACATTCTCTTGTCTCCTGGGATCCAATTCTCATGCTCTGTCTGGTTCTGCAAACCGAGACCCCTTGATATCCGTGAAGCGGATCCCGTCGGTTGGGGCTGCCATCCAAGTCCCAAAACGGAGAGCTGCAGTCAGTGCGTTGCAGGGACCAGAGATAGCAGCACGCATGCCGGTCCATACTGTGTAAATTACAGCCTGTCGACCTGCACAGGACGCCCAGATCAAGTGCCGAGAGTGCCAAAAGAAAAAAATTACTACCGTATGGTAGGTAAGGGAGTTCGGAGTATCGTTGTTGTTACAAGATGAGCTGAGAATTTGAGATGGACAATGTGGCTGATGGAGAAAAGAGCTGACCCTCTCCCTGGGGTGAAACAGCAACAAGCGCGAGAAAAGGCAGTTCAAGCTGTCATTCGAGTCGTTGCTGGTGGCAGGAGCGACGTTCTGGTCATCATCACGTGCAATTCCATGACTGCACGGGGCCTCAAATCCGGGAGTTCGTTTCTTGTAATATTGAAATGATACAGAAACGGTGTAATACAGTACGCCCATCGCGGCATTCCCTTTCTGGGCGATCCGGCTTGTCCCTCACAGACGGAGATGTTGACATGCACAACCAAAGACGCGGATCGCCGCCACCTTGCTGCTTTGCGCCTTGTGGTGACTGACCATCTTTTTTTCAGCGGTCAACTCCCCAGGCCTGCCGCGCTCACCGCAACATGCCCTGTCATGTGCAAATTCGCAGCTTGTCCAGAACTCGCCCGGGCCAGATTTGCCGCAATGCCGATTCTCCACCCTATCAGAGCGGCTTATCACGCTGCAGCCACAAAGGGGCACAGTAAGAGTGTGACTTGGCCGAATATCGGCATGGCGCACATCTGCCCCTGCCTAAGCCGTTGTGGTCACCGGGAGTCGGCGACTGGACCCTCCCTCATAGAATCAGGTATGTGATGTGATTTCTGGAATCCATGTGCCTGAGATAGAAGTCGACAACCTGGCTGCCTTCTGGAGCACAACGTCTACTGTGTACCAAGCTCCAACTTGCTGTCACACTCTCTATCAGCACCTAACCACGCGATTCGAGACCGCTAGTGCTGCCCAACACGTGGCAGGCTCGCTGCAACGTTGATCGGTGGTATGCACAGTATAGGGCCTCGAGACCACACAAAACGGCCCAATTTCCAACTCGAGTCCTCGGACGAACGACTTACTGCGTGATGCTGCCGCAAGTTGCCCACTCAACATTGATTGGACGGCCTCCCTCGGATTCGGGTTTCGAGAAGGTCCTTTGGACTCCCTTCCACATCGCCTACGGATACACACGTGTATATCTCGGTTGGCAATCTGTCGACGTTCCTTCTCACGCACTGTGCCCCTCAAAAGACATTGCGCGCTATTTTAGTGTATCCGAGCCTCCGGGTCAGCTTTTCCAGGTTGCATGGAAGTGCAAGCAAAACGTCGAGATGACAACTTGATTGGGGTCTGTATTGTATGGATGCTTCTGACCACATCCCGCTGACCTTGGCAGAACACCTCATCGCGGCAAACCTGCTAGGCTGCAACGGAATCTCCTATCCTTGAGCTGCTTTGAGAATCGGCGTTCTACAAGCGACCATTACGACTGAAGTTGATAAATCAATGTTTGCTTTGGCAAGCTTTCTGCAGTGAGGTCATGCCGAGTTCCTAAGTTAGCGGGATCTGGGAGCGGTAGCTAAACGAAGGCTGATCATCCACCAAGTACGGAATACTCGGTATTAACCTTGATACGGATGGCTTGTGGTTGGAGGCTGCTTTATTAAGCTTACGACGGCGCCAAACAAAGACTGGAGAATGACTGGTCTCGCAAGAAAGCCGTCAGTTCCATCCGGCTCCAGTTCGACCCCAAACTCCCCCAGACTGTCGGATCCAAGCCCCAACCAAGCGCCAATGTCGATTTTAGTCTCGCCGCATTCACGAATACTAAACCTTAATCCAACCGTACCTCTCTCCTCTGTTAATCATCTTGCTGGTTTACAGCGCCGTTCTCTGGCACGCCCGGAGGTCGAAACAAACTGAACCGTAGCTGACGACTGAATCCCTCCGCGTTCTGATCAGTCATTTTCATCGCACTGGCAGTTGAAAAGAATGTGGAGAGTCGGAGTTGCAACGTCCAAATCTGACTGGTCTCCGGCTTTTGCTGGAGGAGGGGGGCACAACCTGTTCCTGTTCGGGAGAAGAAACGCGGCATTGCACCTCTGGGCAATTGAATCGGCTTCATAAGCTGCCTCTTGCACGAATCCCTCTGGAGGCGATTGATTACCTCTACACGGAAACAGGAACATCAAGGGAGCAAAGTAGTAAATAAAGGTGATGCTGACCCGACGCCCACTTCCACAGATTTGCCATCTTGCTCTCACACCATGGCCCTTCAGGCGTCTCTCATCAGGTAGCATCTTTGCGTTTCTGGATATCCCGGTCGGTGCTATGCATCTGAAATGTGGGCTTGCAGGCCAGCCGCACCAGACAGAGATCTTTTTTCTCATTGTCGAGCTGAGAGCAGGTCATCGCACTGTCTCGAGCACCGTATACTACCAGACCCATGACATCTGGGCCGGACAAACAGCTCCCACATCCTTGTCCCACAATCATCCGTCAAATCTAGATAGAGCACCTCGCCGTGTTCTTGCCATACTTCCTCATAGGGTGCCCTCAATGTATTGATATCGTGCGAAGAAGCTTGGTACAAACATACAATTGAATCTTGTACATCAGATGCCTTGCTTGTCTTTCTTTTCAGATGCATTAGCAACAGCGCGCTTCCACAGTACGATCGCTGATCCGGCCAGCTCCAGACAGACGGGACTCCATCAGAACTCCACTGAGTGCACATCCGGCTCAGTTGTGTGAGCCAGTCATTTCGCGTTTCATGGCCCTCGCCACTCCATCAGCTTGCAGCCACTTTTGGACCTTTTCACCTCTTCGATAGCAAGACAAAATCCAGCATCAGACGCAGGCCCTGGCAGCCCTTACAAGTAGTGTACGGATAAAGCGCCTGGTATGATGTGTTAGAGCACCCCTCGATCGCAGATGCTCTTTCGGACATTGGCAGCACCCGGTACGTCGCCGAGAAGTCGTACTGGTAGCTTCTCCCTTTCACTTGTTCCCACACGAGTCAGGCGATATAGTCAATGCAGAGTTTTGAAAACTCGGCGGACTGGCTGAGTGGTGTTGCATGTATACCCTTGCGAGATTCTGCCTTCAATTGTCCTGGAGTGTAAGAGTGATTTCGACTCCACAGTGACCTAGTACCCCAAGAGCAATCAAGATGGCATCCAGGCCGAAGACAGATTCTCCTAACTGATAACAGAAGTAAAAGGGACAAAGGCGCGCAAGTCTTTTCTCCTGTCAATATCAGTGCGCAATGTACATTAGAAGAATAACTTGCATCTTCGTTTCACCAGTGAGTTGGTAGCACTGTTCTTTGAAGTGCTCTCTCGGTGAGGTACCTCTATACTCCTTATGAGGCTTCGAAACCAGAGGGACGGGAACGATCAGCTGTGGGGTCGCCAGAACGCGTTAGGATGGTGCAACTGCGCTAAGGAAGCCAAGGTTGCGCCATTGGAATATCACACAGTGCAGCTACTGCAGCGGTACTTTCCAGGTACTTTCACACACAACCTGGAACCTAAGACATACACTCTGACATTGAAATTCCTGTAAGGAACCGCTCCGTTGATACACTTGGGCCTCGTTCGATACATGTAATTGTAAGCCCAACTGGATTGGTTTGGGACAGATCAACCCGTTTTAAACTCGAAGTTACGTTGGTTATGGAATTGAGGAAGATACAATAGGTTCGTGGTGTGCTTCTCTGTCTAAGCGCTGCCGCACCATCGGGGCAAATACCCTTCGGTAACAACAGCTCTTCAAATGCCAAGCCGCCTTTGTCTCTGTACCGAGCTCTCGGTCTCTCCTCTCGCCATCGCTCCTATTCTCCGTCAAAATGCAATCCTAACAGCTCTTGTTCGCGTGTTCTCAGCAGCCGCGATTCATTAGCATCAACCCGAACTCGAAATTTGCGAAAGCAGAACAGGGTCCACTCGATTATCAGCCCCTCTTCACCAAGCGTGGGCAAGCGCGACGGTGGGCAGAATCCTGGGACCCTGTCGGTCTCCAGACCGCGATCAAGCACCCTGCTCTTGCCGGTGCACCCAGAGAGAGCTTTCACCCCGACCCCGTCTCGTCAATTTCCCTCCACTCATTCTTCGCACCCCCCACCTCGATTATAAAATCGCACAGTCCCGCACTAAGCTTGATTTTCTCGCGTCACCCTCGCGACTCCCATCACCATAGAGCTCTCGGCATATCAAAGCTCGAGACTTGGTTAGTCCTGCCGAGCTAGTGCACGCAGCAAGACGCCGTGCGCCTCAGGTTCCCGACCGTCTCATCGGGTTTCGGGAACTAAACTTTACATCGCTGCGGCTCCGGTGCTTTGACGACTCACTAGCGCGCCCCGGATCGCACGCTAATCAACTTCGCGGATCACTGCACTACCCCAACAAGACAGCGACAGGTTCCAGCCATTCTCATTCGGGCCTGCACGCACTAAATTAGTGCTGGTCGAGGGCGCCTCCACTCAAAGCTTCATCACCCACACCACCCCTACAACCATCTTGGTTGCGCCTCTCTGGCCGACGCCCCAAATAAATCCCAAAGAGTCCTGCCGAACCAGCGGAACCGTGCCGCATCATCATTCCCGCCATAACTACCGCGGTGTATTCGACAAGGATACATCCGACGGCCCTTGCGCTCCTTCACACCTTTCTCAAACATCGTCATTGCCTTGGGCCTTCGCATCCGAGGCATAGTCGCGTGCCGACCCGTGTGTCCCTGGGAGTGAGACCTGAATCGGCATCGCACGCGGATAAACCCCCGGCGCCCTTTCCCCCATCGGCCACCCATCAACTCTCTCTATGGAGCGCGGCGCCCCCGAGTACTCGCAGTCAGGTTTGCCTTCGCCCCATCCTAGTGTCGTCGGCGACACGCAAATTAAGGCGGAACCTGTAGATCCGGCGTCTGCACCACAGTACGCGACCCAGCACGAGGCGCGGTCATCCAGCTACTCCAACTCGGCCACTCCCACCTCGGAATACAGTGTGTACCCGACCACGGCGCGGTCCGGCACCTTTCCAGACATGCAGCGTTCGTACCACCCCGCCAGCAACCCTAACGGGGGCAGCGGCGGTATGCCGCAAACACCAAACAGTCCGTCCATGCCTCTGCAAGATGGGCGCAGCCATCAGAACCCCCAGCCGGAGCAGGCCAAGTCTGACAGCGCTCTGCCTATAGATCCTTCCATCGCAGGTGTCAGCCCGACCTACGCCACTCACGGCCAGTACCCCCCTTACGCGCCTCCACCGCCCCAAGACATGTCTCATGGGTACCAGCACCCGGGAACGCCGGGCCTGTACACCCAGCCTCGCCCCGACTGGGGCGGTTACGGCCAGCAGGCTGCGGGACAAATCACCCCAGGCACCCACATCTTCCACCAGGCTCCTCCCGCCGCACCGGGTCAAGGCCGTCCACATCAGGTAGGTTTTGTCGCGTGCTTTGCCTTTTGGCTTTCCCCCTTCCGTTCTGGTCACAAGGTCGTCCGTGACCCAGCTTCTGTTCCTCCGTGTTCGCGACGAGCGGGCTGATCAAGAATAGCAGGTGTACAGCTTCGTTCCAATTCCTGGGGCACAGCAGCACAAGAGGCCCAGGAGGCGGTACGAGGAGATTGAGCGCATGTATAAGTGCGGTTGGCAAGGCTGCGAAAAGGCGTATGGCACTCTCAACCATCTCAATGCCCATGTGACGATGCAAGCGCATGGCACGAAGCGCACTCCAGAAGGTATGTGACATCCCGTCGCGACAGGATACCGATTCCGTTTGGTCCTGCGAATTGTCGCTGACCTGATGCTTTGATGCTATTCAGAATTCAAGGAGATTCGTCGTGAGTGGAAAGCCAAGAAGAAGGAGGAAGAGGCGCGCAAGGCGGCCGCTGCTGAGGAGGAGCGTCAGCGCCAGGCTGCGGCTGCTGCTGCGGCGGCCCAGAACGGTGGCGGCGATCCGCAAGCCTCGGCAGACCCCGCCCAGCCCCCAACGTCGTATCCAGGCTCGGGAACTGTTCAGCTGCCTCCGATCGGCTATCAGCCGCCTCGGTATCCCGGACCGCCTTCGGCTGGCATGCCGCAGCAAATGTCCGAGTACAGCTACCCGAGCTATTCGCCGACGTCGCCGTACGGCCAGCAAAACCAGCCGATGTACCATCAACGTAAGTTGGAAGGCGGCTTGTCTTCTGTCTGAGATACTGTGTTGTCTGACCTTGATTTGTCTAGACAATGGTGGCCAACCTCCGAATCATTAGGCGTGGTTTGTTCCACACTGTGTCGCGACACCCGTCACATATCGAGCGGATGACTTCTCCCTGATGCTGCGGCGACAAGGTAGCGCGGCATAAGCGACGGTGCCGTTTCGGATGCGACAGCCGCAATCATGAAGCACCACTCTGGCATCAGCATTTGCCTCTGATTGTTACTGTTTTGTTTATTCTTTATTCCTTTCGCACATCTCCTTTCATCAACATTTTCTTTTCCATCGACATTGCATGGAGTCGGCATGGGAAGGCTTGCATCTGGCTCACTGCGGGGGGGGGGGGGGGGGGGGGTTGAGTTGTGTTGCTCGTTGGGTTCTGGGCAGTCGGATATACCCCCAAAAGAGAGAGAGTGTGTGTGCGTATGTGTGTGGAAGAGGGACGAGAAGAAGCGTAATGCAGCGTGCAGCATTGTGAGGGTGGCGGGGATGTCGGGGTACTGAGGTTGCGGCGGGTGGTTCTCTTCGAGCGTGAGGAAGCGCAGCAGTGGCGATCTCTTCTTTCCCGTCGGCCCTTGTCGGCTGGTTGGTTGTATTCCTTGCCCGCTTTCCCCTTCCTCTTCCATGGATCAGGGATGAGATGGGGCGGGCGGGCATTGGGATTACTATGAGTTTGAGGAATGTTCTGTAATGGATGCTGTGCCTTGCTTTGGTAAGGCAGAGCTAGCGAGTATACTGATCTTGACCAACGCTCCCTGCCTGCATTGAAAAGGGGCCTGCGGGTACGGTAATTATGACCACTTTTACGAAGAATTTGTTGTCTGAAACTCACCGAGGGACATATCCCCTAGGATGACATGCGTTTAGTGCTCTATGCGGAAACTACCGTCGAGATTGAAAGCCGGCCCGCGGATGTGAAATGTATTCTCTTGTCGTACAGGATTCTAATGTCGAGGAATTGTGAGATGGAGGCTTATGTCTTTATGTGCTATGCAGCCGATGCTTACCTGTCTGACCAATGGGAGGTACCTGCCGAAGTCTTGTCTGTGGTACGCTAACTGTACTCCGTAGTGTTGTGCTATAGCTAAGAATTTTCACCCTCTTAAATGGATCAAGAAACATGCGGCTAATTTGGCTCAGCAAGGCGGCGTTGGTTAGCTGTCCCATGCCCATGGCATCGGGACCATGGCACCATGGCTATGTGCGGCTCGGCAAGAACCCGGCAGCTTGGGTCGACTAGGCGGGGGCTAAGGATCTTAGCTCCCGTCTGTAAAGAGGTACTCCGTACAGAAAGGTTTACGCTATGTATATACTTTATATTCGGTGGACAGGCAGACACGTGGGGACAAGGGAACGGGGGTGTGTTTCGCCTGGTGCAACGATATATAGGCCGGGTTCATCCGTCTGTTGGCTATGCGAGAACGGTCTGTGATGCTTTGCTCTTTCTGTGGGTCGGGTAGAAAAAGAGAAAAGGCTTAAACTTCCTTCCCTAATCGACCCCCTGACCATCACGCCCTTGTTTGCTTGAGCTTCGTGTAACCACACTTTTAGGGCCAAACGTCGGATGAGGCGAGCCAAACCCACGTCACACGGTACTTGCTTCCTTGTCCCTGCTGTGCCAAGGGAACGGGGCAGAGCAGACGGGGGTTCAAACAACGGGTGCAGGTTTTGGTGACACAAGATGACGACAGAATTCGAGGGCGTCAGGACTTGCTAACGCGTGTAACGTGGGACCTGGTGGTTCTGACCGGCCCGCTCCTGGCTGCCGAGACTCGGATCGAGAAAGGCGGAGGTTCCGATGTCATACCGCGCTGGAGTGGTGTCGATCGTTGAGTGGGTTGACTGGCATGGACTAGAGTAGTCCACAACATGAATCGATACAAGGCGTTGAAGCAACCGGCCGTTGACTAAAAGGGACAACCATGAAGATGCTGCGATGCAGTATCATTATTAACATGATCATTCGCAATGGATAGGCGTGAGTACTTTACCGCGACTTTCTCTTTAGCCCCGTCAAGCCGCTGCCCTGATCCGTGGTGCATATGCAGCTCATGCGCGGTGTTTCGAAATAATGAAAGCAAAGACGCTAACATTGAATTGTGCAGGATGGGATGCGAGCTGTGGTACAGTACCCTTTGCCAAGACGCACAGTAGAGGTGGGGCAGTACACATTCAATACCTAAGATGGCAGGCAGGTTCAGAGAGTATGATACCTTCGGTCTTTGTATCAGCCCAATAGCACGGTAACACAAAACGAAGCTAGGGGCTCTGTCCTGAGACTCTGTCACTCCGGCAGCCGATGGAAGATTCCACGACTCTTCGATCCAGATGCGGGTATCATGCAGAGGGCTGGGAGGCAACAGAAGGTGTGCACATAGAACCTCGCACAGTGCTTCCCGTGTCTGGAGGGAGCCTGAGAAGTTTCTGAAAGAATCTGGGCGGTACCGCCAAACAAGAAACGTCCCCCATCCAGCATAACTTGAATTTGTATATTTCGGTTTTCCACTTGGAATTGTATCATATATCGCAGCTAAGGTAAGGTGTGGCTAACAACCGCGGCTTCGGCAACAGGAGGCGTGCAGCGGAACGTCCGTTCTACGGATAGTAACTACAGCATCAAAACCGACATTCAAGAGTGACACGTGCCTGAACCCGGAAGAAAACGACCCAGACGTCGAAAAGTAACCGACAACGGACAGCAACACGCCGGAATACCAACGGGCAGCTACCCCACGACCCTACTTGATTGCAAGTCGACTCTGATTTGCGGGTCAGAAGATCTTAAGCCTGAAAATCTGAAGCCGATGTGCATGTTGGCTGCAGCATCATACGAAGACGGCGCTTGAGCCAGATATTCATGACTAGCAAGCCAGCAATGAGACCCATATCAATGCATACATCAAATCCAAAGTCCTCAGGCCACCAGAGGGCGCTCGGTAATGCCTCTCTTCCGGGCTGCCTCGAGAATGGAGACGTGTTCAGGACCCTGGGACTACCCGACAACTTCATCATTGGACTTGACGCCATGGCAATGACAACGAGCAAGAGCCTTTCAGGCTTCTGTGATATTCCACCTGGCGTCCATCTTCTCTGGGTCCAGCAACCGGACGGTGTCTCCCGCTGCGGATATTGGTTCGTGACAGGGAGCCAAGGAATGGTTCGAATCAAGGAATGGGACGTCTACAATGAGGTGCTGCAAGAACCGAGCCAGTCCGAGGTATTCCAAAAGCATAGTGCGGAATCTGCACCTCTGGCTTTACATCCGTACACTCTGCACGCTCATCGAGGCAAGCCCTTGACGCCATTGAACAACACACTTCCCAGCTGGGCTCGGTCTCCAACAGCACTCTGGAACGCCCTGACTAGCGCCATATCCAACCATTCTCTCAGCAGAATCACCGGGAAACGAGACGTCAGCGAATACCTCGTCGACTCGATGGATTCTGCCAGAGACACGCACCGCGGCGAGTCAACCTTTCTCTTCACCCAAGACTTCCGCGATCTCCAAGTCCTCGATCTCAGTGGCTCCCTGAAATCCCGCGTCGTCGACACCTCAGCTCGGATCCAAGCCTTACTCGCCAACACCACCGATAACAGCAACCAATCATCATCATTCTCCGAGCAAGACATACTCGCCGAGCTGCAGTTCACCTTACTAACCGGCACGCACCTCGGCAGCCCCGCCTGCCTCGATCAGTGGTGGAACCTAACCCTCAAGATGATCCTCCGCGCTTACAACCTCGCCGTCTCCCACCCCCGTCTCACCCGGGACCTCCTCCAGATCCTCCACGCCCAGCTCTTCTACAACGAGAACTACGTCGGCTCATCCTCATCATCAGCTTCTTCTTCGAAAGCCGCCCAAGCAGACGCAGCCGATCACCACCACCTCGGCGGTGGCGGTGGTGACCACGCCGCAGCGGACGGCCCGAGCAGGGACAGGCCTATTTTCCAGTACAAGCCACGGAACAGGGAGAAGCTCCGCGAGGCGCTGGTCGAGTACGGGCGGCGGCTGACCCAAGTGCTACAGGGGCTGGGGGGAAGCGCGGCCAGGAGGCCGGAGCAGGAGGCGGTTGGCCAGGCGTTTGAGGAGCTGGAGACGTGGTTGTGGCGGCGCGGTTGGGACCTGAGGGGCGGTAGCCATTCTCGTCGGCCGGGACGGGGAAAGGATGATGACGACGACGTACAGGTGCCTGACAGCGATGAGGATGAGGACGAGCAGCCTGTGGTGGTCGAGCTCGATGAGAAAGGTCGTGAGAAAGGGTTGATTTCTTTTAGGGACTAGGGGGTATCTGGGACGTTGGGAGTACGCAGCGCTCGACGTTCAAGTCCTTTGATTCCGAGGCAGATAAACCATCACACCGCCGGCCAACTCAGGCATGCTGTCCCCGTCGCTTGCTTTCAGATGAAGAAACACCACTTGCGCTCTGAGCGAGTCTAAACAAACATTGTAGCTTCTTGAAAACGGCAGGCGAGTTAAGACAGGTCCTCACAACACCTGCACGGACGATGACATGGTCACACGGGAATATCAAATATTTCAGCTTTCTATCAAAGTTGGTATTCGCTTTTTTTTTCCGAAATTAGGTACATAAACATCTGCCCCGTCATCACTGGGAGAACTCATCTGACTCTCTCATCTATCATCGGGCGGGGGCTGAAAGGACGAGAAAACCCTACCCCATAAATCCACGACTGAAACCCATGATTTTGATAAGAAACCCAAAAATAAAAAGAAGGAATGAAAACTAGTAGACATGTCATATAGACCTCGAATCATCCTCGTCTCCACCCAACCATCGGCCGGGAGAAGGCCGTGGTCTCGGGGTGACAACCAGCCGATGAATACTCGACCCGGGAGTCGATGGTGCGAGAGGGGGAAGATCCTGTGTGTAAGCTCTTCAAGTCGCGAGCGCCCAATGAGACCCTCCTCAACTCTCGCATCGAAGATCAGGACCCGCAACGGATGCAAGGAAGGAGCCACAACCCATCCCAGCCTGAGTAAGTAGGGACATAAAACCGACAACAACCGGTGGTACTTTAGCCACGTAAACCGATCTCTAAAACCGAACCTCTACGCAAAACGCCATGATGTCCGTCCGCGGATGTGGGATGTCACCAGCTCGCGAAAACAATCCCGAGATGATCTTGGTGACGGCCTGCCGCTTGTTGCGACAAGCAGGTATTTCGTCGCGCCTAAGCCGGAGCGCTTGTCTACCACCGAGGTCTGCCAATGGGCATGGCGTTGGCACCACCGACATTAGCGCCTTGCGAACGTCCTACAGAAGCTGGTCAGCACATACTCTCATAGTCGAAAGAACGGACAGCTACACACTTACCGCCACGGAACCCACCACCGCCGCGGCCACGGTAGCCGCCGTAACGACTGCTCCCACCTCCACCAGAATACCGAGCCATCTCGGCCAGACGGGGGTCAATGTGCTGCTTAGCCTCCTGGAGAACATTCACCAGGTCCCGAGCCTGCTTGGCATCTATGTGTATGTCAGCTTAGCCGTTCAAAACCAACAAACTGGGGCGTGAGGCAGTGGAGGAAACCTACTGTCAGTGGTGAAGAAGGTGATGGCCGTGCCTTTGGCGCCGGCACGTCCAGTTCTACCAATACGGTGGATGTAATCCTCCGAGTTGTTGGGGTAGTCATAGTTGAGCACGTGAGTAATGTTGCGCACATCTTTTGAAACAGGGAAATGGTTAGCAACGGCAAGCAGCTTGACGAGTGCAAGCAACGTTCCAGCATGAACGCATGGCGGATGACACGGGATAGCTAAGTATGTTTCGTGATCCATGATGGCTGTACTTCTCCTTGGCAGGCGGGCTGTCCGTTGCGGTCAAATGCCGGTGGGAGATGTTAAGCTCCAGGTCCTCGGGCCTTTCGGGAATCTTGGGAGACAAGCTTGATCAGGGTCAAGAGATGCCTCCTCCACGCTTGTACCACGGCAGACCAAATGGGTACAAGACAAGAAGAATTACGGCGTAGCATTGAGAGCAGTGTCTCCGCTACGTCACGAATCCAAGACTCGGCTCAGAAGGACCATGTAGACACAAGGTCAGGCAAGTTCGCGCAATCAAGAAAGCCCCTAGACGCAAGAGTAAAGCACAGCACACTTCGATGCTGGAAGGTTGCCCAAGAGGGGGGGGGGTAGGGGGTGTGGGGTTGGGGTCGGGAACACATACCAATACCGCGCGACGCGACGTCAGTGGCAACCATGATGGGGCTCTTGCCGGTCTTAAACTGATCCAAGACCCAGTCGCGCTCGTTCTGCTGCTTGTCGCCGTGAATCGAGAGAGCAGGCCAGCCGTCCTGGCGAAGGAAGCGTGTGATGTCGTCGGCGACACGCTTGGTGCCCGTGAAAATCAGGACTTTATTTTCGTTATCCTTGCCCTCCATGATCTTCTCGAGGTGCTTAATCATCTTGTCGCGCTTCTCGCTCTCATTGACGACCTCAACGATCTGGGTGATGCGATGGTTGGCAGACAAATCCATGGAACCGATGTTGACTTGAATGAAATCGGTCTGGAAGTCCGAGGCCAAGGCGCGGACCTCCTTGGGCCAAGTAGCAGACCACATGCAAGTCTGACGGTCGGGACGGATCTGACTGATAATCTTGCGAATCTGGGGCTCAAAACCCATGTCGAGCATGCGGTCGGCCTCATCGAGAACCAGATAGGTAACACGGCGAAGATTGGTCTTGCCGGACTCGAGCATATCGATCAAGCGGCCGGGCGTGGCAATAACTACCTCAACGCCGCGCTGAAGGTCGCGGATTTGAGGGCCCTTGGGGACACCACCATAGACGCAAGTGTTGCGGATCCTTGACGACTTGCCAAACTTTGTGATTTCCTGCTGAATCTGCACAGCCAGCTCGCGAGTGGGAGCGAGAACCAGGACAATCGGACCGTCGCCGGGAGCGAGAAGAGGCTGAGCGTTTATGTGGACGATGGCGGGGAGACAGTATGTCAGAGTCTTGCCGGAACCCGTCTCGGCAATACCGACGACGTCGCGTCCAGAGAGCGCCATGGGCCAACCTTGGGCTTGGATGGCGGTCGGCGCGGAGAAGCCCTGGGCCTTGACTTCGTCCATGACATAGCGGGGGAAACCAGCCTCGTCGAAGGTCTCAACGGGCTTGGGGACATCGCGGCCATGGACCGTGATGGCATGATCGCGGCGGAACTTGTCGACCTCGGCTTGGGAGCGGGCGGTGACGTTGGGATGCTCCTGGTAAAACGACTTCTCAAACTTGGGAAGTGTGGACAAGTCCCAGTTCTGCTTCTGCAAGCCGGCACCGAGGTTGGACATCCGATCGCCACTACCGCCGCCATATCCACCACCACCGTAGCTGCCGCCACCGCTTCCATAGCTTCCACCACCATAGCCGCCGCCGTAGCCACCGCCACCGCCGGAGTAACCGTTAGATCCACTGTCGCAAGATGAGACTTAGCATTTGACAATCAAAGCAGGTGATAGTGGCTGGCAGCGGAAAAAAACAAAGAACAAACGAGACAAGTCAGACATACCCAGAGCCCGAATAGCCGTTGGAATAACCTCCACCGCCTCCACCGTTGCGATCATAACCGCCGGAGTATCCGCCGCCGCCACCGCGGGAGCTGTAACCGCCGCCGTAGGAAGACATGGTTGCTGTTAAAGTGACGCGGTGTCGAGTTTGCTGAAAATGCCGGTGACGCGAAAACAGCTGTTTCGCGATGGAAAGTCGAGTAGTCGGGCACGAAACACGCGCTGCTTGTTTGGCTGATGGAAAGCCGATGAATGCGCGCTAGAGGAGGTGGTTGATGTGATGGATTCCGAGGGAAGAAGTGCCGATGTGATCACAGAGAAGCGAGGCAGGAATGCGTCGCAGTGTGATCAGAAAAATATTACTGCGCTCGGAATAAATGAGCGGATTGCACCTGCGATGGGCAAAGTCTTGACAGACAGACAAAGGTGAGGAGATGGAGGATGCAAGTTTCCGTCAAGCGAAAACCTTTTTGTAAGAGAGGAATGATGGAAGAGGAAGTCAGTCGCCTCCTGGGACTTTTGCTGAGCGTAGATTTGCAGCGGCCGCCCGAAAATTTTGTTTTTCAGCAGGCACCCTTTCAGTGGCCAGGGTCCGATAAGGATAAAAAGTCTTGGCAGTGGGGTAGTCACATCAAGCTTGGGCCAGTTCCACTGTCTCAGTTACGAAGTCAACCAGCACCTGCCAAGCATCCTTCCACAGACAATCGTTGCGTTGCCCATGCAACTATGTCAAACTTGAAGATACACAAGTGCCAGTGTCCACCATTCTCTCTATGTCGTGCCAATGCCGACGTAAAGTTGCTTTGGCTTCAAGGCAAGTCTCAACTCCTCATTTTGAACTGTACATTTCCCAGAACGCGATCTCCATCTGCATCTGCCGTCAGCATCCAACCGCATGCATGTCTTTGCTGAAAGGCGACACTTTGGTTGGACTTACCTTTGTAGCGTGGATAAACACTTTGACCAATTCCTCTATTCGCGGGGGGCTCTGGAGCACTGCATGTCTTTCTAGCAGTTCTTTTGTCCGGAATCAGCCGCCTCGCTCCGCTGCGTTGGACTTGCACAATCCCACTCACCGGAGCCCGTCTTGACAGCCGTGGTATAGTCGTCGGCCACATAGTTTTCAATCCACGTCCAATACAGGTTCTCCTCCCTCTTGGATCGGGGGTCGGCGTGCAGCATCTTGGCGATGGCGCCGTACCCGAGGAGGCAGGGCGCCATGGCGACTTGCAGGCCCAGCCAGTCTTGAGACTGGCCGATGTCGAGGACGTACCTTGTGTATGCGGTGCAGGCTGTGGAGCGTCAGTTGGCTGTGCTGCTGGCCATGGGAAAGCTCAGGTGAGAAGGCGTCTGTTCACCTTCTTTCTCTTCGGTCTTCTCCATCTCGTCCCTGGAGATGCCAAACCCTCCGCAGTAGCCGATGTGTAGCTCCATCTCTCGGAAAATGTGGGTAACAATGGCGGCAGACTGTCAAGTGCCGCGAGTCAGATCAGTTGCCCATACCAGCAGTGGTTGGTACACATACCGCAGCGATGTCCTTCATGGAGCTGGCTTTGTACGAGGCGAGTGCGTTTGCTCGAGCGAAATGGACCTGTAACAACATCAGAAAAACGCCTCAGCGTGTAAAGGGCACACTACATACCAGGTAGAGATAGTCCTGGATCAGGTACCCCTTGAAGGACTCGATGGGCAGTGTTCCGTCGCCCATGGCCAACACAAACGGGTGGTTGACGAACCTCTCCCACACAGGGGCGACATCGGGTCGCTCCAAGAGGTAGTCGATGAAATGGCCTCTGGGCAGGATCAGCTACAACTGCAAACGTGCAAAGGATAAGAAGAAGAGGATCCTTCATACGGCGAGAACGGAAGGGTATAGACCGAGTGAAAGTGGTTCAACGGCCCGTTGCCTCCCCCTAGCCCTGGCGCAGCCTTGATGCCAGCCTGGACATATCTGCACCCAGCCCTCACCGCCGAAGGCATGTCCATTCCCTTTGCGAGGTTCGATGCAATCGCCGCTGCCAGCCGACAAACAGCTCAGCATTTCAGAGAGAAAGGGAAAGGAAACGGCAGAACTCACAAGCCAAAGAGCACCCGGTCCCATGCGTGTGCCTCGAATCGCAGTACCCCGACTCCAGCCTGACCACTACCTCCTCTCCCTGTCCCCCATCCTCGCCCCCGCCAACGAGCACGTCAACGACCAGCTCCCTCTCCGCCGCCGTCTCGGCAGCAGTCCCGTCTCTCCGGAACGGGCAATGCCCGCCCTTGACCAGAACCCACTTCGGCCCCAGCCTGCGTATCGCACGCGCGACCGTCTCGAGGTCGCCCACCTTGCGCACAGCGTCCACCCCAAACCCGGGATCGGCCTTGCTGAGCAGGAGCAGCGCTTCGGGCACGTTGGGCGTGACAATGGTGGCCAGAGGCAGCAGGCGAGCGAGCAGGACGTCGAGGGCCTCGGGCGGGAGGAGGCGGGCACCTGTTGTTGCTATCATCACCTTCATTAATGAAGACGTCGAGTTAGTCTGGTTTTTCCCGGAAGGGGAAGTAGAGTGGTAGAAGAGGGAAGGGCGGCTGACTGACCGGATCGATGACGACCGTTTTGGGGTTGTGGTGTGTGAGAGCGTTGGCGATGGTTTCGATTGTTTCGGCTGAGGCGAGCATGCCTTTGGGTAGGTGGATGAAATCAGTTATCTATCCGTAAGGTACATATGTATACCGGACGGGATGTGCCAGAATGTTAGGAAAGGGGGAGGGGGCTCACCCGTCTTGACAACGTCAACCCCCACATCCTCAATGACGGCGTCGATCTGTTTCCTGAGGAACTCAGGCGGCACGAGGTGGATACCGTAAACGCCTTTGGTATTTTGCGCAGTGAGGGCCGTCGTGGCCGTCATGGCATAGCAGCCATGGGCAGCAATAACTTTTTGGTCCGCCTCGAGGCCGCTGTGAGGACATCATGTAAGTCTCAGCAAAGTCAGACATTCATCACGTATAATGAAACCGAGCAATGGCAAGTGTAAAACCTCAAAGTGGACAACGTACGCTCCGCCCGAGCTATCAGAGCCGGCAATCACCAGGACTCTTCCTGGGGCCATTTGGAAGGATTGCCGTGTTCTGCTGCTAGTGTCACTCACGATACTAATGAGATCGAGTTGTGAATGAAATGCCTCTTGAGGTGGAGTCATCAGCAGTTAATGAGAAGGAACCGGACGTTGTCGGAGCGGGGACACAGTGGGGTTGGAAAACCAAGTAACCTTTGCGAACGGGACGGTCACTTTCAATCGCTTTAATAAAGCCTCCAATTGAGCATCCCACCTCCTGGCCTCGACGGGGAGCTTCAGTAGTATACAGATCCACGCGAAATCCCCGGCGAAATGAGCTGTTTGAAACGCCTCAACAACCAAACCCGGCCACCAGCCCCTATATGCAAGCCCCCATAACCATGACCGCCCTGCTGCCCATGGACACTTCCCCCAAGCTGCCTCCCATTTTTGTAGAAATACAACCAACACCGGCTCGTGCCTCAAGCTGCAACTCCGTGCTACACACCACCTGTCATGAATACCCAAAGAACGAGAGGAAACCATATCATGACGGTCGTTGCACCGCTACCGACCAAAACCTCGTATCACCCCGCGCCTCTTGACATCCGCCGGGTCGCTCACACTCCTCTGCCGCTCCGTCCGCTGCTCATCGCTGGAGCTCTCCCCATCCTGGTCCCCATCGTCTTCGTCCTCCTCGTCCTCCTCTTCCTCGTCCTCATCATCATTGTCGTGGGCGTGATTGTGGTGGTGGTGGTCGTCGCCGCCATCCTCATCCTCATCCTCCTCACTCTCACTTTTCTCCTCCCTCACACCACGCACAGCCAACCCCTGCCGTCCCTCCTCCTCCTCCTCCCCACTTTCCTCCTCCTCACTCCCATCTTCACTCGCCGAACTCTCGTCTTCCCCATACACCACCGCCCTCAAAACATTCTTATCAAACAACCCCACAATCATGTTCCGATCCGCCAGCCTATAATGATGACACTCCAACAGCGACATGACCTTTCGGAAAAGCCTCGGCTGCGCGAATCCGGCCGCCTTCTTCTGCGTCTTAATCTGCATCAGCTCGTTGCGCGCCCGCCGGTACAATACCATGTTGGACATGTCGACGACCAGTTCCAGAATGCGGTGGTTGGTAGGGTCCGGGTCCAATTGAACTCGTTCGACGCGTGATGGGCCGCTGTAGCCGTCTGATGATGTGCCGCCGCCGGCGTTTTCTTCTTCAGCTTCCTGCAGGGCTTTGATGAGCGACTCGGAGCGCGGGCGCGAGGGCATAGTCGGTAGCTTGGCCGTCTCCGTCTTTTGGCTGTCGGGCAGTTCGATGGCGGTCACGGGGGTGTGTTGCCAAGGCTGGAGGGAGAATAGCTGTCCGAGGTCCGAGGGGATGCACAGACCCAGGGAGTGGCCTAGGATGTTTGTGTTCGCGTCCCAGCCGTTTTCCGAGAGGATCTCGAGGCCGTGGATGGAACGCGAGATGAGGCCGAGCACAAAAAACGCGGTCCCCCGCAGGCTCATGACCTCGTGGCTCTGGGCAATCTTGACGATCTGCTCCACCACGTCACACGACTCCAGAAACGGCGCGCCGAGCTCCATGGATCCGACGTTGCCTACCGCCCAGAGACACCCTTTGACCTTGACCATCATTTCCGGATCGTCTGACTGCATGCCGTACTCGCGGATGGTGGCGGCGAATTCGTCAAAGTGGCCCTTGTCGCTGAGTAGCTTGCACCCTTCTTCGGTGCGGGTGAGCTCCCGGTAGAAGTGCGGCGGCACGTGGCTGTCGGCCTCCATCTCCTGCTCGTCGTCAAAGACGCTGCTCCGGTTCGTGTGGTCGTCTTGTTGCTCCATGAACGAGCGTGCTAGACTGGCCTCGATGACACTGACGTAGGAGTCGTTCCGACCCAGAAACCAGTCGTCCATCTCGTTGCTGATGTAGTCCAGCCCGTCAAGATAGTGATAGCCAATCGACGTCGAAAGGAAGCGCAGGAGCAGAGGAGCGCCTATCTCGCCCAGGTGATCCAGCGCCGGCCGGCATTCGACAATGTACTCGAGATGGTTCTTTGTGTTGCACGCCTTCTCGAGTATCTTGACGGCGGTTGCACACACTTCAACATCAGGATCGTACAGCTGCGTCACAAGCAGTTGGATGGCCCACTTTGAGTCGCTGGCCTCCTGGCCCTGAGCACCCATCCGTGGGTGCGTGGCAAACTTCCTCACGGCGTTTGTCGCATAGATTCTGATGTCCTTCGTCCCAGCCGTCAAGGCCTTCGATAAAAGCACTCTAGGGTGACCCTGGAGGGAGTAGTCGAAATTGGCGAGCATGAGCTTGATGAGATCCGGCCGCTGTTTCAGATCGAGAATGCGGTACATCATGTTGAAGATGCGCCATCTGTCTAGCATTTGCATTCCCTTTGCATCCCCGCTTAGGATGCCGAGCATCGGAAAGTACCCGCCGCAAAGGGTGTCGGCGAGACGGTCCTTGGAGAACATAGGGTCCTGAGCCGTCAGCCCGCTCGTCGGGTCGCACTGAGCCAGGCACTCGGCAATCTGGCGCAGCAGCTTGTTGTCGGACAAATACTTAACGCCCTCGGGGCTTTGAAGTAGCGCGTGCATCAGGGCACACCCCGTCCGCACGTACTTCTGCGTGTTTCTTGAACTCTTTATTTCCGAGAACTTGTACTTGAATGGGCGGTAGAAGCTCATGATCCGTTTAATGAACTTGGACGCCTTGATGGCCTCTTCCAGCCTTTTTCCGCTAGTCAGCGGTCCTTCGATGAGCCTGAGGATCACATCCCAATTCCACTTGTTGTAGTTGGAACTGCTGAGTACGTTTGACTCGAGGATGAGCTGGCGAAACGTCCCTTCGTCAAAGCTGACGGCCGTGTTGGCTTTTGGGTGCTCGTCGAGGGCACCTTGATCCATATTCTGGTGGGCCGAAGGGAGGTAGCCTGACGGCGACGATCTGTACAACGTCTTGCTGACGCTGCTGATCTGGTAGACCACGCCGGTGGCAGAGAAGTGGTTTTCGTCTCTGAGCCTGGCCGCAGAAATGAATAAATCTGGGAGCAGCTGCAGCTCGCCGCTCCAAGAGGGCGGAAGCAAATGACTCGACAGCTTTAGTACCTCTCCTATCAACAAAGTGGACTTTCGCTTCATCGTTGGGCTCTCGTTGTCCTGGGTGAGCTTGAGGAGTGCCGGCAAAACACCCGACTTGATAAAAACGGCAAGCAGGAGCGCGGTGTAGTGCTCAACGAAGTTTTGTTCCCCCCCATCTTCTTCCAATTCTGGCTGAGAGCCCTTGCCAGTCGTTGACTTGAGGTTTGCAACTCGCCCGTACGTGGTGAGTCGCCGGCCGGCCAGGAACGAGGTTGCCCAGGCTGGGGGCTTAATCCGAAGAAGGGAGAAGATGAGATCCATGATTGAGTCCCGGATGGGCCCGGTTTGCACGACCATGCTGGTTATCATGGACTTGATGGCACGGAAATTGTACATGGCCAAGCTCATAAGCCCGGACCATGTCCTCAAGGCCGAAGCCACAGCTTTGATGCTTTGCTTCAGAAACCGCTCGTTGGACGACAGCTCGTCGGTAAAGGCGGTAAAGAGAATCTCCAACTCGTTTCCAGGACGCAGGTATTTGCGCCGATCCGGCGTGTCCAGAAGGTAGAGGAAGGCAGCCGTTAGGCTTTCTGACGCCTTGTATGAGCCATCTGCCAGCGCTTCGTGTAGAGCAGCCATGCCCCCGGAAGCGATCAACAGCTGGGGGTCGCGGACCAGAATCTCAGCCAAAGTCTCAATGCAGATGGGTCGCAGTCTCTCCTCGGGTTCCTCTGCCGCCGCAGCTATCGAGCGGACGACGGCTCTTGATATCTCGCGGACACCATCTTTGACATCAAGAAAGGCGCGCACGAATTTAAGGGCCTGCTCACGTTCGACGTCTGATTTGCGGTCCTTGATCAGGGACCTGCCATGACTTAGCTTTTCCAGGTTTCAGGGCCAACTATCGAAAATGAAAGTAAAACCTACCAGGTGACGAGATAATCAGTGTTGAGGGAACGGATATTTCGGAGAGAGTTGATATCCGAAATGGCGTATCGTATCATCCTGTACCCTGCGGCAACAACCTCGCGGCTCTCACTCAAGAGCATGGCTTGCATCCGGAGACCAAACACGGACCACACCAAGTCATACTTGAGCGTGGGGTGGCGCTTGAAGAGGTCGACCAGACTGTTTGCCCTCGAAACGTAGTAGTCCGGGGCCATGCCAGCCAATTCCAGGGCCTGCAGAAGTTCGGTGAGGGCAAAGGTTGGTGACTCGGCAGGCTCGTCCATATCGGACCCTGCTCCGCTGCGGGAAGCGCTGGGAGGAGAGCGCAAGCCATTGGCGCCGGGGAACAGGCCGTCTGCCCTTGTCCTCGTCGGTGTCGTTGGCGCTGCCCTCACGCGCTGGGCGTCTGTGATCTTCTGGCGCAGCTCCTTGATGCGCAGGTTGGAAGAGTTCAGCTCGGCCTCGACCCTCTGCCGCTGCTCCTTGGTTTGCTTTGCCTTCTTAGAGTTTAGCGCTTCCAACATATTTTCGCTGCCCTCCTTGATCTTCATCTCACGGCTGAGAGCGTCGCGCAGGTGTGCGAGCATCTTCTCATGGGTCGGGCTATCGTCCTCGTCCAGCTTTTCAAGGGCCGGAAACATGTCGAGTCGTGAGCCGGCACGGGAGAGGTTCATCTGACTGCGGAGATCGGAGCTGAAGCTGCCTGGCAGGGGCGACGGGTTGAGCGACGGGTTGAGCGACGGCCCGCGCGAGGCAAAGCTCACGGCCGAGGCGGAGAGATTGCGGCCCCCATTGGGAGCAGGGGGCTGCAGACCATCGCGCTCGAAGCTTGGTCGCGAAGGCGCAAGGGTTCCGGATTGCTGTTGTTGTAGCTGCTGCTGTTGCTGCTGGGGCGGGACATAGGACCTCTGGGTGGGCGTCGCCGAAGAGCTCAGCATGGTGGATGGCCCGGCCATTTGCCGTCCACGCTTGACGCTCTCGACGCTCTTGTCAACTGTGCCAGTCTTTGCATTCGATTCGATCCGCCGGTTGGCCCTTCGTTCGACACATGAATCGCTGTGGCCTTGAAACAACAATATCAGATCTTGAGAACCGCCATTGCACACGATACGTGGTCAGGTCGAGTCGCGTGCGCGTTCAATCTCTCCCTGGATGCGGAGAGTTGCCTGGTAATTACAGGTGTGGCCATGTGCTGGTGGGGTTTGGTGTTGAGCAACTGGGTTCCAGTTCCACCACTATCGCGACGAGCCGTACGCGGGAGGTGGCCTGTGCGGTGTGCCTCTGCTCTCCACTCTGGGCTGCTAGCATGTGTGACTGACATTATCGTTATCCGTCCAACTGTACATCCGTATTAATCGTGTGGGCATACTTCGGAAGAAACACATCTCATACAATATCGTACGGAGATTGCCCCAGGAGATACCTTCAAGATTAGCCTTAACACCTTAAGAAGTACTGTCTTCTGTGATTCACAAGACCAAGAAAATCAGCTTGCTACAAGGCAAATAAGAGGACATACTCCCCCACTGAGGAGTGCAGAACAGTGACGGTGGTTAAGTCGACAGTGTCCCAACTGGGAAAATCGAACAAAGCCCTTGTCAAGGATCAGGTCCAAACCAAACGCAGTCTCGAACTTGAATTCACGAGTATCACATCTGTCTGCTTTGCAATCCTGCCTTCAAAGGAGCACTCTCGACTCCCATCTTCCATTTATCTGTGTCGTACGATGTCACACTTGCCATGGAAGCGGGTGGCACTGTTGGTACAGTACATAATTCAGGTCGGTCCAGTCCATGAAGGTAGCTGGGCAGGTGGGGCTCGTCCGATGCCTGCCGAGAGCCCCGAGAACAGCTCGACGACACCGAACTGGAACAACTCCTCCAACCTGTGTTGATCGAGTATGGGTAGACTCTGTTGTCTTGACTAGCGGAAAATGGAGTTGATGGACACGGAAAACAATGCCAACCTACCTGAAGGTCAATCCTGCGACCGTGGGGTCCATGGATGATGGCGTTGAAGGCGGGGCCCCCCCAACACAAGGCAGTCGGCGGTTTCCGGTGGTGATCCACCTCCTCCATCCCGGGTTGCTGCCCGCGCAGACGGGTCACCTCGCCATTGATGAGCCGCCAGGCGCCGTCCGGATGACTGCCGCGTTTGATCGCCGGCGGGTCTGCCTCAATGTTGGCATCTATAAATGCCCAACCGTCCTCGCGTGCATTCTTGTAAACTGAACGCCCTTGCATTTTGACGACTCAGGACCTGGCCTCAGCAGCACCTCAGAGTTGTATCGTATTCTCACGATTTTGATTTCGCATCACAGAACAAACGCTATAGAAACTCACATTCACCGTATCTGGACAGGCAACCACGAGATTCAAAGTAGCAAACACTGCCGCCATGCCAATCCTTGCTTCTGCCTGCTACGGCAAGGACAATGTCCGCGTTTACAAAGTCCACAGAGATGAGAAGACAGGAGTCCAGTCCGTCACAGAGATGACAGTGTGCTGCCTTCTTGAAGGTGAAATCGATGCATCGTAAGCTGTCTTCCAGCAAAAAAAATCACAGAAGTCACGGCCTGAAGCTAACGGCCGCTTCTCAAGATACACCCAAGCAGACAACAGCGTCGTGGTGGCCACAGACTCCATCAAAAACACCATCTACATCAAGGCCAAGGAGCACCCAGTCAACCCGCCAGAGCTCTATGCCAGCCACCTGGGCAACCACTTCCTCAGCCGGTACCCGCACATCAGCGCCGCCCACATCAAGGTGGTGGTTCACCGGTGGACGCGCATGAGTATCGACGGCAGCCCGCACCCGCACAGCTTCTTCCGCGACGGCGAGGAGACGCGCAACGTGGAGGCGACAATCTCTCGCTCTTCTCCTTCCCAGAAAGGGTCCGACGTCCAGTTCGACCTCAAGAGCAGCATCGCGGGCCTGTCGGTGCTCAAGAGCACCGGGTCGGCCTTCCACGGGTTCGTGCGGGACGAGTTCACCACGCTGCCCGAGACGTGGGACCGCATCCTGTCGACCGACATTGACTGCACCTGGACCTGGAAGCGTTTCGCCAGCCTGGCGGAGGTCCAAGACAGCGTCGAGAAGTTTGACAAGGCGTGGGAGAGCGCCCGCGCGATCATCATGAAGACGTTCGCGACCGACGACAGCGCGTCGGTGCAGAACACCATGTACAAGATGTGCGAGCAAATTTTGAAGGCGGTGCCTGAGGTTGACAAGACGGCTTTCTCACTGCCGAACAAGCATTACTTCGAGATTGGTGAGTGTTCCTGACACTTCTCCTGGAAAGGATGACAGTAGTGCTGATTATCGGCGATACAGATTTGAGCTGGCACAAGGGCATCAAGAATACGGGCAAGGACGCCGAGGTATATGCGCCCCAGTCTGGGCCCAACGGGCTTATCAAATGTGAAGTCGCTCGGGACGTTTCGATGGTGATTCGCTAGGTGGAAGCTACGGATGGTCAGAGTGAAGGACGTGGCGGCGAAGAAGAAGAGATTAGTTCCTTGGTCAGCGTGTTGCTCGCCGCGCTGTGTATTACCCTGATAGCCTCGTCTTATCAATGTGAGGCTGGCGTAGCGAGTCTGCGTTGCCAAAGTCAAGCAGCAAGCCCGCATCCTCCCTGACAGTCCCAGGCCGTCGAATTCGTAGAAAGCAGATGCTCTCGTCATATACATCGATATATTTGGTAGTACAGCGACCCCTTTACAGAGTCAGCATCGTACACTTCCCCCCATCTGTCTTCTCTCCCACCCACCCCTTCATATCCTATCTTTATCCGCATCCCTCACAGCCCTTGCCATCTCCTCCCACCCAGGAGTCCCAACAACTTTCCCACCAAACCGCATCAGGTTCTGTTTATACGGGTGCGAGTCCCCCTCGAAAGCCTTGAGCCGCGCCAGCCGCTTGTCGCGCAATCTATTCTTGGGCAGCATGCCGCTGACAGCCTTGCGCAGCACCTCGGCCCCGCCAAACTTGTCCATGAGCGCGTCCATGGTGATGGTCCGGAGGGAGCCCGGGCGCGTGTTGTGCCGATAGTACGTCTTGCGCCACTTCTTCTTGCCCGTCGTGTACAGCGCCGCGCAGTTGGTTACGACGACATAGTCGCCGCAGTCGGTCGACGGGTCCCAAATCGGCTTGTGCTTGCCCATGAGGATCGTGGCGATGCGCGAGGCCAGCCGGCCCAGCGAGGGCGGCGTCACGGCTTCGGGCGGGGACTTGACTGTGGAAAGCACCGGGTGAGGGGCTTTTGCTGAGATGTGGTGCCATACTCTTGAGTAGGCCAGTTTCGTCTGTGGAGTGAGGATGAACTGCTTAGCATGTGTTGCTCGATATAGAGCTGTGAAGGGTGTGCTTACCGCTCCAATTGTCTGTGACATGTTGGGCGATGTTGGAGGAGGGAGAACGGGGTTGGTGGATTCGGATGAGCAGAGAGCCCCTGGGAACTAGTCCCTCATCGACGAGGACGCGGTTTCTGCAATCGAGAATGCACGTGCGTCTGGGATATCACCAGGTCTGCCGAGACTCAAGTGGGACGATCCGACCTCTGCGTCGGACGGAACAGCGGCGAGCAATTGGCGGGCGCGAGCTGACGATCGTTGTCGCGATGCTTGGAGTCGAGCCTCGGTGATGGAAAAATCGGCTGGCGCGCCTCACTCATGCGCCACACTCCTTGAGTCAAGTTGCGGCACACTTTCCGTTCCTAGTTCCGACCACGACCCTGACTTGGCATCCCAAGCGGTCCTTCATCGCCCCACAGACGTGCTCTTGCCGTGAATCGGGGTCCAGCACCCGATCGGATTTCAAAGCAAGATGAGTCGCAAACCGGATGTCACTTTACAGTGCACTTGTCTTCATCGTCTTCAGGGCTTAAACGACTGACAAAATAATCCTATTTCAATCTGAAATGTAACGAAGTGAAATTTGCTCCTTTGAACGTTGCTTCTTGAGGCACTTTCACCGTCATCTAGATTCGGCTCATTTCCTAAGGATTCCACTGAATCTCTGATGCATCACGGCCGCATCCATACTCGCTCTATCATAAGAATATATGGAATAGCCTTCATCGCATCTGCCGGCGCATACTATTACTTGGGGAGACCAGGCAGGCTGCACCAAGATTACCGAATCCGTCCACCATCTGAACAAAAGAACCCGGCCAAGATGGCTGTCACTACCCCTTTTCAGGTGAGTTGAGCTTTACCAAGGTAGTCAGGTCCGGTTCGGGTATCTTCCCAAATCTACTCTCTGCCTGACTGAACCCGCTTTCCTGTTTCAACTCACATTCTCGGTGCCTTCTTTTTTCTCCTTGGCACGGCTCCGACAAGTAAAACCGGAAAGAGACCTCGAACTGACGGAGAACATGAAACAAGACTCTCTTCGCCGTGCCCATGCACTGTGACGGTTGCGTCAAGGACATCACGAGCGCCCTGCATAAGTTGCCAGGTATCACCAAGGTCGAGGCGAATGTCAAGGATCAGTTGGTCTCAATCGAAGGGACAGGTCTGTACGAACTGTGTCGCCAACCCTGGGCAAGTTCCATCTGCAAGATGTTTGCTGACACTGAAGCCCCCGGCAGCGGCTCCGTCGGCTATCGTTGAAGCCATCCAGGCCACTGGGAAAGACGCAATCTTACGAGGGTCAGGGACCTCAAACAGTAAGTGTAGTCTTGAACCTACTCACCTACTTGGCTGGCACCTTCATTTGGTGTCCAACTCCCGGCAAGCAGCGCAACGCGGATTCTAAGATCAATTTCTTTACGGCCAATGCTAATTCATTCTGTTTCCACCTCTCCCCGTTCCAGGCGCGGCAGTTAGCATCCTCGAGACATACCACCATCGGCCAACAGACGCAGAGGTGACGCCCGCCGATGCCCCCGGCGAGAGTTGGGTGAACCAGAGACTCGTCAGGGGCTTGGTGCGGATGGTGCAGGTCAGTCCGACCGAGACCCTGGTCGACCTGACCGTCCGCGGCGTTCCCCCGGGCACATACCATGCCAGCATCCGGGAGTACGGCAACCTCAAGGACGGGGCGGCATCGGCGGGGCCGGTCTGGCTGGGTGTCCAGGGCAAAGAGGGTGGTGCTGGCAAGCCGCGTGGAGTTTTGGGGACGGTGCAGGTCGGCCCCAATGGCTATGGGAATGCATTCATCAACCGGCCGTTCCAGGTATGGGAGGTGATCGGCCATGCGCTGGTCGTCTCACGGCAGGATGAGAGCGACGGCGAGCCGTTGAAGAACAAGGAAGACACCGTGGTGGGCGTCATCGCTCGCAGTGCGGGGGTCTGGGACAATGACAAGACGGTGTGCTCCTGCACGGGGAAGACGCTTTGGCAGGAGCGGAAGGATGAGGTGTCAAAGGGCATGTTATGATATTCGTTGGTTTCATTGCCAAGAAATATGTGCACAGTGCATGCACATTGAGGGATGGACCTTCACGAAGCTTGGCACGGTTTTAGTGTCAGTTGCACCGACTCCAAGTTCAAGATTAAGGACATATCATGGCAGTCGGAGAAGGTTGATAGGCAGCGAGCGCATCCGAACCAGGCATGTCCTTGGAAAAGGGCACTTGGTTCAGCATGAGACGGTGAATGTCTGGGGACTGCCGACAAAGAGATAGCTTCTCACTGCACTTCCACCTCGTCAGACCCTTCACATGACACTTTGCATGGTAGCTAACGCCCCCACTCGGTGTCCATCGGAAGCACGGCGGAAGTGTGTCCGGCGGGACGCTATGAAGCATAAGACGAAACGGAAAGGGATGCGGCCCACACGTATTCGGACAATAGCGTACCAGATCCAAGGAGGTGTACGAGCTCGCCTAGCTTGAGGGCCGTTGTACAGCAGTCTGTTCGCCTGAACACCACTCTGAATAGGCAAGTTGGACATGTGCAAGATGGAATGCTGTGGCTCAAAGATGAAGCGAATGCCAATCCCGACGTAACGGCCGGTTTAAGCCTCCTTCGTCTTAGGCCAGTATGCCAAACAGTCAGATGGGCAGAGGTGGTAAAGTACCTATCCTCCTTCTTTTAGCAACACTGGGCAGAAACAATGGATTGATATGGGGGACCTTTTGTGTGCATGTTTCCAGGAAGGTGACGCTCGGCACCCAACAGTCTCCGCTGAACGTCGAGTGTAACTCGACGGCACAGCGTCCCCTAAGGGCCGATTCCGGCGGCCTTGATTCCCGACGCCAGAAACCAACACAATGTCGACAACAGCTGGGTAGGTGTCATCGCGCGCATCCATATTAGACCCCTAATGACTTGCTCGGAGACTGACATGGCTGTGCCCCCAGCGCCTTCATAGCAGGCGGCATCGCTGCCTGCGGCGCCGTGACGGCGACGCACCCCTTCGAGACGGTCGAGATCCGCATGCAGTTGCAGGGCGAGCTCCAGGACAATGGTGGCGTACTCCGTACAGGGAGAGGGGCGACGGAAAGCTGTGCATGGGTGGTTAAAACTCTTGAAAAGCGAGCGATGGTGAAGAAACTGGGCTCTGCCCGAGCAAGAGCCTCTTGGGTCTGGAGGGGCTGCGGGGTCGACAAGGGGGTGAGGTTGTCCGAGGATAGAGAAACGGGTGAGACGGAAGTCTCCAGCTGTGATGTGGATGGCCGGTAGGGAATACAACTACAGGTGTCTATTGTTGTTGTCATTGACGAGATGTCATCCCAAGGTGGAAGCTCGGATGCCTCCCGTTTTCCGTTAGCGCCCGTTCGCTACTGTAACTCGGTGCAACGCCATCCCACATGGTCTAGCCAGCCGAGGGCTTGGGTATCGAGAGATTTGAGCCTCTCCCACCACAAGGCCATGCATTCATTTCCGGAAATAGATGGTTATTGGTGTGATACTGTGGTACTACCCGCAGGCGCTGAACCCGTGTTGTGCAGTTGCTCAAATTCATCCCCGACGAGCTGTCTTTGCCAGTGTCGTCGGGACTATTGGCACCGGAAGCGCCAGAAGCGCTAGAGGCACCACCACGGGTTCCCGCCATGGCATTTCAGAATGCCCTGTTCAGCCGCCGAGACTCGACGTTGGCGGCCAACAGCGACCAGCGGACACCTCGATGGAGAACGGAAGATTGGAGGAATCGAGTTCTGCGGCGTTCCAGCCAGGCTCGAATGTCGGACGGCGACTACGGAGTACGGATACGGAGTGCTTTCGTGGCTGTTCGGAGGTATCGAAGACGCCGTGTGGTGGTAAGTTAGTGTTCTTGTAGCCGCCCTGCAACGCAGGGGCTGGACCGGCCGGGGTCCTGGTCCAATCAGCGGGCCGCCTTCAGCATTGGAAACGCTTGGTGCAAGAAATTCAGGCCTGTGATTCGCAAGGATCCCGTGAGATCTGTGACAGTCAATGGCTCGCATTGACCCTCACCAAGTCTCAAATCACAACCTCCCGCCGAGCCAAGACCTGCCACCGCTGGACCGAAGACGCTCATGCAGGACATTTGACTCTTTGACCAGAGCGATGCCAGAGTCTAACTGCCAGGAGTCCAGGACTCTGGTGGGATGGTGTGTAGTTACCCTTGAACCATCCAGAGGAATGAAGGAGCTTTGTCCCTAACCAAGGCCCGATACTGTCGTTGCGAGCATCAGTCTCGTGTGCCTTAATGGAGGCCGTGGTATATCCTCGCCTGCGGTGGCTCTGTTCGAGTGGCAGACACGGACGGAATCAAGGCCAGGCACTTGGCCGAGAAAGCGGTGCGGTGATGTTCCGTCTCACGTCGATCCGGCAGGAGTCGACTTGGGACCGTTCGATCCCCTGCGCCATACCTGCGTCTGTGCCGAACAGTCTTCCAGAAGGGACCAGGATTGCTGAGACGGGTGGTTCGACCTCAGCCTCGAAAACGTTCGACATCTTAGATAGGCATTCTGTCGACACCGCCATGTTTCGTGGCCGCCAACTATGATTGAGGGTTCCCGGAACCGCTCAACACACTAAAGTAAGGTACCTGTTAGCTGGCAGATGAGAAAGACAGTCTTGCGGGTTCTTTCCTGGCTGTTGCCCGAGGTTGGTAAAGACGTGACCCTCCAGCCCCACTTCGCGAGAGTCTCGGGTACTTCTTGCCTGGCCCCTACCAAAAGCCAAACCTCCTGTTTTGGCAAGGGAAGCCCTGGCGGCTGTAACCAGAGGCTTTCTGGGAAGCCCTTTTGCGCAGGCAATGGCCCTCATTCGGGCCTCCCCGGCGGGTCTGCATGATCACCTCCTCCAGTCCGGCCGTCCCCAAACGAGCCCACATGTCGAATGCACGCTTGGGACTCTGCATTTCTGTCTTGCAGACTGCCCTTTTTTGCCATTTCGCCCAGTTTCGCGCATTCACTCTTCTCTTGGTTCCCGCCGGACCGGACCCCATATTCGCAATTTTTCCCTTCCTCGAATCGACACCTGGCCAGCCCTTTCCGCCATCCGAAAAAGAAGTGATATTGGAAGACGCAGTCCAGCCGTTAATAAGTGGTATTTCCTCGATCCGACAGGGTAGACCAAAGAATCGGACCCGTTCCCATACGCTGCAAGAGGCTCTGTTGGCTGCAGGAGACCCATCAGAGCTGCGCCTACGACCGATAACTGGGAGGATCGTCAGGAACAGACACCCCCAACCTGCGAGGCTGGAGCTTGTCGACAGTGGTTCTGTGAACACGAAGACTGAGAACGAAGAGCAGTGTCGCAGAGCGGGCGCCCGCTGCAGTACAGTCCACTACACTAAAAGTACGCAAAACACAGAGAGGCACTCTGGACAGATACGTGTAGACGAGAGCCGGAGCTGTCGCCGCCGCCACATGCCAAGCTGCCGCTAGCTCACAACCAAGTCTGCGAACTTGCCATCAACTCGACCGGCCGTGCATCGTTGACCTGGTTTATTTTGGTGGAAAAGAACGGCAGAGCCACGTTCAGTGCCGGGGGTGCCAGTGAAAGAAGGCAATTGGGCCTCAGAAGGGAGAAGGGGAGATTTCGAGCTCTCTCACGGGACAATCTCTCTCTCTTCTGACTCGAAGAGCCAGCCCCCTGTTGCCGCCCGCCCAAGACTTGGCCCACGACAAACCCCTGCCAGATCCACTGGATGCCGCTTTGCTGCCCCAAAGTCTCCTTGACACTTAAAAGCCACTCCACCCCCTCAACGCACGTCCGACCACCACCCGACATACAACCGCCCTTTGGTTTTTGCAGCTGGTGGCCTAACGGGAATAACCTCACGCCCCTCTTGCTCTCTCAAGAGCTGCAAGACTGCCCGAGCTTGACAGCTTGCAACTGCAGCGCTTGAGGAAGCATGTCACTAAAACAGGTTAGGAGACCCCGCTGGTGATCTGCTGGGCTAGAGTGACGGGGTGGCACAGACTTACACGCGGCCTACAACAGGAAATCGAGACTTGGGTCGAGGCCCTCAAGTACTACGACAACAATGAGTTCGACGAGTCGCTCAAGTCGTTTGACAAGATCGCGGACACCTCCAAGATTTTGTTCAACATGGGCGTCATCAATGCGACTTTAGGCCAGCACGAGCAAGCGGTACGAAACACTAACCCTGTCGTATGTGGATTCTAGCAAGCAATTGTGCTGACTTCCGGCGTAGGTTGAGTGCTATCAACGCGCCGTCAAGCTCGACCAATATCTGGCCGTTGCATATTTCCAACAAGGAGTTTCGAATTTCCTCCTCGGCGACTTCGAAGAAGCCCTCGCAAACTTCAACGACACCCTGCTTTACCTCCGCGGCAACACCCTGATCGACTATTCGCAGCTAGGCCTGCTCTTCAAGCTGTACTCTTGCGAAGTCCTCTTCAACCGTGGCCTCTGCTACATCTACCTCGAGCAGATGGAGGCCGGTATGCAAGATCTGCAATATGCCGTCAAGGAGAAGGTGGTTGAGGATCACAATGTGATTGACGATGCGATTCGGGACGAGGCCAAGGTATGCGTCCCTTACTCTGTCGTAAATCCAGGCTTCGAGATTGACATCATCTGGCCCAGGGTTACACCGTTTTTTCTATCCCAGTCGGCGTCGTCTACAGGCCAAATGAGGCCAAGGTGCGGAACCTGCAGCAGAAAGACTACCTTGGCAAGGCGCGACTGGTTGCCGCGTCAGACCGCAGTAATGCCTTCACAGGGTTTGCCGGTACTGAGCTGAACAAGGCGGTGAGTTGGCATCCTAGAAAGAAAGAGAACCCTCCCGAGCCGCTGCTGACATCCCTCACCAGATTGCGACTAGTGAGGCCAAAGATGATAGGCCACCAGAAGCGCTCTCCTTTGCCGCCAGCAACCTCGTCAAGCCCGGCCTGCAGAGCAGGATCCGACAGCAATCCGAACCCCCCAACAACCGCAATGTCTTCCCCCCGACGCCCCCCCCCGAAAACGACAAGCCTGCCCAGATGAGCCGCGGACAGTCGGTACGTAACGGGCCAAAACCGATTCCTAGCAGGCTTAACCTCGAAAAAGTCAAATCAAACGAGCGCTACGAAAGAACGTCGCCCGACGACGGGAGGCCCCGGCCGACCCGCTCGGCGTCAGCTGCCCCGGCCCGTGGGGTCTCCCAACGTGACCCGCCTAGGCGACGGAGAGACGAGGAAGAGGACCCATACCAAGCGAATGATGACGTTTACGACATGTACAGCGGTGGCGCCGGGTCCCGGAGTAGCAGGTCGCAAAGGAGCGCCGTCGGCCGGACACGAGAACGGTACATCGAGGAAGAAGAGGAGGATGGGTCCGACTACGACGACGTGTCGTTTGACGAGGGCGAATTCGAGATGGTGTCAAACCGTAGACCTGCAGCTCCGGGTTCTGTCTTGTCAGGCGGGTCAAGGAGGGAATCCTCAAGGCGAGATCGACTGAAAACTGTCCGTGTCAAGGTACATGCTGGCGACGTGCGCTACATCGCGGTCGGCCCGGCGATCGAGTTTCCAGATCTCGTGGATCGGATCCAGGAGAAGTTTGGGCTGCGCCGCAGGTTCAAAATCAAGGTCAAGGACGAGGACAATCCCGAGGGGGAGATGATCACCATGGGCGACCAGGACGATCTGGATATTGTCATGATGTCGGTCAAGCAGGCTGCCAGGAAGCAGAGGTCTGACACAGGGAAGATGGAGGTGAGCGCTAATCTTTTCACTGATAACCACTCGGGGGTCACCAAGCTAACACAATCTCCAGGTTTGGATTCAAGAATTATAACGACCATCAGGTGGAAAAAATGCGCTTACTGTTTTATACCCCGACTCCGGCGCGCACAACGGCTAGCACTTGACTACGAAGTTAATGATGGACACCCTCACAACAGCACACGCTCACCGTACATGATCACGATTTTCTTCATATCTACCCGGCTGGTAGTTGCAGTCCGGACACCAGCCGACATAACTTTTCTGCATATCATTTTGCATACAGCCAGGAGACAGACCTAGGGAACAGCGGCGTTGACTCTGGAGTTTGGGGTTCATCGATACACTTGCACAGGGGCTGTCGCTATTTATTCCTGAAGACTCTATAACTATCTCCTAAGTGGAATGTCTACTTTTTTGCCATGGTCGTTTCTTAGGTGCTCTGAGGTGCTTTCGATCTCTGCTTAGCCGAGCTGGACTTGTATGGATGTGAAAATTGGATGGTGTCTAATTATCGACTTGGGAAGGGGTACCCCTGAGAACAATGTGGAAAAGGTTTTATTACGAATCAACTACGTTGTGTGGCAAGCAGTCGAGGTCACAGAGTCTCAAATCTGCCTGTTGAGAGTTCATGTTGGAGCAGAATGCTGTTTTATTGGGGCACTGCGATGTACTTGTACCCCATCACTGTTAGGCAAGGATGTCGCCGTACAGATTCTCTTCATTTAGGTATCTGTCATAGACACACAAATAAGATGGGCCGGGTGGCTGCGCCAATGCCTCCCTCTCTCCCCCGTCCTCAAGACGTAACGTTCTGCCAACCACCAGCCCATCCATCCACGCACGCCCCATTGACGACACACACCCACAGCACTTTCCGTGGGAGTGCCCTCATATGGGTGCTCGATGAGCCAATGGACAGACCTGGGCTAGACAAGACAAGGCTGGGCGGACAAGCCAAAGCCCGAGCCAACAGAAGCCACGTCCTTTGGTATCTGCCTCTGTCCCTGCAAGCGATTAAAACGCTTGACCCTGACCAAGGGTTTCAAAAAAAACGCCGAGTGGGAGCCCACACCTCCCTATCCTTCCCCAGTGAGTCCCGGTCCGTTTCCCATGTAACCTGGTATCTTGGGCCTCGCCATGAGGCGCTTGAAGCAAGATGTTATAGAAGTAAGAACGACAGAATCAGAATCAGAAAAATGAAAAGATCAAGAAGAAACGCAGAAAATATGAAGACCCCTGAGTAGACCTGAGTCCAGCAGTAGCTAAGAGAAATCTCTCAGATGTCTAAAACACTTTGCATGCACACTCGTTGATTCACGATACCAAAAACGCCGAAGAGCAAGAACAACAAAATGAGTATCCGTACATATACAGAAAGCCCATCAAAGCAAGATAGCAGGACAAAACGAAAAAAACGCATGCCGGTGACCCTCCGGCTTCGCTGAGGCGGTTCAAAGGCCGCATGCCGCTGTGGCTGGCCTCGTGCCCAGTCCCAATAATCCTAACATGTCCACAACTTTTTTGCCATGCCTGTTCTCTCTCTGTCCGGTCCAATCCAATGCTGCCTGCTTGCTATATAAGAAGTGGCAAGCCCCGACCTTGATGAGCGACAGTAATGGAAGTCGGGATTTAAACCTCCATTCCGGTTTCGTCAGTGTCCTTCGATTGTCGGATGCGAGATCCCATGCAGAAGGCATTGCTGTGCTGAACGTGTGGTGCTGCCGCACGTTGCCGGATAAAACGCCCTTCACATCCTCTTTTTTAAAAAAGCTTGACTCTCGGATTACGAGTTGACCATCATCGACAAGCCCCTCGTATCGTCATCCATCATCTGCAAGCCGTCTAAGCTGCGCGGCTCCATCTGGCTGAGCCGGCTTTCGACGCCGCCCAGCCGGCCATCAACGAGAGGCTGCATGCCCCCGTTGGCCAGCGAGCCGTTCCCGAGGCCGCCGCCGCCCATATTCGCAGGCGGCATGCTCGCGCCCATCTGAGGCACACCATTGCCGCCAAGCATGGCAGCTGTCCGACTGCCGCCCTCGAGGGCCTCGAGGCGCTTCTCAATATTGTCGAGACGTGCCATGAGCGCGCCTTCCAGCCGGCTGAAGCCCTGCGCCACGTCGTGGGCCATGCGATCGACCTTGTTGGTCAGACTCCTTAGGCTTTGCGCGACGGGAGTGTTTTCCTGCCCCGGCACGGCGGCGGGGACGCGCGCCTCGTGGTTGTGCCGGGCCTCTTGCACGGCAAAGCGCCATTGGTTGCCGAGGTTGACTTCGCAGACGGCCTTTGCGCGCCACGGGCAGTCGACCTTGCGCGTGCTGGGGTTGCGCTTCTTGGCCGTGCTGCTGTACTTGACGCCGCCGCGATCGCAGACCAGATCGTAGCGCGTCGGCTTGCCGTCGCGGTAATTGCTTGCGCGCAGCTTGACAATGCTGTAGCCCTGTTCTTTGGCGGTTCGCTGCACGGACGAGAGAAGGTCGTCGAATGTGCGGTAGATGCCTTCGGGCGGCGGCGCCAGGCCTGCAGCGGTGCCCAGCGCGGGCGACTGCGGGGGCATTGAGGAAGACGAAGGCGCGGGTGCCGGCGGTTGCGGCTGCTGCTGATTTTGCTGCGGCTGCTGAGGTGCTGGAGCCGCGTCGGGAACTGTCCACTGCTGGAGGGTGTAGCCAGTCGCGGCAGAGGTTGGGTTCGCAACGGAGGTCGGCGAGGTGGTGGTTTGATGTGGAGCTCCGTATTGGGGCTGGAAGATGATGCGGTCCGGCTTGTTCGCTGCACCGCGTTGCTGTTGCTGCTGTTGAAGCTGCTGCTGTTGGAACTGCTGCGGATGGGGTTGGTGATGGTGCTGGGTGTGCACGTGTTGGTGGTCTCCGGCAAGGGCGCTCAGACTGGTCAACCCCGACGTGTCGGGTTGCGGAGCTGGCGCAAGGGTTGATTGAGGATCAGGGTATTGGGTATGCGGCGGGCCGGCTGTATAGCCGTTCATCAATCCGTCGGCCTCGGCGACCTGGTGCGATCTATCGAGTTGCTGCGACGGAAAAGAGTGTTGTTGCTGGCCCGACACGGTGTCGACGGGCGCACGCACGGTCTGATGGTGGCTGTTGACATTGACGTTAGCAACGGTGGCGGGGCCCCAGCCTTGGGCCGCCTGAGCGACCGGGGTCATCTGGCTCTGAGCCGCCGCATTCCCAGCCTCAGAGACGCGGGTTGTGCGAGGGCGCTTGCGTGAACGTGGCTGGGCCTGCGACGGTCCTCCGGTAGCACCTGAGGAATTCATCGTGATTGGTGATGTGAGGCGGAACCGCCAGTGGGAGACACTGTGCAGTGCGGATACTCCGTACCCTTCGGCAAGAGTTTTACTGCGGGTGGTCGGGTTGTATGTCAGGCGAGGTAAGGTAACCCGACGTAATAAGAAGGTAGCAGACAGTCAGATAATCGGTGCGCCTGGGCTTTGGGCAGATGCCGAAAGGCGGCGCGTGTGCGCGCGATCGCCTATCGATCAAAATAGCTGCAGGTAATAAAATCGGGCAGGCGCCGAGAAATTATGAAAAATATACGACTGCTTTTCACGTCGCGTATACAGGAACAAGTCGCCGTATGGTGGGTGATGCGCGTCTCGCGCAAACCCGGCACTCGACTGTGCGTTGCCTTCGGGTTGGTTGATTTGTTAATTGAAGGTTGGCTGTGAGCGAAAGATGTCGGTTGCTTTCACCCTTCTTCCCAATTCCCAGGGCGATTGTTTGCCAGTCTCGGCGCAGTGTTCACTCACCAGAAACCTGGCAGCTGTTGGCCCGAGCTCCCGGCTCATAGGCAACTAGCGTATCACCAGGCAATCGAGCTGGGCCCCACGCTGTCTGCGGGACACTTTGGGTCCGCGGGGCCAATCGCGGATCGGCTTCTCACCAACACCAAAGCTCTTGAACTCGAAGCCGCCCATCATTCGTTGGCTGCACCTCACCACACAGCTGAGATCCGTCACATCGAGATCTACCACCCAGTTTCCTGGTTTCTAGAACGCAACAACGTGATTCCAAGGACATTAAGCTGCATATCATCTCGGGCACCCCGTGCCCTGGCTGCCCTCGTCTACGGGTACCTTAGGTAGCTAGCCCCAAGGCTGGAGACGGGTTCACAATGGCCAACAACACCAGCAACGCCACCAACACCCTCAATGGCCCCGTCAGTGAGCAGCCAGCAGGCCCTGCACCGGCGCCCAACGACAGCTTGCAGGAAGAGCAACAGCTGGAAGACATGCTTGACCGTTTAGACCAGGTGCATCTCGAGGCAAGTTTGCTATGGCAATCCATGCGTCCCTGCTCCAGATGGCATGGTGTTTTCTGACCTCGAGCTGCAGTTAAGGCAGCTTCGCTCGGCGCTTCCGCGCATGTTGGAGCCCGTGATGAAACCCAATCATCCAACTCGTACGCCTTGCCCGCTCTGAACTGCCGCACCAAAAACGAACTAACAACCCGCCCAGCCGAGGTGATGATGGCGTCCTTCCTGCAGGCCGTTGACAAAACCAACAAGGACATTGCAAGTTTCCAGGAGGCTCATCTCCGCCTGCAGGCTGACGGGGTCTTCCCCAGAGCGCGTGCCAGTCAGAAGAATTCCAAAGGCCTCAAGCATTGGCGTGCAAGTGAACACCCGGATTGGGCCAACCCAGACCGAAAGCGGTCCCAAATCTCCTGAGCAGGATTTGTCTACATAGCTATTGTATCTTGGGATTTAGAATACCAGGCGTTTTGGAGTTTGTCGGCAAGGAACTACTTAGGTCATTAGGGTGAGGGAAACATTCGATTGGGAACCTATGCGTAAGAGGGGGATTTAGAAAGCTAGGTACGAATGATCATCAACTCTCTTTTGGTACACACCGAGACATTCATCCCTCTCTCTGGATCAGGTCCGACGATGTTTCGGCCAAAAAGGGAGCATCTGCAACCAGAAACGCAGCCGGTCCCGGGATGAAGTAAGCGGCACCCGCCAGCTGTGGGGGCAGGCTGCCAGGTGTCAGCCTTCTTGTCGGCAGAGTGGGGCACCACTCAACGCCCACACAGAAATTTCCAAGCTAGATCTCAAAATTCAACCACCTCGCACACCGTGATTGAGTCGACGGAAACCATCACGTCAGCGACGACAACACCGCAGAAATGGCCCCTTCACGAGTCACCTACCGTCGCCGGAACCCGTGAGTTCCCCATCTTTGCGCTCGAATTTTGGGAGTCAAGAATCGGAGGGATTGAGGAGGAGGAAAGTAGCTAACTCGGCCTTCCCTGCAGCTACAACACCACGTCTAACCTGACGCGGGTTGTCAAGACTCCCGGCGGCTCGCTGCGTGTGCTTCACATCAAGAAGCGCGGTACTGCTCCCAAGTGCGGCGACTGCGGCGCCAAGCTCCCTGGTGTAAGTTGGTTTGCATTCTTGGACATTGGATACGGGGGATTCGACGGGAGGGACGATCGATAGCCGCCAGCGAGCGAACGTGCCGATCACCCATTTTGCGAACACACTCTGCGCTGAAAGGATGATTCGGCCCATTCGAGAGAAACTTGGCTCAGCTCGCACGTCCCGACTCGCCCAATTCGCCGGCCTGTACGACTTGCACGATACTGGCTCAGGAATGGCCAGGAGACATTGAAACTCAACCAAGCATATCATGGACAACAGCGTACTGACTTGTCGCTTGTATAGATTCCTGCTCTCCGTCCTCACGAGTACGCCCAGATTTCCAAGCCCAAGAAGACCGTCCAGCGCGCGTACGGTGGTTCGAGGTGCGGCAACTGCGTGCGGGACCGCATCGTCCGGGCTTTCCTCATTGAGGAGCAGAAGATCGTCAAGAAGGTGCTGAAGGAGCAGAGCCAGGCCGAGAAGAAGAAATAAATGCAACTCGGTTTTGGCTTGGGGAGCGGACGGATGCTGGTTGACGGTCTCATTGCTTCGGTGTTCACTTGGGAAACGGGCTGCATGCCATACACACGCGCTTACGGCCGGGAGTTGGCTGGGCTGTGTCTGTTCTTAGGGCTGCTTTCTACTCCGGGATGAGGTTCTCAATGGAAATGGGCTTCGGGTTGTGCTTCATGAGCTGGGACGCTGTGAAAAACACACCGCCTGGATCTTGAGCGCCGAATGGCAACCGAGTACGGTTGCGAGCAAGTGAGACAATGGAAGCAAGAATCGCGCCCATGGGATATATCCGAGGTGTCTGGACGTGACTGAATTGCTAGTGGCTCGACTGAGCCTCGGTATTCACAACATGTTCTGGCAGATGGACAGCAACGTTGGTCCAGGTACTCACATCATTCGGCTGCAGAGGGGAGATAACCGAGTACGGATACACCAGTCATTGTGCTCCTTGATAGATGCCCCATAAATATTTTGAACCCCTGCAATGACATTGCGTCCAAGAATTCAAGTTCGATTTGAGAAAAACGGGGTTCTTTGAACCGCCAAATCCTCTCGAAACAGCAATCTCGAAACAGCAAATGAACGATCTCTAGGACGTAACAACGACCTTTCCATAATGGCGACCCCTAGTTCCTCAGCAGCCCGCCGCGTCCCCGTAACCGTCCTTCGCGCACTGCGCTCGACCGCATACATGCCCAACGACACGACTACTACCATGGTCCTCTCACGCCCAAGGCCTTCCTCATTCCAACCCAGCAATGCCGTCGCCACCCGCGGTCTGCTTTCCTCCCATAGCGCAATGATACACACGACCCGGCCGACATCCCAGTCCCGGCACAGGAAACCCATCGCCCACAACGCAGAGGAGGTCCCCGACCAGCCGCCGCCGACCGACTTCAGCAAGATGGACGTGCTCGGCGCGACGCCCGTGCCCTCGACGGCGGTTGAGGCCTGTCACGAGGACGGATTCTCGCTGAACTCGGGCGTGCACATCACGGGCGGCAGCGGCGCGTTGCTGGTTGGCGGAGAGGCGTTTTGTTGGCGGCCTTGGGAAATATCAGCAGAGAAGTTGGGCAATAATAGTGTATCGGGGACGGGGAGCAAGGGGGATAGGAGGAGGAGGTTGGTCAATGATAGGGGCCAGTGGGAGGTCGGGGAGGAGGCGTTTGGGGTGTTGGGGGTCGTTTGGCCTCGGCCTGGTGAGTACAAAGGCGACATACGCGCGCGCATACACACACACTGGTTCAGTGTTGATAGGAGGGATGATGGCTGATCAGAAGAGGAAACAGATTTGTTGATTCTGGGGTTGGGCCGCGAGATACGGCCGCTGAGTCCTGCCACGAGGAGGGCAATTAGCAACCTCGGGATGAGGGTTGAGGTGCTGGATACGAGGAACGCCGTTAATCAGTATAATATGCTGGCTACGGAACGCGGGATGGGGGATGTCGCTGCGGCGTTGATACCGATTGGGTGGAAGGAGGGCGCTTGAATAGCGGTCTTCTTCGCAACGGGGATCGCAACGGGGACTCCCCCTCAAGAAGGGGGGAGATGGAAAAAGAGTTGAGGCAGTGTAGATGTCCCTACCTATCGACGTCTGGCGACGTGAAAATCGCAGATACAAGCGGGCGTGCTCTTGGCTCTGACGGGCCCGCCGCACGACTTGTACAGTACACATATACCAGAAAATAAGGGCAGCATGGGGGCATGGTGCACAAGCGAGGATGTAATACTATATACCCTTGACCAGTTAAAGGGTTTCCTCACTTCCATGCTCATGTTGTGGATGGAACCTGACGATTGAACTGAGCTACAGAGCTGTCTTGTACAGAGTACAACGGGGCTCTTGAGCGCAATCCGACAATCGCGTAACCACCTCGACAGGCTCTGTCACCAGCGGTAGGGGATTCTGAGCTCGTAGGACTGAATCATTCCATCCGCAGGAACGCAAGCATCCACAGCCGTCACTTATTCACGGGTCACAAGGACTTTACCATCTTCGCAAAATTTGAGCTTCGTCACCCACTACTCAGCGTGGATTCTCTCCTCTAATTGGATTTGTTTTGCGATGCCAGCGTCGACATCAAGCTCAGTCGTTTGTCTGCATCGTAGCCACCATGTTCCGTCCGACTTTTTACCCAGACAAATCCTACCATGCAGTCAAACTCCTGCGTCCTGGGGCTCAAAAGCAGTTCGCCCCATCGTACACTCCTTCAAACAGTTTAACTTGAAACCGAGACGTGTGGGATCTAGCTTCCTGCCGTAGGAAAATTACTGCGCAGGAACACTGGGGAAGTCAACGGCGTTGGCCTCGACCCACGCCTTGAGGTCAGCCTTGATGGCAGCCGTAGCACCGCTGAGCCCATACTGCGTCGGGATACCCTCGACGCGGTGGAACGAGTTGATGTTCTTGTGGAGAACAATCTGGTAGCAAGTAGCGCTGCCCTGGCGGGAGATGATGGTCGAGTAGGCAAGGAAGTACTCCCAGATCTGCAAGCAGTCAGGTTAGCAAAACCATACGCCTCCTACTAGGAATTAGAACACGTACGCGGAACCATCTCTTGCCATACTTAGCCTCGACCTTGTCCTTGTTGGCCATCCAATTGCGGTACCAGCGCCAGATGGTGGCCGAGTAGTGCACGCCAACGGTGTCGAGGCCCTTGACCTCAAAGCCGGCGCCCTCGAGCTTGTCGATGAACCAACCGAGAGGAGTAGACGCATCGGCACCGGGGAAGACGTATTTGTTCATGAAAAGACCCCAGATCAGGTCCTCATACTGCCAGCTCTTGCGCAGGCCGGCAATCTGGAGGAAGAAGACACCGTCGTCGTCAAGCATATTGTAGACCTGCTTTAGAAAGCCGTTAAAGTGGCGGACACCGACGTGCTCGGCCATCTCGAGGCAGGTGATCTTGTCGTAGCCGCCCTCGGGCACGGGAATGTCGCGGTAGTCCATGCACAAGATCTTGCTCTGCTCCTCAGGAATGCCAACTTTGCGGAGGGCGCCATTGCCCCAGGCAGTCTGGTTGCGGCCCAGAGTGATGCCGGTGACTTTGGCGCCGTAGTTGACACTGGCGAAGCGGGCCAGAGTACCCCAGCCGCAGCCAATATCAAGCATCTTCTCACCCTCCTTGAGGGCGATCTTCTCGCAGACAGCAGCGAGCTTGTTATCCTGAAGCTCCTCCAGGGTCTCCTCGCGGTTGATGTCACCGATTATACCCGAGGTGTAAATCATGCGCGGGCCGAGGAACCAGCCATAGAAATCGTCGCCGCGGTCGTAGTGGTCGCGGACCTGCTCCTCGTCTGGTAAGGTCAGAACATGGCCCAAACACAAAGGGGAAAAGGGAGGTGGTACGTGACAAACGTACCCTGAGACCTGGTGTGCATGAGCATTTCGGGGACAAAGCCCGTCAAGAAGAACTTGATGAGATTGAGGGTGAAGCGGAAGCTGGCCCAGTCGTGGCGGTACTCCAGAACCTCGAGAGCATCGCCGTTGAAGTCGACGTCGCCGTCAAAGTACATCTCATGGAAGGTCTCCATAGGGATTTTGTTGCGGCCATGGTACTTGGCCTGGTCGGCGGGCTTCTTGAACTTGAGGTAGTGCTCGACTGGCCGGCCGGGCAGCCTGGCCTTTTCCGTCTTACGGGGCGAGATGGTCGAAACAGCTAGCCAGTAGGCACCCAGCAGAGGCAGGGTGGTGAAGAGGCCCAGGAAGACGGCCGTCTTCAGACCGCCGCCGAGCTTCCATGACAGGTACAGGGGCACACCGCCGAGGATGGAGAAGAGCAGGGTGTTGGAGAACGTGTCGCTGCCAGCGCCGTCGGCGGGCAGAGGGGCATTCTTGATGCTCGGGTACTGCAGGAAGCTGTCAGCCGCAGTCAATTGAGGTGGCTGTTTGCCCAATACAGGGCCAGGTGGCCGGCGGCCGATGCTATCATCTCACCGAAGTTGTGCGCACTCCGCAGTCCTCAAACTTCTCAAAAGTCGGAGTCGGGGCCTTGGGAGTTTCAATAAACTCAAACTCGGACTCGCTGCCATTGGTGCTCTGCGGCTTCGACATCTTGACGGCACTCTGCTACAGTCCCCAAGTGCGGACTGTTGAGCAGGAGAAAGGGGGGGGGAGGAATGTCGGTGGAGGAGAGGAAAGGAGGACCTGGATCTTCCAGGATGGTTGGTTGTGGGAGCTTTGTCCACCCACCACACTTTTTCATATCGAGCAGGGAAAGGGGAGCTCGGTTCGGCGGTGGACGTGCTGTCTCTTGCTGTGGCTGGCGGCTGCTCGAGCCCAGAAGCTTGGCGCCCCGCCAGCAGCTTGCTGAGGCAGGGTTGTCGGGGTGCACCACTTTTTTCGTTGATAATGATATTTGCCCCTTTTCACGGTCTTGCGGATTGTTTTGCCCACGATGTGTTTATTGCAGATATAGTATGCCAACCGACTGTTCAAGTGAGACGCAAGTCTTTTTTGAGCATCTCTGCCCTACTGGGCTGGCCGTTGACGAAGCTTTCCATAATTGGAGAAGACGCCAATAATGTCGGGTATCGCCTTCGTGTCAATCACTTCAAAAATCCGGGATGAACTCCAAACCCCTTTTCCCTAGCAACCCGCCAAGTAGAGTCTCCCTTCCCATGGCCTCAACCTCCTGATCCTTCCCTCAATGCTCTTCTCTTTCTCCGCCGCATCACCATAATTCCCAACTTGGAACACCGGCCCCTCATAAACCGGCAACTCAACCTCCTGCTCTTCCCCGCTAAAGTTCAAGACCACAGCCGCCCTCTTCTCGCCGGATTCCCTCTTCCCAAATACAAACGTCTTTTCGTCCTCTATCTCAAACCCCTCATACGCCCCATGCACCAGCAGCTCGGCATGCTCCTTCCTGAGCCTTATCATCCTCTTCCAAAACCCTAGCACCGAACCCTTGCCCTCCCGGACCTGCCGCTCAACATTGATCTCGCCATACAAATCATGCACTCTCGTCCACGGCCCGGTCTCACAATCCGTGAAGCCGGCATGTTTACCCCCGGTCCACTGCATCGGCAGCCGGGCATTGTCGCGGCCCAAGATCTGCAGGCTGCGCATGACATATTCTAACTCGGCGGGGTCTTTCTGGGTTTGCGCGGCCATGGTCTTGTAAAAGTTTACTGATTCGATGTCGCGGTAGAAGTCGATGGGCCAGGTGGGAGGGATGTTGATCATGCCGATCTCTTGGCCCTGGTAGTGGAAGAGCGTGCCCGTTAGGGAGCCGAGCATCAGCGAGAGGAGTTTGGCAGAGGTGGTGCGGTAAGCGGGAGAGTCGGAGGCGAAGCGGGATACAGAGCGGCCTTGGTCTGTAAGGGGGGCCAGGAGGAGGAGGAGTTAGAAAGGGTTGGAGACAAGGAAGGGGATGGTGACTACGCACCGTGATTCTCGCAAAACACCGTCGTCCACCCGTCGGTGCCCTCGATGAACTGCTGCTACTTGGCCACGATGCCCTTGAGCAGCGGCAGCTTCCACTCCTCAAAGTGGTACTTGTGCTCGCGCCCCTGGCCGATGTTGACAATGTCGACTGGAACACCATGCTCAGCTGCTTGTCGCTCGCCCCGACGTATTCGAGCACTTTCTTTGGGTCCGGTGTGTGCGGCAGCTCGCCGACTGTCACCGCGTCGTAGTGGTTGAGCACTTCAGCGTTCATCTCCCGGAGGATCTCGTGGATCCGGGAGCCGTTGGCGTAATAGCACCATGCCGGCTGTTCGTAGAATCTGGGGTCGACGATGGGGGCGTCCTTGAATTCGACCCCTTTGGAGTAGCTTGAACAGGGTAAACCAAGTTAGCGGACCGAGGGACTTGACAAGCACCCAGCGGTTGATTTGTGTAGAAGCGGCAGACATGTTGACAACGTCCACCCGGAACCCGTCGACCCCCTTGTCCAGCCAGAAACGCATGGCGCTGTGGTAGATGGCCTTCCGCGTCTCCTCATTCTCCCAGTTGAGGTCCGGCTGCTCTTTGGCAAACAGGTGGAGGTAGTACTCCCCGCTCTGCTCGTCGTACTCCCAAGCCTGTCCGGAGAAGTAGCTCCTCCAGTTGGTTGGCGGCAGTCGAGTCCCGTCCTCAGCGTACCTGAGAGGCTTCCAGATATACCTGCACCCGTCGGATAGCCGTCGGCCGCCTCCGGCATATGCACTTGGCAGGGTCCCCGGTCACCAATCGCGCCTGGGGTTGTCCTTGGAGGACCTCGACTCCTTGAACCAGGCGTGCTGGTCTGACGTGTGATTGACAACGAGGTCGAGGATCAGCTTTATACCCCTTTGTAATTGTTAGCTGTCATAGGACTTAAAGCATTGTTCCTATGAGCTACTGGTTTGCCTACCTCTGATGGCGGGCGTAAATGAGATCCTCCATGTCGTTGACTAAACCATAAGGGGTATACACCCTCTCGTAATCTGAGATGTCGTATCCCATATCGACCTTGAACCCATCTCAGCCACTTACTTCCCTGGCACCTCCCGGTGTTGCTCAGCCCTGAAGGGCAGTTGCCGGCTCACCTGTGGGCTGTCAAACCTAGGCAGCGACAAATACGATTAATGTCTGACACCGGACCAGCCTGACTGGTAATCAGGCTTACATTGGTGAGATCCAGACGACATCAATGCCGAGGTCCTTCAAGTAGTCGATCCTGCTCAGAATGCCTGGTATGTCCCCAAGCCCGTCTCCGTTGGAATCTTTGAAGGACGCGGGGTAGATCTGGTAGCAGACCACATCCTTCCACCATGGCCTTGCTACTGCGCTTGACATGGTTGGATCTTCGAAGGTGTATAGAACAAAAAAGAAGAGTGAAAGGGTGTAGGGAAATGGGAGATGACTACGGGCGAGGCCAGGGTTGCTAATGCCGCCCGTCGTTAGTAACCAAGGCAGACTGCACGCAAAGCGGGCAGAAGATAGGACGTGTTTGTATTGCAGGAGCAGTCCACCAACTAGGCCGAATTCCGATAAAGCTTGCACAAGGAGCCAATGAAGTCAAGAGCCGGAACTTCGGGCAGAGCGCGTACTTTTGAAGCTCCCTGGCTTGTCGCCTGCATCGAGCGCGACTTGTAATCTGTACGCTCTCAATATCCAGGCAAAGCGATCTGTTTGCATAACACACCCTGTGTGCATGAACCTACCCTGGCTCCCACGCATTGGAAGCTTGGTAGATAGTTACAATAAGGGAGACGCAGCATGACGGCCTTAGCCACACAGCAAGGGGCACCACCGTATTGGAGTCATATCACTTACCTTCCTGCCGAGTCTGAAGAACCAACACCGCCCAAGGATGAGCTGATCTGGCTGAGACGTTTGTCTTTGAACCCTTCCTTCTCAACCGGAGTGAAGCGTCTGTCTTGCTCGAATCTTCGGCCTTGCGCAGGGCTAAACCCCTCAGGGTCTCCGGGCAAACGTGCAAGATGGCCAGGCTGGCTGCTCGAGTTGACCGAGAATGGCTGGGTCGTTGGTTTGAATGCCCGTCGACCGCGAGTCCATCGCCATTTGGCGACCCCTTTCCACTTGACGTCATTAGTGTCGGTCGATAATCAAGGTAGCGTCACGAAGGCCACGATGAACACGCCTGATCGCCGGAGCAACATACAGCTTCCTAGGTTCCCGGCGGAGCTTTTTAACTCCCGAGGACAGTATCCGGCACTCCGTGTCGAATACAACAGGTAGGACATTGTTGTTTCTATCTGTCTCGGCTGCGCTCGTGCTCTCGTCGTTCACTCTCCCTTTCCCTTTCCCGCTCCCGCTTGTAGCTGTCAGCGTAGCGGTCGTCCGTCCGTTGGCGCTTCTTGCTTTCCTCCCTCTGGTAGTCGTGAAGCCGCACCGGCCGGGAATCTTTCGCGGCCTTTTGGTTCCATGCGCCAAGGTCCTCGGCCTCTTTGGCGTCCTTCGCGCCGAGTCCTGTGAGGTTCGCGTGCCTCGTCACTTCCCTGAGCTTGCCCCTCATCTTACCGTCCCAGCCGAACTTGCGGAGAAGCGTGGCGCCAAAGTCGTCAATCGGGACGGACTGATAGTCCTCGGGGCGCGGTTCCCGGTCGGCGTCGTCGGAATCTGGGTGTATGCGTTTTGGGGTGCTTGATCCCATGAGGGCGTCCAGCGCTTCGTCGTCGAGGTCCTTCGCGGCCATTGACCCCTTACTTGGCGCATCTCGAGACCAAGACTCGTCCGTCCGCGACTTCGAACCCTCTCTCTCTCCGTGCTTGTTGCTTCTCGGCCCTTTCATGTTGATGGTCAACCCCCACTTGACTGGCTTGTCCTGTTGGTCGGGTTGTGTGGCAATCTCGCTATCGTCTCTATTTGCCTCGCCGTAATTCTTATCAGAGGGCGAAGTGCTTTGCTGCTCTCTTGCATTGTCGCCATCGCGTTTTTGTGTACCCTCTCGTTTCTGTGCCTTGTCTGCATTTGAACTTGTACCTAGAAGATCGTAGGAAGTAATGGTCTCTTGCCGACCGTGGGTCTGCTGGTCTTCATCGCTGTTGTCTTCCGAGTCAGAACCCTCGTGTAGCGCTTGCGCTCGATGTCGTTTCCCATGCACCGGCCGGGCGCGTTTCTTGATTGCGTGTGGCGAAGACGTAGATGATTTTCCAAGATGGATAGCTATCCGGGAGGATTTGCTCTCGTGTTCCGACATGTTGCTCACTGGCGGTTTGTGAAGTAGGGTAATTTGGGTGAAAGCGTAAATCTCGAGGGTCGAGCTCAGGTGTAATTGATCTGCCTGGAGGGAATCGCAAGGTCTGGTTGCTGCATCCAGGTCTGGTCACGATGAAACCTAAATGTGGGAACGGCGCGTAATGGTGGGGTTTCCGACGCACGGCTCCCGGTACCCAGATGAAGTACCAAGACGATGTTTCGCAGTGGCCTCAGGCAACAAACTTTAAACCGTGCTATGATATTATCCGCATGGACCCTGACTGACATCGACCGGTCTCCCCACCGGCCGCACTGAATCACCTCAGTGATTCCCAAACTCAACCGCAGCCAAAGCTATCTCTCCTCTCCTTCTGCTTCGTCCCATCCCAAAGCGCGACTCGTCCGAACAGCCAGCGCGATTCCTCATACGACAGCAGTGAATATACACTTGCCAGCATGAAGATCCGCGGACTGCGTGATCCCCTTCCTGGGCCTGACGAGACGCCGGACAAGGGCTGACGGACACTGAGCCCCAGGTTCTCTCCGGTCACCGCTGGACGCTGGTCTTGTCGGACGAAGTCAATCGAAAGACGTCCGTATGGACCCGACACTTCGCTTCCCTGAGGTCTGGATCGAGCCCCTCACTTCCTTCCCAACCCGACCTCTCATCAGTCGCCTTTGCGCTCTCTTCTCTACCAGGCGCGGGTATTTCTCGGCAAGCGCGAAAGCGGTGAAGTGGTGGAATGGAAGGCTCTGAGTGGGGCAAACGTCCATTCCCGTCATTGACCATTCCCAACCCGATCCGCCGCCATTCCATCCTTGGCATCCATGGATCCCAATCCCTGTCGTAGTGACGGGAACAGTGGCTCGGGTGCATTGAATGTGCTGAGGCATTCCTTCTGTTCAGTGGCGTTTTAGGCCTATCCCCCTCTAACCCAGCCCCAAATCGTCGTCAGCACCACCCCCAGCGAGCCCTTTCTTGCTCTCTTCAGACGCTGAGGAGATCCTGGCTTTACCTGAACAATTTCCACCCCGACAGCGTCGCCCGCATCGCTTATACGCCCCATCTTCACCCCCTCAACACGGCACAACAGAGATTTACGGTCGGCTTGACTCAACACAATCAATCAAGTCGGTGTTGAAAAGTCGCAACGCCGGCGCTTTCCATCCTCTACCACATCAAAGCTTCATTCCTATTGCTTTGCTCAAGTCGTCGTCGCCATCCGTTTGATTAAAAACGGATGTCGCGGTCGCCGATGACATGACTGAGCTCTCGCTCGCCGACCCGCTGAAGCTGCTGCTATCAAAGCGGACGGAATTAAGGTGAGAATTGCGTCAATCGATAGAGCTCAAATTTCTAGTCATTTTGATGTGCATCAGCTTGGATTAACTCGTTGCAGCTCAATTGTAGCCTCGCGGAAACGCAAGCTGCGCGAACTCTTTGCCGTTGCGACCGACCATGATGGCATCCCCGACCACGACTTCAGCGATCCCGACGCGCCTCCGACCACGCCTGCCGAGCAAAAATTCCTAAGCGAAGCCGACATTCTCCAGTATGTCCAGTTGCCCAAATGCATTCACCACATATTCCTGCCGAATGATCCGGTCGCGTCATTCATGCCTTTATCTAATTCAGCTGGTTTGCAGGGGTCGACGACTGAACGAGCTCACCATACCGGCGCGCCGGAAGACCTTGTTCGACGCACAACAGCTGCAGGTTGTATCCAAGCCGACGACAGGCGAGAATGCTAGCTTCCCTGCCTTTCATAAACCGGTGGAGAATGGACTTCCCACGGTCGAGGGACTGACTCCCCAACCCCGGACTGCCACCGGGTCAGCGTCGCCGCGGGTTATCGCAAAGCCCTTGCCAGCCGGCCAGGGAGTTCGATCGCTGAGTCCTATCACTAAGGCACAGAATGCGGCGCTGGGCGCACTCTCCGCGGAGGATGTACCTGTTCATCCATCGGATCGCGGCCAGGTCAACGGGGTCCCCCGTAGCCAGGAGCCGCCTGCACATGTCAGGACAACCGTGCCGCCGATGCAACCCCTTATCATCACCCAGCAGGTGCCTCGTATTGATGTCCCAGTTTTTCGTGCGGACTCCGCCTCTCTGCCTGTGCAGCGCGACGAGATGCGGCAGTCGAAGGTTCCCGAACCAACAGTCTTCGCACAACAACCGTCTGCCGTGGACTCTTCTCGCTACATGGATGCATTATCATCTCCAGATTCCACTGCTCACTCGGCACCCACCCCCGCCGTGCACGACGCTTCGGCAGACACTAGTCCGGACAACGAAGGACCGCAGGATCTAGAGAAGAACGAGGAGACAGGCAACATCATATCAGAAGGAGGCGGCAAGTCAGATGGGCCAAGTGTTGATGGCGTCACCCAAGCCGTTTCCGCAATGGTGCATCCAGCGTCGGATGCATCGCTACCGACACCGATCAGTGGGGTAGAAGCACAACTGCTCCAGGAATCAGCAGCGGCCCAGTTCTCCCGACCCCTTGCCCCTGAGGCGTCTGCAATTGCTGGAACATCCAATAGCCTACCTGAGAAAGCCGAGCCGTCTACAACCGCCCCAGGCCAGACGACTGTTCCCAGAGACAGCACCTTTGAGGAACAACAGCATACATCGGCAGCTGCAGCAGGATACAGACAACTAAATGGCCAGCCGCCGCCAACCTTTCTGTCCGGATTATCCACGGCTCCGGGCGACACCCGGGATAAGGGTCAGGATGCCATAATTCCAATGGACATCGATAAGCCAAGTGTCGCCACCACTCAAGATGAAAGTTTAAGCGGTGCTGGTCCGGTACAAAAGTGTCGAGGTGCGACTACGGGCCCGGTTGCTAGGACCGTTCCAGATACGACTCCGGCCACCGACGCATCTGCCAAGCCCTCAGCAAGCCCTGTCGGCGAGCCGTCAAAGCGGATATCGGGAGTTGCAAACGGACCTCGTGGGAATCAGGATGAGGCTACAGTTCCTCGAGCTCCTTCTTTCAAGACCAAGGTACTCGCTCCTAAGAATCGCGACAGACGACGAAGGAGCGTCCCAACCGTGATTTTCGGAAAACAGCCCAAGAGCTCAAAGGTTACGGACGATGGCACGGTTGTTGTCAACCAGCAACAGCTAGGACAGATCCCCTCCGACGACTACTTCACCCCCTTATTCATTGAGGGTTTCACCAGGCAATCGACATGGATGAAGCCGATCGAGAAACTCATCAACCAGGCACATAAGACATTATCCACATCTGACCAGTACATCTCGATCCTGGACCACCAAGCCTGCAAGATCTTGCGTAGAGTTTATCACCTCCAGCAACACGACAAGTGGTCTTTGAGGCAGCCGATACGATGTCCCGAGCCCACAAGACCAGCATCGCACATGGATGTTCTTCTTCAAGAAATGAAATGGATGCGAACCGACTTCCGCGAAGAGCGCAAGTGGAAGCGAGCAGTTGCACGAAATCTCGCTCACGCATGCGCGGAATGGGTTCACTCGAGCCCGGCCGACCGATTCGCGCTGCAGGTGAATGCAGTAATCCCACCGCGGCCGGTAGCCGGTGAGGTTGACCGGACGAACACCGGCCGTTCAGAGGCAGCCGGCGAAGGTCTGCCCGATCTCGTCCACACCGACTCGCCGGCGGAGTACGATGAAGAGGCGCCAGAAATCCCTGTCGATTTTGTTGCACCAGCGGCTATATTTGCTCTTCCAGACGATGAGGTTGTTTTTGAACTCCAACCCTCCAAAACTGCCGACCTTCTCTTGGAGAATCTTCCTATGCATAGCTCGCCTTTGAAGGTGCCAAAGTTTGACGTTTCGGGCACCGAGTACGACCCGGATGCCCGCTGGAAACGGCCGGCGGTGCCACTGAGCAAGTATGTCGAAGGGGAAATGGCTATGGCGAGCAATGGGCCGCCCCGCAAGCGTCGGCGGTACGACTATCTCGCAGAAGACGACGACGACGAGGCGATTTTCGGGACCGAGCTGGACACTGGTGCAGAACTCCAGGCCGAAAACAGCAAGGTTGCCTTGTTCAGTCCGGAGATGAAGGGGATCCGGGATCGCCTGCACGCTGGCCATCAGTTCCGGCCACCTACAGAGCATCCCATGCCCCCCCAGAGCTTCTTCGAAAGCCGCACAGCATCCCAGTGGACGTGGGCCGAGGACGAGCAGCTCAAAACTCTTGTCCGCGAGTGCTCGTACAATTGGTCGCTGATATCAACCATGGCAACCACTTCGTCGAAATTCGCCTCAGGCGCCGAGCGGCGTACGCCCTGGGAGTGCTTTGAGCGATGGGTGAGCCTCGGGAGCCTAGAGGGCCTGCCAAACGATATGGCTAGGACGCCTTACTTCAAGGCCTACCAAGCCAGAATTGATGCAGCTCAGCGGGTCATTGCACAGCAAAACCAAAACGCACAGCAGCAAGTTGGACCCAATGGTGCGGTTACGCCGGTACCCAGGCGAAGACCGACCACGAGCATTCGCGTCGAACGGCGTCGCAACCAGAAGCATCTCGCGCTGATTGACGCCATGCGGAAGTTGGCCAAGAAGCGAGAGGCGACGGCCCAAAAGGCCCAGCAGGCAGCCAACCTGGCAGCCATGCGTAAAGCCAACGAAGTGCCACGGCAACAGATCCAGAACAAGACGCCGAGGGACTACAGCATCATGAGATGGGAGCGAGACCAGGCTCTCGCAGAGCGGATGGCTGCATACGCCATTCGACAAGCGGACGCAAATGCTAGGAGATTGGTAAGTACCGTTGCATCAAAGGTTGAGTGTGTAGCTAACGCATATGACATCAGCAAAAGCAGAATCATCCCAGCCAAGTGCCCGGCACGCCAGGCGCCGCAGCTGCTCCCCAGGCGGCGGCGCAGCTCGCTGCAGCAAACTCGCTTAACAACGCCGCTCGTCTCAATGTTTCCGGGCAGCTTGCCCTGGCTGGGCAGGGCCGCACCCCAGGACGGATCTCGATACCGGCCACGCCAGGGGCGGCTCCTGCTGCTGTACAGACACGGATTGCCGCCGGTGGCCTCGTGCCCCCCCTTCAGATGGCGGGTATACCGCAGGCTCAACTTCAGGCGATGCAGGCTGCACAACATAGGCTACCCATGGTAAATCCGCAGCCGGATATTAATCTCATGCTGCAGGCGCGGTCGATCCAGAACCAGCAGCGGGCGGCCATCCAGCAACTTCAACAACAGCAGACCCAGCAGGCACAGCAACCGCAGCAGCAACCGCAGCAGCAGCCGCAGCAACTCTCACAGCAGCAGCAGCAGCAGCAGCAACAACAGCAACAACAAGCTGCTCAACAACACGTGCCACAACAGATGGCGCAGCAGCAACAACCGCAGAACAACCAGCAAGCACAGCAACTGCCCCAAGCAAACGGGGCGCAAGGCTCGCCGACGCCGTTGCGCAATGTAGTGAATGGAATTAACCAGGGGGCGTTCCTGACGAATGCGCAAGCCATGATGGCATCGTTCAATGCGGCCAACGGCGCTGGTTTAGTTGGCTCACCCGGCGCTGGCTTGACGATGCCCGCCGCCATACCGGGTCGATCCCCCGGGAGCATCCTGAGTCACCAGATTACGCAGCGACTTGCCGAACTTGAAGCACATTACCGGGCGAAAAATCCCAACCTTCCCCCCGAGACAGTCCGGCAGCTAGCCACTGAGCATTTGGGTCGCATCATCGTTCAGACCCAGCAGCAGGCAGCAATGAACGCGGCAGCAGGCGCCGCCGTCGCGCAGCAGCCGATGAATAGTCCGCATCAGTATGCCTCGCTCCTCCGAGCTCAGCAACAAGCCCAGGCGCAGCAGGCCGCCCAACAAGCCGCACAACAGGTCGCCCAGCAACAGCACGCAGGGCAGCACCAAAGACAGCCAAGTGGGAGCGCCACACCAGCACCTGGCAAGTAACTAGTGCCAGGTTTCATGATGAAGTTGGCAGATAAATGTCGTATCACTGTCGAATAAGTTCAGCCGGGGCTTGCATTGGGCAGCGAAGACTACTTGATGGCCTGCCTCGCCTGCTCTTCGGGCTAGATGGTGTCTTCTCAGAGGGTTTTATGATGATGCGTTCATGTAGATATCACATGATTGGTCAAGCGAATGATCAGAGTACATACGTATTATTGTAATTAAAGTCGGCCAAATGGCTGTGATAAGTCTTCCTACCTACTGGAAGCTCTTTAAAGTTTCCTTTGCCGTTTGCGCTTGGAGGTGGAATTCGATAAGATAAGCTCGTCTCCACTTTATATTTCAAAACTTGAGCGCCCGCAAGTCCTTTCGCTTCGACGACGGGCAGAAGAAACCAGGGATAGCCTCACGCACCGGAAACCACGCACCATGGCGAAAAGGAAACGAGAATCCGCGCCGGAAGGGGACCGCTTGGAGGCTAAAAACTCGACGAAGAAGGCGAAAGCGGCGACGAAGGCTCCGCAGTCTACAGTAATTAAGCTGAGCGACAATGGCTCTGTGACAATCCAAATCGTCGCCGGGTCCTACGACCGAGTGCTCCACGGCATCACAGCGACAGTCAAGCCGGCACCGGCCGCTGCTGCCCCTGCGAAGAAGAAGGGCAAAGACAGCGACGCGCCAGCGCAGCCACAGCCGAAGACCGAGTTCGCCGACACGTTCCTCTTCAACGCGCACAACTCGGCCATCCGCTGCCTCGCCCTCTCCCCGCCGTCGGCCCCGGCGCCAGGGCAATCCCAAAAGGTTTTGCTCGCGACGGGCAGCACAGACGAGCGCATCAACATCTACAACCTCTCGGCGCACCCGCCGTCCCACCGCGCCGAGGAGGACAAGGAATGGAAACTGCTCTCGTCGCTCGCGCCCCGCCCGATCCTCGAAAACCCGAAAAACCGCGAGCTGGGTACCCTGCTGCATCACTCGTCCAACATCACGAGGCTTGCCTTCCCCAACCGCTCCAAGCTGCTCAGCGCCGCCGAGGACTCTACGATAGCAGTCACGCGCTGCCGCGACTGGACGCTGCTGCACACCTTCAAATGCCCCATCCCGAAGGTGCACGGCCGGCCCAGCGGGGATACGGCCGGGGTGGGCGGGGTGCCGCACGGGGTGAATGACTTTGCGGTGCACCCAAGCAATAAGATCATGATTAGTGTCAGCAAAGGGGAGCGGTGCATGCGGCTGTGGAACTTGGAGACGGGCAAGAAGAGCAGGGTGTTGAATTTTGAGCGCGGGCTGCTGGCGGAGCTGGGAGAGGGGAAGCACTCGACGGGCGAGGCGAGGAGGATTGTCTGGGGTAGTGCGAGGGGCGGGGAAGATGAGTTCGCGGTGGGGTTCGATCGGGACGTGTTGGTGTTTGGCATCGACTGCGTGCCGCGGTGTCGGGTCATGCAAGATGCGAGGATGAAGGTGCATGAGTTCTGCTATGTTGAGTTGGGTGGAGAGAGGGACGAGACGGTGCTTGCAGTGTCCACGGAGGATGGGCGGGTTGTGTTCTTCTCAACGGCCGAGGAGGATTTGGAGGCGCCGCCCAAGGACAAAACGCTGCGGGTGGCGAGGTTGGTTGGCACGCTGGGGGGAAAGGAGGCGGGCGTGGAGGGCAGGATCAAAGACTTTACGGTCCTGCCGGTGGAGGACAGGGAGCGGAAGAGGTCATTCTTCATCGTCACCGGGAGCAGCGACGGCCGCATCCGGCTGTGGCAGGTGGGCGCTGAAGACCTGAGCAGCAGCAGCACGGGCGAGTCGCCCAAGCAGGTCGGCCAGCTCCTGGGGCTGTATGAGACGCAGAACAGAATCACTTGCGTGGCGGCCTTCGTCATGATACCCCGGCCGCAGGGGGCGGAGGAGAGCGAGTACGAGTTTGAGACGGAGGAGTCAGAGGAGAGCGGCGACGAGTAGGGATAGGCTACATCTGTTTCCGGGGCTAAGGAGGGAAGCAATGTTAAAGGAGTCCTCGGAGTATGTATCCTGCCGGCTGTCATAGTTACCGAACTGAATCAGGGGTACTTACCATGCACGTCTATACCGAGCAACGAAGTCCCGCAAAGCAGATCACATCACCCTGTGTCTCCATGGACAGGCCCATTCGTTCTATCGTTACCATAACAACGAATCCCGACCCACAGTCGGCAGGCATTGCATCACTCAGGGCAGCGAACCAAGAGCGCAGGTAAACCTGAGTGGGCTGATTGATGCACACATAGATAGCAATGGCCTGCTTGCTTGCAGAATGGTGGACAGGTTGTGCATACGCTCAACTCGACCTGAAAAACGGTCGGTTGTCTTATCGGCAGGCCACAGTCAGGCGACTGGCCACTGACGCGATGAGAGGCACAACCGGTGCAGGTGCAGTACAACTGACAGGTGAGAAGACCCGAAAGCGCAGTTGCCTGTTCTCTAGCTGATCACATGCGAAGCGGCCAGACCAAGGTTTGCCGCGTGCCCCACAATCAGGGTCTGACACCCTTGCTCGGCTGAGCTTTCCCCAGTTTGTCGATCCCTTTGCCCCGGCGGAACTATCCCTAGCAACCTGAGGCGGAAATACCTTCCTGTAGCCACACATTTCGTTTTTGAGACAGAGAGGGACGCGTTCCGGCCCGTGGACAACATGGCTTCTCCGGGACATCAAATGCACCTGGTCGATATGCGGATAGCGATAGACAAAGCGGATGTCGAATAAGTCGAGGTCCAGTTCAACGTTCTACACCACTAGAGACCACTAGGTTGGACAATTGTGTCAATGCCCGTAAAATATTTCACGACTGCTGTTTCAACGTTACACAGCCTACCCTGATCAGCGGACTGCTGCTGTTGTCGCTGTCCTTGTGGGAAATCCCACCATCCAATCCCTGCTGCCGTGTTTCTTATCACGAAGGATTGAGCGCCTCGAGACTCGACACGGACACCATCTTGTCATCTGACGTTCCTAACGCCCTGAATGTCTCGTCGTCCTGTCAGACTTCAGGTCGTGTCACGAATCCAGTTGATCTTGAAAAAAAAAGCCGGAATAGCCCAGCACCTCTCCTAGCATTGATCACTGCTCTGGTCCTCCTCTTCCATCAAGGACAGAGATCAGGCTGTTTCTCATTCCTCCCTCGCTCGTTGGTCGTGCAAGAGATCATTCGCGAACTGTGGTATTCGCCGACCCAGCTTCCCGTTTCCCGTTTCAACCCGTCGACCTTGGAGCTCGACACGCCTTTTGTTGGACTTTGGCACCTGTCGCGTGTCTAGGAAGCTCTTTAACTGCTTAAAGATTACACTTGCTCACTCCGACGCACGTCTTGAAGGACTCTCTTGATACATATCTGCCAACATCAAACGGCATCGTGCCTCGGCTACCCTTGATCTCGGGCAACGTGACCACCTCAGGCATGGACGACAAACCAGGAGAAGGAGAGGCGCCGGATTCATCAGGACCCAAGATCATCCGCCCCATCCCGCGCCGGCCCTTCAAGCTTGCCTTCGCCAGCCCAACTCCTCCAGAAGACGACGAGGATCGTCCCTCTCCGGGGCCACAAATCAGCGCCAGCGACCTGCGCTTCCTCGCACCTCACCAGCACACCACCAGCACCCCGGGCAGCTGCATCAGAGACGGCAGCACCCCGCTCAGCCACACCACCTCGTACCTCAACCTCACTTCTCCAACCCTATTCGGAATCTACTCGCCCTCCACAATAGCTTCTTTCACTAGAGATGAAGGCGACGACGACCAGGACCTGGAACAGTCTTATTTCCCGGACGACCGGGACCTCGACCGGAGCGACCACGACACCATCGCAATAGGCACCATCGCCGACAACGTCCCTTCGCCACATCATCCAGGCCTAGACGACGAAAACTACGAGCTCATACGCGAGCGCTCCTCTTCCCTGCACCACTATCCTTCCACCACCACGCTGCCGACGACACGCCCACGCCCACCACGGAAGCAGCGACAGCAAGTAAAGGGGGAAGTAGCCCTGCAACTCGCCCTGCGCGCGGCCCTGCTCTTCGTCCTGGGCGTCGGCTACGGCGTGCTGGTCACCCGCCTGCCGCAGCACAGCACCCTCGGCAGCGGCAGCGGCAGCGGCAGCCAGCACCTCCGCCTCACTGTCGCGTACGAGTCCCACTACCAGTGGGGCTACCTTGTGTTCTGGGGCGCCGCGGGCGTCGCGTTGGGGAGTCTGTTGCCGTGGTTTGATCGGTTCTGGGAGGAGAGTGTGGTGTCTTCTTCGCCTGCTTCTTCCTCTTCTATTTCTGTCGCATTCCGGACCAACGGCGGCGGCTTGGAGCAGCAGCGAAGTGGTCAGAGGAAAGTGGTGGGTGGTGGTGAGGAACTCGACAGCAGCAGGAAGCGAAAGACGGCGGGCCGGGTCGTCAAGATGGTACAGGTAGTAGGAGGCGGCGGCGAGGGAGACGGAGACTCTGACGGAAACGGGGCTGTTGAAGCCCCGGTGATCGAGAAGTCCTCTAACTCGGCCGCGCCGCAGGCCGACTGGGCGCTGGTTGTGCGCGGCATCGGTGCCTTCGTCGGCATAGTCTTTGCCATCCGCCGGCTGCCCTGGGCCTCGACCATGCAGGTGTCGCTGACACTGGCCCTGGCGAACCCCTTCCTCTGGTACCTCATCGACCGCTCCAAGCCCGGGTTCCTGCTGTCTGCCGCCGTGGGGCTGGCGGGGACGCTCGTTGTCGTGCTGACGGGGCTAGGGGTGCACCCGGATGTCAAGCTGATGCCTTCCCCCGCCTCTTCGGGGACGGGGCCGGCTGCCTCGCTCTCCGAAGTCCCTTCTTTTTTTCTCCTTGCCAATATCACGGGAACCGCCGGGTATCCTGCCCGTGACGGTGGGACACTTGGTGGGTTGGCCAGCCAGGAGACGATCGAGACCGTCATCTGGATGCTGAGCGTGCTGTTCTGTAGTTGCGTGTGCTTTGGGAATATTGGCCGGCGGCTGGCGCTGAACTCTTCTGCTGCGGGTAGGGGACGGTGGGGAGGGGTGAGGTGATGGGGACTATGGCGGAGCGTTGGGGCTAGGTTTAGAATATGGACGGAAGGTTATTGAAAGCAGGGTCTTTCTGATTTTTTTTTTCGAAATGCTGCGTCGTCTCGAAGTGGGTAGCGATGACTACTACCGGTAGTGAACGAGGTTCGGGTGAGCCTAGAACCAGAAGAAGCCGGTCGTTCTAATGTGAGGCAGCAAGTCCTTGAGAAAGTTGAGTAACTGGGCCAGTGAGAAAGCCATCGTGTGTGTGTTGGCTGTGGGTTCAGACGGCTTGTGACAGCTGTGGGGAGCGCTTGATGATGTTTGTCTTGGGCTCGAGTATTGATGGCACGACCGAGAAAGCCTGGTCTTCGGGTGCCGCCAGACCAAGGACTACTTTTTATGGGTTCCCTCGACTTACCTCGAGGCCCCGCTAACTACCAGAGAGGGATAGCAATCAATGAGCTTGGTGTTTGCTGAAGCTCTTCCTTTGTCCATGATTGGTATTGTGCTCGACAGCGACAATATACCGAAGGGCAAACATGGCTTGGCCACCACCCTAACGATCCATGAAACAAGACGCATGTGGTTTGAATAAGCTGGTAAGGCAGCTTTTCTCAGCGGATGCAACTATCACAGTAGAGAGGTGACTTTCTCAGCTAACTTGGAAAAGCCAGAATAGCCATGTAGGGGGTTGCTTTGTTAAAATCTGGATCAAACGCCGGCCTTGGGTGCATCTGCTACCCTTCCGTCAGAGGAGACGCCATGATCGCCATCTCCTCCATGTCACGTCTATCTTAATATCTCAGAATAACAGGAAATCATCGAAACCAGGTTGCCCGCATATTGATCACATCAGACTGTGCAGGGAAGTTTTATGGACAAAGCGTCGTGTAGTGTGTTGCTTAAGCAACCCGCTGCGGCAGCTTCGACCCCTAAACGTCTTGCAAGTGGGGATCGGATTCAATGAATTTGGCTGGAAGCTTCTTATGCAGGCCCCATTCCACGACTTGAACTCTCATCAATGTATGGTATACCCCAAGCTCACTCACAGAAGCAAACAAACACACACCAATAATACACCAATTCACTCGCTCGCCAGCCCGTCAAGATGCCCTCAGCCACAAATCCTAACCCGACTTCAACCTCATCCGTCCTTCCGCCGCTCACAGCCCGCCAGGCAGTGTCAACCAAGCTCACAGCCCTCACCGACGCCATCGCCGCCCACCCGCAGATGCAACCTCCGAACCGACACCCAACCCTTTTTCATATCTGGGACTTCGCCATGCGCACCAACTACATCCTCTCGGAGCTTGACAACATCGAGGCTGGCCGGGCAGTGCAGCATCCAGAGCAGATATCTGGTTTGGGTAGTAGCAACGGTAGGTTTCTTGTCTCTTTTGTTTTCTCTTAGCCGACCGTCAAGGAATCATGGCAGGTTTTCTTTGTATTCGGTATTGTGGTTTTAATCGCGTTGGAAAAGACAACATGAGATTTGAGACTTACACACGCACCAACATAAAAAAAAGGCACACCCAGTCCCGCCAGAGCCAAGGAACTGCTCACCGACGTCAGAAGCCGCTGTTTCATGATATAGATGATGATCAGCAATTCCAGCTCGGGAATGATGGCCGCCATGGGGCTGCAGGCCGTGGACTTCGGGGTTGACCTCAAGACCAAGGCGGACGACGTTTTTGAGTCGCTTGGCGGGTTGATGGACGCGTAAAACATGGCCAGACACACAGAAATGACAGATGATATCTGGCTTTGTGCAAAATGGGGTATCATCGCAACTCGTCGTATGTACACATTCGCCCATGTCTCCATCCAGGGCTCATAAAACAGGCCCGTCCACCATTGACACGTCCGCGGCCCCTGACGCTGCTGCTTGTCCAAAGATGGCCGCCTCGAGAGACTTCATTTCCTTGACAACCGACTCATAAAACTCCTCCGGCTTAGCCTCGACTGCCCCTTCCACTGCTTGAACCATGATGAACCTCGCATCGAAGCCGTTGTCCTTGACTTGCTGCGCGCCCTGTGGTCTTGGTTAGTTCTTACTATCTCAACGACCGACACCAATGATATTGCACTCACGTCAGAGTCCATCTCCATCACCGGCACCCTGTCATTGTCCAAGATGCCTTCCACCACCCTCCTGCTCGTCCCATGGATATTGTCACCTTCATCCGTGAACTCGAGGAACTGATCCCCATCCCGCATCATGTTGAATGCCTGGACATCTACAAAGTGGTGATCTTTCCCATTGACTTCTCCTTGGTGGGACTTCCGTGTTACATGCGTTGGCACCTTGGTGAAGACGCGGGAATGTTGAGAAATAAACTGTTTTACCAGCTCCGATTTCAAACCCGGACCAGTGCTAGTGGTGTCCACGATGACGATGGGTCTACGGTCCTCGGGAAACACCGCATCGCAGTTCACCGCGTCCTCCTTCTCGCCCTCAACTCCTTCCTGGAGCGGCATTTCTTCAAAGACAATGTCGATCTTGTCATCGTCTTCGATCTTGTCAAATAGGACAAGCTTGGATTTGCTGGCTATCCGCAGCGCCCGCCAGGTTTTGCTGGCCTTGCCTTCGATCGCCGAGGTTTTCGACTCGTCGTTGGTGGGCATGTCGATCTCGAGGTCGTCGAGGTCAATGCCTCTCTTGAGGTTGCTCAGCTCCGGGAGGCGGTACCGCTCCGGGTCCTTCAGCTTCTCCATGGCGCTGTTCTCGTCTTCATCATCAAGAAACTCGAGAGACATGGACCCTACGGGCGTTGGCCGCAGCCGTTTGGTCGTTGCCAGTTTGGTCGCTGCCGCTCTGGCTTCGACGAACAGGGCGGGCGAGATGGGCGGGAGCTCGATGGACGGGCAGTTTTCGATCTTCCACCGGACCCAGTTCTTGTCCCGTGCGAGGACCGTCTCGACCATGCGGTTGAAGTAGGGCCCTTCTACCCCCTGTCTCAGATAGTCGACAATGGCATCCTTCATGTCGGTCGCCCACTTGGTGTCCTCTTCGCTCAACTGCTGGTCCGAGTACGTCACGGACTTGTTGGGGTTCTTGACGCTGGCGAGCTTCTCCTTTGCTTTGGGCGAGAGCGAGAGGAGGAATTCCATGATGATGAGTGCCTGGACAAGGACGTTCCGTCGGAAGGCCAAATCGCTGATCTGCGCGTCGTCAGTGGGATATGCTTTGGCGGTAGCAGGGCCAGGGTCATACCTCGAGCTTGAACAGGTCACGGCTAGTAAGATACTTTGGGTTGAAACCGCTGGCGAGCTCGTCGTCGACGTCATCTCGCTTCCGTTTGAGACTGTGGTTCATCTCTTCGACTGGCTTATCTAGCCTTTCCTTGGCTTTTGAAGGCTGTTCTGGTTTGATGCTTCTAAAGGTCGCCATCGTTGCCTCGAGGCCAGCCTTGAATGAAGTGAAATGGCTCGGGTCGAAGAGCTTCTTGGGCTGGTTGAAGCTCTCTTGCAGCGACCAGAAGATGGGATACAAGGTGTCCGGGTCCAGGGGCTTGTCCTTTTGCGACTTCGTATCCGTGTCCACGTCCATCTTGTCCCCATCCACCGCCGGAGTGTCTTGGTTGAAGATGGTGACATTTTCGACATGGTATTCTCCCCTCAGATTGACCGAACTCTTATCTCCCAAGGGAAAGCTCTGAAACATGAATATAAAGACTCTGCCGCAGAACGCTGGGTCGAGGGCTCTAGATAGTCGCCGGAGGAGCTCATTGCAGGTGCGAAGGATGACGAGTTGCTTTTGTTTGAAGTGCTTGGCGGTGATGCGCTCACGGCGAGACTCGAGAAAGTCCCAAACCTTTCGGCAGCCTGCTATGGTCTGGCTATCGAGCAGCTCCTCGACAAGCCAAAACAGCAGGGCAGGGTCGCATAGCTCGCAGTCGGAGAGCAATGACAAAATGTCGAGGAGGTTCCATACTCGTACGAAGCCCGGGGACTCAATCGGTGTTGTTGCCTGGGCAGAAACAATCGGTGAGCCTCAAAGAAGGATGGCCCGGCGCAGACGACGGCCCACTCACGATCAGAGATTTGAATGTATCGCGAACGGCCGTTTCGATAACGGCAAAGCGTTGTAGCTTTCTGGCGTCGACGGACTCCTCAGCGGTAAAATCGCACCCCAGCGCATCGTTTAGTTGTCGTCGGAGATCATCGAAATGTGATTTATCAAGTGGCGGTTCAATCGAGGCGGTCCTTTTGACCGACTCGGCGCGTTCAAGCAGCTCGTCCAAGAACCTAGCAGCTGCTGCGACACCCGGGATGCCGTGGCTGTCAATGGTCGCCGACGGCATACTTGTGTTTGAAAACCTCCGAGAGGGATGCGCAGTGATTTTGTTTCTGTGCGTCGCGTCGAGTGTCGAGGCAGAACTGGCCCTTCAATCTACGATTGTGTAAAAGACTTGGGAGAAACGCCAAATCCAAGATCGACAGTCTGGATGCTCAAGCCAGGAACTTCCGATTGGAGTCTTGGGACAAGGGAGCAACCAAACAAGCGACAGGGCTGGCGAACTGAAATGATGAGACCGGACCCACTTGATCTCGGCTTGGCGATTTCGGACCAACCAAGCTCGCCAGGTTTGGTGGGGCTACGCCGTGGTGTGGAGCAAACTGCAAGGCTGAGATGCGACCTGGTACCAAGAGATGTCGAGGAAAGTTTGGAGCTCTCGCGCGCGTCCAACCTTGCCTGGACAATTAATTCGATCTTATGCGGGAGCGCGACACAACACGACAGACCCTCTAACCTCTGCTCGCCGCACGCGACAACAACGCCGATATGCCTCCCGCCAAACGAGTCAAGAGCAGTGCGGATTCCCGACCGAATGCTGGGCCATCGGGACGGCCGACAATCGACGATCTGGAGGGAGAGAGCGAGTTTGCCAGTCTTGCGCGCCAACACTGGCTCAAGACGCCCAAGCAGGCCGCCAAGGTCAAGGTCAAGAACGACGTGCTCAAGCGCGAAATATGGGATGCCCTGGAGAAGGACAACTTCCCATTGAAGTCGCTTCTGGTTCTCGAGGGACTGCAGACGCTCGAGAGGTGCGTGCTCTTCCAGTGTTTGACTGAGATGTCTTGGGAAATCGCCGCTGACTTTTGTACAGCTACCTGTGGCCAGGCTACTCAGAGGACTCATCAAATCATCATGTTCTCTTGATCATTTTGATAGTCAATGCTAAGCGGAGGGAGCGACTAGGGACATGGGGTGCGTCTCCCGTTCCAGGGGATCCTCTGCCGAGTGCTGACCGACCCCAGACATCTTTGCCGGCCGTCCCTCCGAATTTTCCGACCTGTTTCGCCGTGCGCTCTCCATGACACTCGATGTCTCCCTCTCCTGCACGATCCGGACGCACGTTCTCCTGTTCATCATCCATGCATTCCAGAGTCTAGATTGCGCCATCGTGCGCAAGGAGTGCGCTCCTTTGGTCTCTATCTCTATCTGGCACAACTTATCAACAGATGGGAAGCGGGATGCGATACTGGACTCGAACCCACATCTGAGGAAGGCTTGGAGGGCGGCGGCGAAGCGGTACGATTCGGGTGACGACGCCACCAAAGCACGCCTGCGCTTCGAGAGATCCTGGCTGTATACCTTGGTTCTGGACTTTTTTGGCCTTCTCTATTCTGACGCCCCCAAGCCAGAACACGTGCTCTACTGTGAGCGCTTCGTCGAGTTTCTCACGGATCTGCAGAGCCAGCTCCCGACCAGACGATATGTCAACACACTCCTCCAGGACCTACACGTACTCCCTGCCTTGACCCTATCGCCTCTCTTCAACGACGAGCCAAACGGTCTGCTTCGGGAGCTGTACGCTCTCTTCTCACACTACACCCACTTTACCGTCGACGACCACTCAGGCGCGCAGCTCAACAGAGACGAGGCATACGACCGACATTGTGCTGCGCTCGCCAAACTGCAGAGAACCGCCCTGAGACACTTCAAGGAGAAGCTGACAGTTCTGGCGATATCCAACTATGGCTCAATCGACAAGAGGAACGAGCTAGAAGGTCTTCTTCAATCGCTAACAGACGAAGAACTCTCCCAGCTGACCAGCCACCTGGGACTCCGGACAGAATACCCAGAATCTGCCAAGGTGCCTGTTGACCGCAGGTTCTTTATGGAGGTCCTCCTGTCGACTTTCGAGAGGCGAAAAACCTTCCAGGATGCTGCCCGCGACCTGAGCATCCTCCCAACCGAGGAGACGCTCTTCGATGTTGGGCTCAGGAGAACCGATCATTACGATGGATCTCGGCCTCTGGCTCTTCCCAAATTCAACCTGCAATACCTCTCCGTCGGCGATTTTCTCTGGAGGGCCATGGTTTTATATCGCTGCGAGGCCTTCTACGCTATTCGCCAGGATATCGAGGATGTGCTGACGAGGTTAAAGCCGGAGACCAAACGAGCGGGGTTAACAACCTTTTCGGGCTTTTCAAGAATGGCTCTACCTATCGCCAAACCAACCATTCTCGAGGTTGTACCACCGCGCGTCGGCGACGATAAGCCCTCTCTGGTGCGAGCTGAAGTGACCATCGATTTGAGAAAGCTGTCACCACACGTTCGGCGAGAGTGGGAATCCTTGCGTCCCGACGATGTGCTTTTCCTTGCCGCTGTTGATGCGTCCAAGTCGAAACAAGTTACAAATGGTGGCCCTCCCTTGTCCCAGGCTGAGAAGCTCGGCCTGGTCTCAGTCCGCGCGGCAGAGATCATACAGGTTCTCGACGACAAAGGACGGGCGATCCGGGATGCCCAGGCGTACTTTGATGGCCACAGTCGTAGCGACTCGAGGAAAATCCAGCTCCGGTTGGATGCGAGAGCCTTCATGGCAGACACAGAGGGCAATCGGAACATCTACGACGGGGTCAACCTTCTCATTCGGAGAGCCGGCCGAGAAAATAATTTCAAGCCGGTGCTCGAGTCCATCCGAGATCTGACTCTTTCCGATGTCCCACTGGCATCCTGGCTGCACGAGGTCTTCCTGGGGTACGGCGACCCAGCGGGCGCAACCTACAAACACCTGCCGAACCGCGTCAAAAAGATCAACTATCGCGATACCTTTCTCGACTGGCAGCATCTTATCGAGAGCTTGCCTGGCAAGACTATCGAACCGAGCGACGACGTTTCTGGAAGCTTCGGGCCGCCGTACGTACTGGAGACGGTCGAGAAGCAGTCGGAAGACGCCATTTACAAGCCCTCCAAGAAGAGGAGGCGAGATGCGGAGCCGGCTCTGATTGCCGAAATCGAGACAATCCATGTCTCGACGTACAAGCCCCCGAATAACGGCCCTTATCCGGTCGACGCGCCGAAGCTGAACAAAGTTCGCTTCACTCCCAAGCAGATCGAGGCCATCACGTCAGGGACACAACCGGGGCTCACAGTCATCGTTGGCCCCCCCGGCACGGGCAAGACGGATGTGGCAACGCAGATCATAAACAACATCTACCACAATTTCCCGGAGCAAAAGACTCTTCTCATAGCCCACAGTAATCAAGCTCTGAACCAGCTGTTTGCCAAGATTGTCGCCTTGGATATCGACGAGCGTCACTTGCTCCGCTTGGGCCATGGCGAGGAGGAGCTCGAGACCGAGGGGAGCTTCAGCAAGCACGGCAGGGTCGAATCGTTCCTAGAGAACCGGCAGCGCTTTCTCTTCGAGGTCGACCGCCTCGCTGCAAGCATGGGTGCTCCCGGCGCCCATGGAAACTCGGCCGAGACGGCGGGCTACTTCAACGCGGTCTATGTCGAGCCGGCATGGGCCAAGTTCACCGACGTTATCAAGGCGGAAGATGTCGGCCCTGAGGAAATCGTCAAAGCATTCCCCTTTCACGTTTATTTTGCGGACGCCCCGCAGCCCCTTTTCCCGCCGGAAGCGGACCGCGAGACTGTGCTGGAAATCGCAAACGGGTGCTACCGCCACATCTCCAAGATCTTTTCCGAGCTGGCTGATGTCCTGCCTTTTGAGATTCTGCGGCGCGACAAGGACAAGGCCAACTACCTGCTTACAAGCGAGGCACGCATCATCGCCATGACCTCGACGCACGCCGCCATGAAGAGGGGTGAAATCGCCTCGCTGGGCTTCCAGTATGACAATATTGTCATGGAAGAGGCCGCTCAGATCACCGAGATTGAGAATTTTATTCCGCTGGCCATGCAGAAACTCAAGGACGGACAATCGGGGTTGCAGAGCGTCGTCTTGTGCGGAGACCACTATCAAAATTCGCCCGTCATCCAGGGCCTGGCATTCCGGCATTACGCCAACCTGGAGCAGTCGCTCTTCTCCCGGCTCGTCCGCCTTGGTGTTCCAACCATCAACCTCGACCAACAAGGCCGCGCCCGTCCGTCCATCTCCAACCTGTACAGGTGGCGGTACCCGGAACTCTCCGACCTGCCGCACACGCAAACCCAGAAGGAGTTCCTCACGGCCAACGCCGGGTTCAAGTACGACTACCAGTTCATCAACGTGCCGGACTACAAGGGCAAGGGGGAGACGGAACCCTCGCCGCACTTTATTCAGAACCTGGGCGAGGCAGAGTACGCGGTGGCCATCTACCAGTACATGCGCCTGCTCGGCTACCCGGCGGCCAAGATCAGTATCTTGGCCACGTACGCCGGGCAAAGGGCGCTTATTAGGGATGTGTTAGCCCACCGGTGCGCAAAGAACCCCATCTTTGGTCTGCCGAGGGTTGTTACTACCGTCGATAAATACCAGGGCGAGCAAAATGACTGTAAGAAACCATTCCTCTCTCGCCTCATCTATCCCAGGTACAGGATTACTGACAGTTTTTTGTATTAGACATCATCCTCTCCCTCACGAGAACCACCCGCGTCGGCTACTTGCGCGACCTCCGCCGCCTGACGGTCGCCCTCTCGCGCGCCCGCCTGGGCCTGTACATACTCGGCCGCCGCGACGTGTTTGAGCGCTGCTACGAGCTGCGCGACGCGTTTGAGCTGCTGCTGCAGAGGCCGGATAAGCTGGCGCTTGTCACGGGTGAATTATGGCCTTCGGAGCGGTTGTTGGTGACGTCGCCTTCTGGTGGGGATGATGGGAAAGATGCGGATACCACCGCGGTTGTGCCAGCTCAACTGGGCGAGGCGGTTATGGAGGGCGTGGAGCACCTCGGGCAGTATGTCTTTGAGATGACGGCCACGCGGGTTAAGCAGTTGCGCGAGGAGAAGGGGCTGGGTGGGGAGGTGCCTGTTGAAGCGGTGGTGGAGCGGGTTGAGGAGGGGTATGGGGATGTGGAGGGTGGTGAGGAAGATGGTGAGGGAGAGGGGGAGGGAGCGGTGAGGGGGGAGGGATTTGAGGTTGAGGAGGATGATTGAGCGGACTATTTTATGGTTATGGTGGGTGTGCGGGAAAAAGGAAATGGCGTCGCTGGTTTGAGGGACTTGTATCTATACAATCCAACCAGGGTTTGTTTGCTGCGCTGAACTTGGTAAGAAAACGGGATAAACTGTTCAGTACTCGCTGGTTTTGGTTTCTTTCCCTGCTTCTTTCATGTTTTCCTTTTTCACTCTTTCTATTCTTATTTCTTCTTTTTTGTCTTTCGTTCCTCCTTCCTTCCTTTCTTTCGTTCTTTCGTTCTTTCGTTCTTTCGTTCTTTCGTTCTTTCGTTCTTTCGTTCTTTCGTTCTTTCGTTCTTTCTGTTCTTTCTGTTCTTTCTGTTCTTTCTGTTCTTTCTGTTCTTTCTGTTCTTTCTGTTCTTTCTGTTCTTTCTTTGTTCCTCTTTTCTTTCTCTTTTCTCTACTTCCTGAAATTTCCTGCTTTTCATTTCCTTTTTCTAACGTACATGATAAGCGAACGTCCCAGACAAGCGAACGTCCCACAAATCCACTCCTTCATACCGTTCATCTTTTTATCGACTTTCCCTCAC